CACTACATCCAGGAGTTGTGAGTGAGGTGACCGCTGCAACCATTGCAACCACTCCAAAAAGCACAACTCCAACCACCGTTCGGTCCATCAGTGGATTCGCTTTGCCATCCGTGAGTCACAACAACCAACCCTTCCTATAGGTTTCCTATAGGTTTCCTATTTTTGAAACTTTCACCACCGCCTTGTGCGGTACTACTGGTAGAAATATCATAGGAATCAAATAGAAATACCATAGAAATATCATGGAAACCCCATAGGAATCCCACAGAAAGCCCATAGAAAGATCATAGAAATAACATGGAAATAGCATTGGAAGCACAAAGAAATCCCATAAGAATCCCATAGAATTCCCTCAGGAATCCCATAGCAATCCCATAGAAATATCATAGAAGCATCATAGAAATACCATAGAAATCCCACAGGAATCTAACGGAAACCCCATAAGAATACCATAGAATTCCCATAGAACCCCTGCAGAAATCACATAGCAATCTCATAGGAATATCATAGAAACATCATGGAAGTTCCATAGGAATGCCATAGGAATGCCATAGATATCTAATAGTAATGCCATAGGAATATCTTCGAAATCCAATAGAAATTTCATGGAAATCCCAGAGAAATCCCATAGAAAAATCCTGGAAATACCATAGAGATCCCATAGAAATCTTTTGGAAATCCAATGGAAGTCCCATAGACATCCCTTTGAAATCCCAGAGAAATTCCAAAGAACCACCATGGAAACCCCATAGGAATCATACAGGGATCCAATAGTCCCATAGTAGTCCCATAGAAACATCATAGAAATCCAAAAGAAATATCATGGAAATCCCAAAGAAATCCCATAGGATTATCATAGAAATCCCAGAGAAATCCCACATCCCACAGGCACCCTTTTGAAACTCCATAGGAATCCCATAGAAATACCATCGGCACCCCATAGAAATCCCATAGTAATCCCATATGTAAATCCCACAGGAATCCAATAGAAATCCCATATAAATACCATAGAACCACCATAGAAATTCGAAAGAAATTTCATGGAGACCCCATAGAATTCCCAAAGAAATCCTCTAGATATATCATAGGAATACCATTTTTTTAAATCCCACAGTCCCACAGAAATGTCTTAGAAATCCAAACGATATATCCTGGACATCCCAAAGAAATCCCATACCACAGAAACCCATAAGAATCCAAAAAGTAATCCCATAGACACCTTTGAAACCCCATAGGAATCCCACAGAACTACCATAGACACACCTTTAAAAACACCATAGAATACCATAGGAACACCATAGGAATTACATAGCATTTCCAGAAATTTCTAAAATCACATAGAAGCACCATAGAAATCAACCAGGAGAATTGAACTAAGTAGGAGACAAAAACTATAGCAAAGGAAAGGAGAAAATGCTTTTGCTAAAAAAACAAAAAATTAGACACAATAGAGGACCCCCACAACAAACATACTATTGAAGATCAGGGTTGCTCATGGGCTACCCCCTTAAAAAACTGTTTGAGTGTTTTTTTTTAATGGTGTTTTCATAAGACTTCTTAGGTTTTGGGCAATTAGTCATTTAATCCAAAAGAATGGAGCTAAGAAAGAAAAAAAGATAAAAACTTTGGCAAAGGAAAGGAAAAATAAAGGAGAGTATATAGGTCTTTGGAAAAAAATCGCGTCAAAAAAAAACAGGACACAATAGAGGATGAGGACCCCCACAACAAACATACTATTGAGGATCAATGCTGCTCATGGGCCACCCCCTTGAAAAATTCTTTGGGTGCTGTTGTTTTACTGGATTTTAAAAAGGCATCCTATATTTTGAGAAATTAGGCATTCCGAAAGAATGGAGCTAAGAAAGTAAAAGAAAAACTTTTTAGCAAAGGACATGATAAAAGGAATGTTTGAAAACTTGTCGCCTCAGGCAGCAGCTGGACACAATAGTACCACAGCAAACATACCATGAATTGGGGTCAATGTTGCTCATGGATTACCCCCTTGAAAAATTGTTTGTGTGCTGTTTTTAAATTGGGTTTTAATAATGGATCCTATATTTTGGGAAATTGGGCATTTCTGAGAATTCCAAATGAAACTCAGAAAGTAAAAAAAACTTTAGCAAAGGAAAAGGTAAAGGCATGTTTGAAAATTTCCACCTCAGACAACAACTGGACACAATAGTGGACCCCCACAACAAACATACAATTGAGGATCAGGGTTGCTCATGGACTACTCCCTTGAAAAATTGTTTGGGTGCTGTATTTTAATTGGGTTTTAATAAGGCATCCTATTTAATTATTGCTGACGGGTCATATATAACCTTAAAAAATTGTTTCTTCAGACAACAGCTGGACACAATAGAGGACCACCACAACAAACATATTATTTAGGGTCAATATTGTTCATGAATAAAATTTGAGTTAAAAAAAAATAGAAAAATTACCCAAAAAAATTGAACCCCAAATCATTTACACCGATGCAGAATTATTTTGGAAAAAATTGACAAGAGTGCCTCCCCACACTAATCACCATACTACATTAAACAAGAAAGTCGGCGGAGAGCAGCAGAAGTGGTAACGGACAGGTCGGGACAATATTGTCATGGATGGTGTGGTATAGGAAATGTAGAGGACATGTGGTGGAAATGTACGAATGTGCCCTTGCAGATGTGAGGCCCCATCAGCGTTTGAGCCTCAGGGTTTCACGGGCCTTGTTGTTGACATGCACATATGATCAACATTTGATCAACATTTGCATACATTTGTGACGTTTGTCTAAAATTCAGCCGGAACCGAAAGGACAGGGTTGCAAGGTTCATGAGCATGGTGCTTCAAAGCATATCCTTGTGCATGAATTGAGACCGTGCTACTAAATCATCAGTTTCAAGTCTGAACCAACTGAGTAGACACATGCCTACAATTACTATTACTACTATAATGATACTACTTGTAAAATAATGTATGTGCTTATCTATTTATATATATTTTATTTATTTAATTATATACTTATATATGTATATAATTATTTCTATGTGTGTGTGTGTGCGCGTGTCATATGTTCACACTATTTCTTCATGGATCGTCTGAGCGTTTTGTGACTGCCGTTTTCTAAAACGTGCAGAATCGTGAAGAATCTCAGAAAAAAAAGGCATCAGATCCAGCTTGAGGTCAGGAAATCAAAGCTTCCAGCTGCGTGGCACCTGGCACACTCTTGGTTTAATTCGATCAGGACCAGAACCCACAAGAACATACACGTACAATCAAGCACTGTTATGTGCAGCCTGCAAAAAGGGAAAGGAAGATGTTATTTGCTGCCGAGTTGGGGTGCCCATGTAGCGAAGATGTATTGATCAAGCCAGAGGCTGTTGCATGTCACAGTTGGACAATATACGCAGACACTTCATTGACGGGAACGCTGAACGTAGCCTGAACGTAGCCTTGCTAGGGCTCTTCCTTTCGACTAAAGCTGAGACGTCCGAGACTGGAGTGACTGGACCCATCAAATCTTGCCGAGTCATGGAGGGGTGAGCTTCTTGAGGCGCCCTCAAACAGCCCCGTGGCCGCGAGAACGTGCAGGATACTCAGAGCATCTCAGAGCAAGTGCATATTTCTACGCATTTCTGAGCATTTTGATGCATTTTGTGTGTATGTTTGCGGGGAGCTGTCACAGACCCCAGATTCCACATGTAGATTGGGCTGCAGCAATAGCCAGCATCGCTCACGATAGTTGGTAGCCGCTATGCTGACACAAAATGAACATTGTGACGGAGGTCTTGTTGACCTTGACTTATATTTTGTGATTTTCTACTTAGTCCCTACTGAATTTATTAATTAGCTCGAACCGTACAAGCCATGGTTCTGATTGCTGAGCAATATGAATTCCATACGTATTTGTACTGGCGCGTTATGTTCAGGCCCTACCACACTTATATACTTGGTCCGTGGTGGCTGCACTCGCATGCCGCAGGTCTCGCCAGAATGCAGTTATACTCTCCGACTGTCAGGTGCCAAAGTTGTGATGGCAAGAATGGATCAGACACAAATGATCACAAATGACGCAAAAAATATACACTAAGGAATCAAATTGCATCAACATGTTTGCCAAATGAAGAATCCACAGAATCCATCATTATGACATCTCATGGCCATCTATGCCTTGTAAAAAGGATCCTGCTGGTGTGAGAGCATGTGTCTTCTCCAAACATCTCACAAGCTTTATGCAAAGCCGCGCGCATTGTCACAGGAATCAAACCCTCCTTGCTGTGCCAAGTGCACATACCCGGGCAAGTTCCACTCTTCAATCTTCAATCAAGCCGTACTTTTTCAAAGCTGAGTTTATGAATGGACGACTTGGCATTTCTCTTTGCGAAATGCTGAAAACTGTTTTTACAACCAGAATGGTCACGTGAGGGAAGGTATGTGGCAGGCTGATGGAACAGCCGCTTTAACAACTTGAATGAAGACATGAGCCACTATCAGAGCCACTATGATATGCATACATGATGTGCATGCACGCATGTACTTCACTTGACATGTCCTTTCTGCCTATCATCGTCCATGTGCAGCATGCCGTCTGTCAGCAGAATTCTCTCTGGCTGCAACTGGATCAGAAGCTCAGGTCGATGGGATTCGGATGCTGCACACCGTTGGAGAGAACTGGCTTAGGAGCCTTGAGATGTGAGCATCTTTGAGCAGTCAGCTGCATGGGCGAGGAGAATGTCAGAATGCCCCAGAATGGTAGAAGTAAATAAAGAAGAGTCAGGATTTGCTCAGTTATACGCTTTAGATTATGTCTAGGTAACCTCAGGTAAGCAGATGCTAGGTTTGGACAACTGTCGGAAGCTGCAATAAGTGCAGAACAGCTTTATATCTTTTTTGTCCACTTGGCACGACGAATCACGGCACAAAATACCGCGGGTATCTTCGGGACATTTGGGACATTTGGGATTTGGGTTCCAGGCTTCACTCTGCCTCGATCCTTTTCGATCGGCCATCGAGCAATGGCAGTGGCACGCGCCGTTCCCCTGACGACCGAAGAGACCAAAGCTCCGGTCCATAAGGAGCCGAATCTTGGCGGATGCCAAGGCTGATCCCAACATTTTCAGCTCTTTGATGTCTTTATTTCACCTTGGTGATCTTGATTGATCTTGTGATATCTTGTGGCCGGACTGCGCATGGCTGCGTGAAAGAGCTAAGTATACAGATGTGCCATGTGCACAAATCAGTCGTTTGTAAAGGCTCAACATTTGGTTTTGCAAAATGCCTGGTCGCTTAATCATTCCGTCAACACCCCAAGAAACCAGCAGGGAACAAATCAGTTGAATTTTTTTGGCGGGCCAGCGTTATAAACACTCAGCTGTTCAGGTCTTGATGGTACCATTTAATCTGGTTATTTTGTAGTTGTCGGATTCGGCGTCAATGCATGTTATAGATGAAATGGATGAACAAGTTGCGTATGTATCTTGTGTACTAGTTATTCATCCGCTTTTGCGAGGGATGCAATTTTATGGATGGGAGGCTGCTTGCTTTTTGCTGGAGGAACCTATTTAGAGATGGCGTTGCAATCCATTTGTTTGCCAATGGGGAGCTTTGCATTGACTGAATCAGGACGTTTGCGGAGACAACCTTCAGCGTTTTCAAAGACTGGGTAAAGAAGGATGTAAAGTACTTTGTGGATCTATTTGTTTTCAGCGGCGCCTTCTACTACTTGGATCTGGTGTCTGATATGAATACACTTTACATTTTCTACCAAAATGGCCAGCGCCTCTCCTGCATTATGATGAGCCAACTCACAGACTTGCGACGCCTGGTTTGGGTTCCCACGGGTCTCCTTCGATCCACGTTGCTCTGGCAAGTTTTAAGTCCTGATAGCCACAGAAAGACAAGCAATGGGCTTGCAAAATGCTTGTCATGTTTCTAAGGTCCGCGTTTGTGTTAGTGAGACCATGACTGGAGAACTTTTTTTGGTGGGGTGGGGCGGGGGAATCTTACACCCTAGATTTTTACAAAGAGATGCACCCAGACAAGACTTGCTCGCAAAATCCTATTCAAGAAAACCTTGAGGAAGGCCCAAACAAATCCTTATGTGAGCCGATGAACCTGCGCAACCTTTGTCGGCCAATTCCGCAGGGGAACCATTGATTTGATGCATCAAGTGCAACATTCGTGTCGTTCCATGACAGGACGAAATAAGGCTACGCCCCTTTTTTGCACCCGTTTCTCATGTTTCTCCAGTTGCTTTGCCCTGTCTCACGTTTTGGTATCAGTTGCATGGGCCCAACATAGCACCTTTTTCATCGTTGATGCTGTGGTCAGCCGCGAAGACGCGCAGATTGACTCGCACGTGCTTGGACTTTTCTTGTTTGCACATTTTGGGCGGCAGGCATCGGTACCTGTCGATCAACCTTGCCGCAGTTCTGGTTGCAAATCTCTACGTCATGCATGACATGCTGAAGGCAACGGGAGGCAACAGGATGCAACTGGATGCAACCAGCAGTCCCAGGTGGAGTGTATTGATTATAGCCTATAGCACTACTTATAGTGTCTCTTCATGTCTTTTCAGGATATTGTACGGGCTCTTGCCTCGTTTTGCGATAAGGCGCGTGTTTGCACCTTTGACATCCCTTTACAAAGATCTAGTTTTGAAGTGCTACATTGGGCCTTGGCATTGCACAGAATACTTTAACTGGTCTCAATGATCTTCATTCTTATTCATTCTAAACGGTTGAAATGGTCTAAATGGATCTAAATGGTCTTGTGTTGGGCAGAGTAAAAGATGTAAAAGGAGGCACCTCACCATTCTCGCGTTGCAGGCCGTGACAGGGAAACGAGATGACTGGCCAGGACCTGGAGATCCCGCGCATCGGATTTTATTGCTGCTGGGATCACAATCCGATCCCCAAGGCCCCCTTAGCCGACAGAAAGGCCTACCGTGATACCCGTGATACCGTGACATATCGTTGCTTTCCATTCAAGCAACGGCTTCTCATGATTCCATCGATTTCCAATCAGTAGATAAGGAGTAGTTGAAGATGATACATACATAGATAAGGGAAGTTGGAGGTGGCATGAGAGTGTCTCACGAAGCACTGCAAAGACGTCAAGGTCCCAGTCATTGGTCAGTCACAGGCCTTGCTGTCAGCTTCTGGCCGTCAAAAACTCAAAAACTATGAGCAAAACCTTTGATGCCTTGATGCATTAATTATTTAGATGCTAGCATCATCGCTTGAAGCAATCTGAGGCTTGGCTTCTTGGTTCCTGTTTTTGGTCATGTCGCCTATTTGGTTTGGATCTCGTGGCAGCTGGGAGAAAAGAAGAAGCACCCTTTGTTGCTTTGCTTCCCGGCAGCACGGAGCTCCAGCTCTTGTCAAGAACATTCAACTAGAATAGTCACGGGCAATCAAGCCTGAGCATGTTCATGCATGCCAGAAAACGAGTGTTTGAACCTAAATGCATCAACATGTTTTGCTGCATGCAATACACCTTTGCGGGAAACGGACACACCACCGCCGCCACCACCACCACCACAACCACTACCAGAACCATCAGCACAACCATCAGCAGCAAAGGCCACCCCAATCGCAAACAAGACCCCAGGAAACCTCAAATTCCTCTCCCCGAGAGAGAGCTTCTAAGGCTCCAAAGTGGCAGAAGCAGGGATTGAGGCCGCGTTTTCTTCTGGAATCCAGTTTCATAGCTGCATTATGGAGTGAGGCCGCCAAACATGAATACAATTTGCAAACATAACTTGACAGAATAAGATGGGAAAAGCAGCGACCTGCATGCTTTCAGCGTGTCGCCAAGGATCTACGCACTCGTTTATTCAACATGGACTCCAGAAGAATGGTGGTTCGTTGCTGCTTCTATGCTGGTATCCATTGGGTCTATGGCTTTTGCTTTTGCTGGCATCGACCTACAAGATGGTTTGAATGGGATACCTGGTTTGTTGAAGCATTGGCTGAGTCCTGTGGCTTGGAGGTCACAGTGCTGTCGATATGCGTTTTTCCCCTAGGATATTTGCATATTTTTGCTAGTGCATCTAGTGCTCAAAGTTGCTCTATTTGCTTTCGAGATCTTTCGACGTGTAGCGTTGGAAAGTGTTGGAAATCTAAGCGCCGGCAGCTTAGTCATGAAACGATCAGACCTGCACTACACCAGAGAAGGGTCCCGTCTCCTCACTGAGGCCTTTGTCATGGTTTTGACTTTTCGATTTGCAGAAATTTCATCGCGTTTGTCAAGCTTGGCACTTTTCTCCGTCGCCACTCGCAAAGCATTCCAAAGTGATAATTTCTTTGACGTTGCCGGGGTCTTCGAGCAGATGTTGAACTTAATACTTCTGACTGGAGCACCCTTAGTGCTACTTGTGGACTTGCTGGTGCTATTCTGCTTGGTGGTCCACTTTCAACGGAGCAACAAAGCCAATTGGAACTATGCAATTCCTTCGGTTCTTTGTTTCATGAACCCTCTCTTGGAGCGCGGTTCTCCTTTTACAATCCCTGCGTGGCTCTACTTCACATGGCGCTGGGTGCAGTTATTTGGCATGGCTGGGGTGGCTTTCTATTTAGTGGCTTGGGTCAAAAAGTATTAGCCGTACAATGCCTCTTCTCTGACGCTTTCTTGGCACCCTTGCCGCTAGGGCCAGGGGCTAAAGATCAGATTTTAAAATATGTAAATTTCATTAAATTTTTATAATTACCTAGAATTCAAAAGCATCAAAATTCATATAGAAGAACCAAAACGAGCCCCAGCAGCTGCAAGGTGGGCTCTGAAAGACTCATTGCGGCCTTTGCTGATGATGTAAGAATGCTTCAGTTCAGTGCTGGGACCACTATATTATGGAGCATTTTGCTGCCGTTGATTCGGGTCTGCTGCGCGACGCATGTCTTGTCAAGTGGCTTCGGCTTAAGTAGAGTCAGCTCTACAGACTTATATGGGCAAACTACCGCCTTCAATTACTGCATATGTGTATGCATATCGTATATATAATACATAGTATTATAGCATAATTATAGTAGATATAATATATGATAATATATGTAGATATTTATTCAATGCTTCGGATTTTCTCTTTGTTGAGACCGAATCTTCAGGGGTTTGATGCAGCTGAGGCTACAGTAAAGAAGTGCTGTGGACCGAACTTAATGATGGTCAGAAGATGCTGTGGAAGGAGCTGAGGCGCCACATGTTCCCCACTGAGAAGTCGCTTCGCTGTTTGCCCTGCCGCTCCAGAGACTTTGAGCCATGTTCCTCTTTCATGTTAAGTTATTTGAACATTTTCAAACGATTCTTGAAACTAAATAGGCGCAGGGAAAATGATCAGGTAAAAAGGCAACACAATAGCACATGATGTGAAAGGGTCTCGCTTCGGGATACGTCGAGTGCATCGCTTCGGGCTACGCCTCATACATCGCTTTGGGATACCTCAACATCATCATCATCATCATCATCATCATGTTGTCCACTACAAGGGTTGACCATCATGTTGACCGTCATGTGAGCATCATCATCATCATCATCATCATCATTATCATCATCTTCTTCACCATCATCCTTGTTATATTCATTTTCTTCTTCCAAGTAGTATTCTCCTCTTCATACCGTCAGGAGAAGATGTGATAGCAAGAGATCATGTTGGTGTGCAGGTGCAAGAGAAGATCGGCTCCCCATGCTGTAAGTAGAATGATCCCCCCCCACCGGCCCAACCAAAACCTAAATGGCTGAGTCAAGTAATGATGTAAGTTGAATGGCCCCTCCCCACCCCCCCAACCAAACCCTAAATGGCTGAGCCAAGTAATGATGTAAGTAGAATGATCCCTCCCCACCCCCCAACCAAACCCTAAATGGCTGAGTCAAGTAATGATGTAAGTAGAATGATCCCTCCCCACCGGCCCAACCAAACCCTAAGTGGCTGAGTCAAGTAATGATGTAAGTAGAATGATCCTCCCCACCCTCCCAAACCTTAAATGGCTGAGTCAAGTAATGATGTAAGTAGAATGATCCCTCCTCACCCCCCCAACCAAACCCTAAATGGCTGAGTCAAGTAATGATGCAAGTAGAATGATCCCTCCCCACCCCCTCAACCAAATCCCAGTAATGATGCAAGTAGAATGATCCCTCCCACCCCCTCAACCAAATCCTAAATGGCTGAGTCAAGTAATGATGTAAGTAGAATGATCCCTCCCCACCCCCCAACCAAACCCTAAATGGCTGAGTCAAGTAATGATGCAAGTAGAATGATCCCTCCCCACCCCCCAACCAAACCCTAAATGGCTGAGTCAAGTAATGATTTAAGTAGAATGATCCCTCCCCACCGGCCCAACCAAACCCTAAATGGCTGAGTCCAGTAATGATGTAAGTAGAATGATCCTCCCCACCCTCCCAAACCTTAAATGGCTGAGTCAAGTAATGATGTAAGAAGAATGATCCCTCCCCACCGGCCCAACCAAACCCTAAATGGCTGAGTCAAGTAATGATGTAAGAAGAATGATCCCTCCCCACCCCCCCAACCAAATCCTAAATGGCTGAGTCAAGTAATGATGTAAGTAGAATGATCCCTCCCGACCCCCCCAACCAAACCCTAAATGGCTGAGTCAAGTAATGATGCAAGTAGAATGATCCCTCCCCACCCCCTCAACCAAACCCTAAATGGCTGAGTCAAGTAATGATGTAAGTAGAATGATCCCTCCCCACCCCCCCAACCAAACCCTAAACCCTAAATGGCTGAGTCAAGCAATGATGCAAGTAGAATGATCCCTCCCCACCCCGCCAACCAGACCCTAAATGGCTGAGTCAAGTAATGATGTAAGTAGAATGATCCCCCCCCACCGGCCAACCAAACCCTAAACCCTAAATGGCTGAGTCAAGTAATGATGTAAGAAGAATGATCCCTCCCCACCCCCCCCAGGACCCTGAAGGCTGAGTCGAAGTAATGATGTGAAGAAGAATGCATCCCTCCCCACCACCACACCAACCCATAAATGGCTGGTCAAGGAATGACTGTAAGTAGAATGTTCCCTCCCACCCCCCAACCAAACCTAAATGGCTGAGTCAAGTAATGATGTTAAGTAGAATGATCCCTCCCACCCCCAAACCAAACCCTAAACCCTAAATGGCTGAGTCAAGTAATGATGTAAGAAGAATGATCCCTCCCCCACCCCCCCAACCAGACCCTGAATGGCTGAGTCAAGTAATGATGTAAGAAGAATGATCCCTCCCCACCGGCCCAACCAAACCCTAAATGGCTGAGTCAAGTAGTGATGCAAGAAGAATGATCCCTCCCCACCCCCAACCCACCCCACCCAACCCCTAAATGGCTGAGTCAAGTAATTAGATGATAAGAACGATGTTGTCCGTGTTGCCCAAAGTGATGAAATCCGTGTTGCCCAAAGTGAGCGTCCAAAGTGTGAGGAGTGTGTGATTTCTGGATGTTGCCTGAAGTGATGCGTTTGGTGTTGCCCTAAGTGATGCGGGTACCCCCATGACGCACCAATAACGGTTCAAGACAAAAAATATGATTCCAGTGCCTGCCACAACAACTACAATAGGATTTAGGGGCAGCATGGGGCAGCATGCCACGCCAAGAGCTATTTTGTTTTTTCTCAGAAGCATGGAGGAAGGTCCTCGCGGCATCCAATTTTTTAATTCCGCGCACCTATCCAAACATTGAGAATATGAGACGCTGCGGTTCTTTCCCTGCCCATGCCATGCTGTCATTCTAATTTCCTGTTTGCACAGATGGCTGGACGAACAAGAGGGGAACGCTAGGCTGGCTTGGCAACATACTCCAACCCTATCATCGGGCCCAATTGATCCCATTAGACAACTAATCACAGCTATAGAAGAGCAAATGGACCAGCAAGGTCCTAGGAGACAACAGGACCAAGGGGCTAACGTAATTCAATGTAATTCATGCATTCTGAAAATTATTATAGATATGCATTGGTGCTACGCAAATTGTGTATAAGTTGTTTCGTCCGCGTTGATCCGTTTGCAAATAATTTTGATAATGGATTGCATGACATGAGAGCCAAGCACTTGCATGCCACCCATTCAGGTTATGAATCCGTTGGGGCGCAATCTACCTCGACTAGCGAACTTCTTTTTGAAGCGCTCAGTGGCTTGGCGTCAATCGGTTGAAAATCCTGGGTTGGGCAAAACACACGTGCAGAAATGCAGACACCGTAAGGTGCGAACTCTTTGTAAAACATTTTGGGATGTTTTGGGGCTGAATATGACTGAATGTTCTGAATGCTTGGGGTACTGCGAAGGTAAGAACTGGTGCGAACAGATCGAAGAAGCGCTCAAGGTCCTGTCTGATGGCAAGGGGCGCAAGTCGATAAAGCCTGAGGCTGACAACTTCAAAGACTACGAGCAGAAGTCCATGTTCCCATCGCTGTACCGCTGGAAAATCTCAACACTTGAACTTGTGCAGCATAAGGGAGCAGAAGCAGAAACACGTTTCTTGCGGTTGCTATTTCTCAGTGCCAACACCTTGCAGCTGCCAATGTGGGCTGGCGAAGGTCACGAGTTGAAGACGATGCAACGGTGGGAAGAACTGTACCTGAAATTGCTTAAGGACAGACGAGTTTCGACCATTGTGAGGCCTTCAGTGCGCCCAAACCCTCAAAAATGAATAAAAATGATAGGTTGCAAGAATATGCAAGAATCAGTTCATGGATGTTCATGGCATTGTAGCTGTGTCAGCTGAAGGTCCAAATATTCCATTTATTTGGTTCTGCTTGCACTTAAAATACATAATTGATAATCGATCATATACATTTAATTCCCCACATTGACGTGTGGGGTTTTTGTTTTTAGTTCTGTATCCGCTCCTCCTCGTCCTCCTCCTTCCCGTCCTCCCTCCCTCCCTCCCTCACTCACTCACTCACACTCACTCACTCACTCACTCACACTCACTCACTCACTCACTCACTCACTCACTCACTCTCTCACTCACTCACTCACTCACTCACTCACTCACTCACTCACTCACACACACAAACAAACACACACACACTCACTCTCTCACTCACTCACTCACTCACTCACACACTCACTCACACACTCACTCACTCACTCACACACACAAACACACACACACACACTCACTCTCTCACTCACACACACTTTTGCGTGGCAGGCGTGGGACAATCTGCACTGCCAAGGGGTCGGATGTACGCCCTGGCGTCCCTTGGGGCTCCGCCGCTTTTGCGTGGCAGGCGTGGGACAATGTGCACTGCCAAGGGGTCTGATGTACGCCCTGGCGTCCCTTGGGGCTCCGCCTCGTTTGCGTGGCAGGCGTGCGACAATGTGCACTGCCAAGTGTCTGATGGTAACGCCCTGGGCTGTCCCTGGAGGTGCTCGCCGCTTTTGCGTGGCAGGCGTGGGACAATCTGCACTGCCAAGGGGTTGGATGTACGCCCTGGCGTCCCTTGGGGCTCCGCCGCTTTTGTGTGGCAGGCGTGGGACAATCTGCACTGCCAAGGGGTCTGATGTACGCCCTGGCGTCCCTTGGGGCTCCGCCTCTTTTGCGTGGCAGGCGCGGGACAATCTGCACTGCCAAGGGGTTGGATGTACGCCCTGGCGTCCCTTGGGGCTCCGCCTCTTTTGCGTGGCAGGCGCGGGACAATCTGCACTGCCAAGGGGTTGGATGTACGCCCTGGCGTCCCTTGGGGCTCCGCCGCTTTTGCGTGGCAGGCGTGGGACAATGTGCACTGCCAAGGGAATGTACGCCCTGGCGTCCCTTGGGGCTCCGCCTCTTTTGTGTGGCAGGCGTGCGACAATGTGCACTGCCAAGGGGTCTGATGTACCCCCTGGCGTCCCTTGGGGCTCCGCCGCTTTTGCGTGGCAGGCGTGGGACAATGTGCAGTGCCAAGGGGTCTGATGTACGCCCTGGCGTCCCTTGGGGCTCCGCCTCTTTTGCGTGGCAGGCGTGGGACAATGTGTACTGCCAAGGGGTTGGATGTACGCCCTGGCGTCCCTTGGGGCTCCGCCGCTTTTGCGTGGCAGGCGTGGGACAATCTGCACTGCCAAGGGGTTGGATGTACGCCCTGGCGTCCCTTGGGGCTCCGCCTCTTTTGCGTGGCAGGCGTGGGACAAGGTGCACTGCCAAGGGGTTGGATGTACGCCCTGGCGTCCCTTGGGACTCCGCCGCTTTTGCGTGGCAGGCGTGGGACTTCACTTCACTTCACTTCACTTCACTTCACTTCACTTCACTTCACTTCACTTCACTTCACTTCATTTCACTTCACTCACTCACTCACTCACTCACATACATCATCTTCATCATCATCACCATCATCATCATCATCATGTCCCAGCGATGTTTACCAGCCACAGGGCATGCAGAAAGAGATCACAAAATGTGCGGCTGCGCTCGAAAGAGTGCAGAACATTACTTTGGTCAGCGGAAGTATGGTGAGCACACCATCGTTTTGATAGTGTGTCGGAAAAAAACATCAGAGCCTGGTGGAGCTCGATGAAAGCGAAGCAACTTACTCACAAACAACTTACCCTACGTACATACATACATAGATACCTAAATACATACCTACCTACCTACCTACCTACCTACCTACCTACCTACCGACCTACATACATACCACCATCGTCCCTCCATCACTCTTATCCTTCCTCTTCCCTTCTCGCTTTCTGTGCTCCGTCTAAGTCTGTTTCTTCACTGAGGTCGATGCCTTCGTCCGTACCAAACGGTTCGGCTTCGGTCGAGCCGACACCACGTTGGCCGGTGGTGGGGACGTTAATGGGAGGCTTCACACTCACTCACACTCACTCACACTCACTCACACTCACTCACATTCACTCACACTCACTCACACTCACTCACACTCACTCACATTCACTCACATTCACTCACTCACTCACTCACTCACTCACTCACTCACTCACTCACTCACTCACTCACTCACTCACTCACTCACTCACTCACTCACTCACTCACACCTCACCTACCGCACTCACTCACTCACTCACTCACTCACTCACCCACTTACTCACTCACTCACCCACTCACTCACTTCACTTCACTTCACTTCACTTCACTTCACTTCACTTCACTTCACTTCACTTCACTTCACTCTCACATCCCTCACTCACACACACCACACTCACATCACTCACTCACACTCTCACTCACTCACTGTACATGAACATACATACATGCATACACACAAACTCACCCACCATCACCGCTCCATCACTCTTATACTTCCTCTTCCCTTCTTGCTTTGCTATGCTCAGTCTAAGTCTAAAGAAGTTGGTAACATGTGGGGTTATCCGGTCCTTTAATATATAGCATTTTTAATATATATATATATATTTATTACATACGCATCAACTTGCAAACTGATATAATTGATTGACTTACTGTAGCTCCATCGCTGTGACGGCTGCATCCAGGTCATCCTGGATAAGTGTATGTGTTTTTTTCCAAAATCAGATTCAGTTCTCGTTCACTATCACTATCTATCATTATCTATCACTATCTATCACTATCTATCACTGGTATTGCAGTTGAACTTGTCGCAAGTGCAAAAGTGGGCAGTTTCCTTTGCGTGCCAAACACCTTTCCTCAATTCACAGGAGATGCAATTTCTACTCAAGAGGCATCCAGACAAAGATTCTGTGAAAAAGCTGCTTTGCAAGAATCTTGAGACAGCCAAGTGCATCCTGAAGCTGAAAGTAGAGACCCGAGCTGCTAGCTTGCAATTGCTGTTAAGCTGACCACCAGGTCACCAGTGTTGTGAGCGTTGTGAGTGTTGTGGTTGAACAGTGTTGAACTCGCATTGCTATTCATATTATTCATGTGTTGCATTTTGTTACATAATTTCACGCCCCTTGCAGGCCACATTTTTTTTTGAATGCACGGTCCCTGTTTGACTATATGGAATGATATGGACATATATGGACGCAGCACTCTGCAGAGCTGCAATTGTTGGTAAGGGGGAGCCCCAAGTGGTTTATTTAACGCTCCTGCCTTGGCACAAAACGAAAAAGCATAGCAGATATAGCAATGAAACACAATTTTGCCCTCCATACTAGTAAGGTCCAAGTACATGTCAACATTCCTTGAAACGAATCACACACACATTGTTACAGTTTGACACGCATACTTGGGAGAGACTCTAGGAGAGACAAAGGGGTTGGACTGACATAGATATACAATGTACATGACGTCTCCATCCTTCCCTTCATCCATTCGCCACTCACTCGCCCCATCCATCCGAGCACAAATGTCCACATGTTGATTGATCATCAACGCCATCTAGATGCCATGTAGATATGCCAACACGCACAGACAAACAGGCACATGCACGACGATGAAGACATTTCTTTATCGAGACATAATATGGATGAATGCGTTATATAATGTATTATAGTATTCTCACATGGTGAAGCGACTTAGTTGTGAAGTGGCATTGAATGCTGAGCAAGGCCTCCGCTATTTTGCGCGAGGGAATTAGAGGGAGCTGGGGATGGTCTGTTCGAAGTACCAATCTGGAAACTTGTTCGTTGGACTGTTGGAATGAAACTCTTGCTGAATTGGTTTCAGTATGTTGCAATAAGTCAAGGCAAGGCAAGGTAAGCTATCCAAGTCCACGTCAAGTCACCGCAATCTCGGTTTGCTGAGGCCTCACCAATGGATGACGACAAGATGGATCCTGGGCACGAGAAGGGAGTGGGCAAACGGTGGAGCGCAGTTGGTCGCAAGAAGTTTAGAAGAGCAACTTCCAGTTTCAAACAATTGGGTAGCTGAAAAGCTACACAAGTTAAGAAATCAGCAAGATGGGGAGCCAAGTGGTGTGTTTGATGATCTAAAGCACTCAAACAGCAGCTACATGCTGGGCTATTGAGCTCAATAATCTCACAATGTCTTGCAACTTCAACGCTAGCAAAATCAGGTCATGGGCCTGGATGACAGCTAGGTTTTCAAGGCAAGTACTGTAATCAATCGGCTTCCTAAACAGGTGAGTTTGCCTTACTTTATCACCCTAAGCTTGACCTGGATGTGCTGCTATTCAGTAGAATTACGGTGATACCGTATTGCCCTATAGATTGAATTGGAACAGCGGCTGCCAGAAGTGTGGGATCACTGCGATCACCCAGTCTCTCTCTGTGAAGGGCCTGCAGAGCCGGATAACCACCTTGGTCTGAGGATCAGGAGCGGCGTTTCGACATTGGCAAGCACAAAGCAAGGACTCGGGATGCTCGGGATGAAACAACTGGATACAACGGATGAAAACGGATGGTTTCTTGTATGTTTCTTGTATATGACGAGAGATTATGCGTGCCGCTATCGCGGCTTGGAGGATCATCGAAGATTTGGCGGTCTATGCTGCGAATGAAGCCTCGGCCGGCATTGATGGCTACGATGCTTGACCACTACAACACGCCTACACCGCTGAGAAATTGGCAATCCAAGGCATTCCACTCTGAAGATGAAATGATTGATGATATTGATGCAGCCATCCTCCATAAGTAAAAGTATGTTGTGAATCTATACAGACCCGACATACTGAGTTGAATTGCTCGAAGTGATCTCATAGTGTTCGCATTCCTGGGCAATTTGAGGCTTTGATTATGACAGTTTTCTTTTGGCCAGAGACCTGAGAGACCATCAATGGTTTGCAGTGCCAGATCCACCGACAAATATGCGAAATATGCTGATGTAGTATGCCATAGTATGCCGAAGCAGTTGGATCAGTTGGTACTATTGTTGTGCCATGTTGTACCAACCGATCCAATTCTGCCAAGGACAAAGAGATGCAGGAACTCCTAGGGATTTTGTGCAACGAAAAGACCGATGGCCTGTCCTTAGAGCGTGCAAAGATTTTTGGGAAGGTTTGGCGAAGCTGCCTTCCAGAGGATAGTGATGAGAAGACCAGGAAGCTGCTTCGGTCAAAGACGTGGTTGGATATGTTGGATGCTTTGCGCGATGATATCTTGAGTGTCCTTGACAGTGTCGGAAAAAGTACCGACAGACCTGCAACGCACAAAGAAGTCATGCTGAAGGACGATGGCCATGCCCCAGTGACAAGCATAGTTGACTCCAAGATGCAGAAGGCATGGACCGAGACAGTGAGGGACGACATCATCAAGGCATGCGCAGTGCTTGAAGAGAATGCGATTCTAGCTTCATTGAACACATCCGAACAGGCTAAAAAGAACATAAAGAACGAGAAACTCCTCATTGTTTCAGTAAGATTCTTGTTTTTCCCCGATTTGTTTTGCGGTTTTGTCGTTATATGTGCTGTTTTGTCCTCACTGATCTCACTGCGGTGCTCTGATCACACCATTTGCAGTGAGGGAGCTCTTGGAGCAGTTTTTGAAAGTGCAGACAGACTATGTTGATGCGATCAGTGAAGACATAAAAAAGATAGAAGGTGAGCTTCAAGTGAAAGAGCGTAGAGAACAGCACAAGAAGAACATCTTTGATCGGCTCAGTGGGAAGATTGACAAAGAGGTGCCAGCCCCTGTCCATTGATACCGGATAAGGATGGATAAGGATTATTTCATGATAATTTTACCACAGTGAATTTCTCTTAAAGTGACACTGCATGATGTTTACATAATATGTTTACATGCCCACCCCGGTAGGTGACATTTGCGTCTGCATCTGGTGGCAAGGGCAGCATGGCAGATTGGAAGAAAAGAGTAAAAGAGATTTGCAGCAAAGTGAAGGACCCGACTGGCAAGCTTGGCATTCCTTTGCCATCGTATTGGTCTGGAGGACCAGCATTCGAGCCACAGATGCAGCTAGTGATGGCCGTTTACCGCAACAGATCGTCGGAGTCTAATGTACAGCTTCTTCAAAAACTCTTTGCAGAAGTTGCTCAGATTCTACTGTACGCAGAGTCTTTCACCATCTTTCACCTGTGAAAGCGCTGAAGGGAGTCTTTAGGATGGCAGCTGATGGCACCTGCAGTTTGCTGGCCAGAATCAATATTGACCAGGGCGTTGTGGTTTTTTTTGCTATTGAATCCTGTGGCTTGACGTAGTTCTGAACACCCAGGAGGAGTGGAACAATTTGAGGGAAAAGTGCGCGTCTTTGCAAAAGCGGCTAGAACGCGCGAAAGAGAAACTTGAGTCTTGCCTTGATATACATAGTAAGTGTGGACCAAACTTACATGTTGCCATCATCGGCCATGTGCCCACCATCCCTGGCCGCAGTTGTGACAGTTCTCGACGCTTACCCTTGAGGCACAAAACGAAGCACTGCAGCAGAAGGAGGAGAAAGTGTATATGTTAAGTGCAAGAATGGACAACTTGCTCCTCCTCTCCCAGGAGCATCGCTTCTTGCCTGTTCAGGAATTCTTTTGGGTGCTTGATGGGCAGAATCCAAAAAAGAAGCGTGAAGATGCAAATGGGATGAATACGAGTCAGAGATGCTGGCTGAGCCGACCATATAGGGAACACGTTTGAGAATAGGCCAGGGCTCCGAAGTTTCATCAGTTGTGCCAGTTCTTTGTTGAAACGTTCTGCTATTGTTGGGGCTTCTTCCCCGGGCCAAGCCCCATTTAATTGTGTTGACAGTCACAGGAATAGTACTGAGCATAGCCTAGGCAAGGTGCCCGTGCTGAAAGTCGCTATACCTTTGGAGAACCAGTTGGGATTCTGGGCAAAAATCCAAGACAGCTCCTTGGCTGCAGGACTCGCAGAGGCTGGAAGAAAAAATTGACAAACAATAATTAAGGTTTGCTTTGGCAGCATCCTTGCTGTTGCGAGGCAGGCGACAGTGAAGCTAAACAACACGTCTGCCATTATTTCATATCATGTCCATTTCATGTCCATCATTTTGAATTTGCGCAAGGATGCAAAACATTGGTCCGCCATTGTGGAACCACTCTTGCCACTGAAGTGACCATGCAGCGCAGGGTTGAGACAATTTGGATACCAGTAGTACCGCACAAGGCGGTAGCAGAAGTTTCAAAAATAGGAAAGCTATAGGAGAGATTGGTTGTTGTGAATCACGGATGGCAGAGCGAATCCACTGATGGACCGAAAGGTGGTTGGAGCTGTGTTTTTTGGAGTGGCTGCAATGGTTGCAGTGGTCCCCTGGTCGGTCACCTCACCCACAACTGCTGGATGTAGCGTGGTGTGGTGCAGCTGTAGTTGTAGTTGTAGTGTAGTGGAGTTGTAGTTGTGGTGTAGTGTAATTAGTGTAGTGTAGCGTAGTTGCAGTTGCATTTGTGGTGGTGAAATGAGTGTAGTGTAATGATATATAATAAATATTAATAAATAACGTAATGTAATGCAATGTGGGGTAAGGTAGTGTAGTGTAGTGTAATTGAGTGTAGTGTGGTGTGGTGTAGTGTACAGTAGTGTAGTGTAATGCAATTAGTGTAGTGCAGTGTAGTGTACTGTAGTGCAGTGCAGTGCAGTGTAGTGTAGTGTAGTGTCGCGTGGTGTAGCGTAGTGTAATTGAATGTAGTATACCGTAAGTGTAGTTAGTGGTGGTTGTAGTTGAAAATGCTACACAACCCTCACGTTTTGCTCACTTTTGACAAGGTGCACAATCCCTTGCAACTGCCACGCGAAACGACATCTGAACCTCCAAAAGTGGTCCGAACCCTTCGTGTTTTTTTGAACATTTTGACTTCGAAATGTGCTTCGCGCCACAACGGCGCGCGCTTTTTCGACATCTCAACTTCCAAAAGCGGTCCAAACGTGAGGTGTCTTTAGCTTTTTCACTTGCAAATATGCTTCGCACCACACTTTTTCATACTTTTTCGACATCGCAACTTCCAAAAGTGGTCCGAACCTGGTGTGCTTTGTACATTTTGACTTCGAAATGTGCTTCGCGCGCCAAAACGGCGTGCACTTTTTCGACATCTCAACTTCCAAAAGTGGTCCGAGAATGGTGTGTTTTGATGTGTTTTGTACATTTTGACTTCGAAATGTGCTTCGCGCCACAACGGCGTGCAATCTTTCATCTCTCATCTGGCCACATGGCTCCGCACCCGCCGCTTTAGCGGGCCTAATTTTCGACCCTCCGGGGCCACAAATCATTGGAAAAACACAGTGTTTCGCGACTTTCCTACCTTTTCGCGCACCTGCATCTTCTTTCTCCTGACTCTTTCTCTTCTCTGATCGTCTCTCTTCTGCTCTTCTGTCTTCTACTCTTCTCTTCTCTCTGACTCTTCCCATCTCTGCTTTTCATCTGTCCATATCGTCGGAAGTTTGACGTCTAAACTTCCTTCGATCAAGAACTCTGATAAATCTATATACAGAATCTGTAGATAGTGCGCCGATGTGCTCCGTCTTCTGAAAAATCATTTCCTGTCGTACGCTTGCCGCAGAGCCTGACTGCCTCCGTGGGCTACTGTGGCGGCTACTGGCTCACAATCCAATACTGAGGTGACAATTTTCAAGACAAGTTTGTGACCGACCTTGCAACACACCTGTGCGTCAACGATCTGCGGCGTCAATTACTCGGTGTGGGGGGAATTGTCCACGCCGTACTCGTACATTATATGTTCCCAAGTTAGATTGGATTTGTCGGCTAAGTGCGTGTGTCAGACAATCGAGGAAACGCACTTGCACCTCCGAAATGTTTGCCAAGCGACTAGCTGCAAAATCACAGCTCGATGTGTTGCGACTAAAGCCGGCTTCGAATCATTGCGAGCCAAATACGATAGAGAGACCGATGACTATCGCTGTGACCTGCCGGGTGATAGCGATTTTGCCGACTTGGGGTGTGTATCTGGGCCCAACCAGTGTGAGACCGATGCACATGGCGCATAAATGCCACTGAGACATCGTACTGTACCAAGCAAAAGGATGCTAAACGATCTGCAGATGTGATCAGATATGTCCGCGGCATCGATTGCACTGGCTAAGGCACTCATATTGCGCCGATTCTGTCGCGAGGATCGCAGCTTTCAGTTGGTTTTCGAGGGCTCCTTTGAATGCGAGCTAGCAAACGATCAGAATCTTTTTGAACGACTCGAGGACGCCATCAAGCGTGTTTCCGTGCATAGCGCTTGCATTTGTAGAATCTCCCGGGGCAGCTACGCTGTAAATCTATGGTGTTCGAATCAGTGTGTTCCAATCAAACCATTTGTTATCATTATTGATGCACGGGCGTCTACATGACTTTGACTCTTGTTTATTTCTTCTCAAGATTCTCAAGAGATCCCCGTTATTCCCCGTTCCAATTTCCAACACAGAATGGAAATGGGGTTGGGCCCTGCAAAATGGGGTTGGGCCCTGCATTTGTAGAAAACGGTTGAGAATTGCATTTTATAAGATTTCAGTGTTTGTGTGGCTGAAAGACCTTTGAAAATCGAAAGTCATTTTTTAGCAAAGGAAGTTGCCCTTCGGAGAGCAACATGTTAAAACCCACTCTCATTTTGTAGCAAGGCAAGTTGCCTTACAGACAACAACATTTTAAATCTGCAGTTGCATGCTTGACATGTAAAAGCAAGTATAAAAATCCAATCCTTTTTTAACGTCATTTGGTAGTAGTGGAGGGTCCTCTTCAAGTAGCCTGATGAAAAAAAACAATCTTCATTTCGTAGTGATGGAGGGTCCCCTTCAAGTAGCTAATAATAAAAAGCCAATCTTCATTTTGTAGCAGTATCATGTTGTCGTTGTCCGAAGCCCTCAGGAGGTTGAGAAACATCATTTAATGGCTAAGGTTAGGAACAAATGCAATGCCTACAATGACACGTCCCGGAGGTCCCGGCCCGGTGAAATTCAACCGGGGATCTCAGGAGCCAGGCCGCTAGGCTTTAGATGGCTTTAGAATCTTTTACCCTACTCGTACCGTCTCGTACCGTCTCGTACCGTCTCGTACCGTCTCGTACCGTCTCGTACCGTCTCGTACCGTCTCGTACCGTCGTACCTTCCAGCCAAGCTGCTCCAGGACGCTTTGAACGTGGAACGTCCGTTTGAAAGCCTGAAAATTGTGGAAGTGAAACCAAGCGGAGAAGCGGAGGCAGTGCCACAGTCAAGACAAATCCACGGACACGTGACAATGGGGCGACGTAGTTTTTTGCTCAGAAGCCTTGCGGAAAGCTTGCTGCTTGCTTGATCTTGCTTGTCTATCTTGTTGTGAGATTGGCTAAACTCATACGTTATATGTCTATGTTTTTTATACTGTAATATTCCCTGTAGCTTCACCAGTGGCATGCTTCAAGCAGTTTCTCATGACAAACCAATTACGGCTCTCTGCAAAAACTCCACGAACCTCAAGCTCCCTGCAGGACCTGTTTCAATATTCGTACGGTAATTCATAAGCCAAAATATGTAATACAGATCAAATCAGATCAATGAATAGTCTTTCTACAGTGAGACAGGTCGGCTTTGCATTTAGGCTGGCAGAACGCTATCGCTATCTCCAGTTTTTCTATGAAAAAGGGGGGGCCCATGTACCTGCTTGCCGACACAAGATGTGCACAGATAGCTGGAAAAACTTTGCATCCAATCAAACTGCCATTGAGTCCATTTTCATATTTTCACAGTAACAAATGCCTCAAAGGTTTTCTTATATTTTCTTGTCGGTATTATTTGCTCTTTCCACGCAGGGCCGTTTGAATAGATTGCGCCATTTATCTAAAACACGGCTATTACTTTGATGTTTTTAAGTAGAATTATGTGTATTATTGATTTATTGGAAGGGTAGCAGTGGCTTTCCCACCTATAAATTCTGTGCGGCATAATTACACCCCCTGCGAATGAATCGAAGCGTATGTGCAGGATATTCACATGTGTTGCTACTCTTACCTGTTGTCCTGTTATAAGTTTGCATTCTTTATGGCTTCGACTGATATGTTTGCCAATCCAGGTTCTTAAGTAAGGACTATTTGTCAAGCTTTCACAGAGCGGCACCGCTTGTTTCTCCAGACCACTGTGGCAGGCTGGTTTGTGTCCAGAAGGCCATTTGCTGGTCCCTTTCGGCACTAGCAGGGACAATGGTTGGGGCTGTGATGGCAGGCATGAGGAAGGAGGCTGCCTCAGTGGCATCACTGGCTTTGGACAGAGTGCGGGCATCAACCGCTTTTGCTGCAACCGATGTGACTTTGATTACTGCGAGAAGTGCTATATCCGCCGAGCCGGGGCAAAGCACTGCAGCAATGGACATCCATTGATTCCATTGTGCACAACAAAAAACACTGGCTGGCTTTGCAACAAGATAGACGAGGGATGCAAGCGAGGGGACAAAACGAAAGGTGTCAACAGATATCGCTCCGGCCTCAGTCATCGAAGCACATACTGCTGACATGGGCTGTGACTGCATCTCACTATTTCTCGCTGCATTTGATTGCTTGCTTTCCTTCGAATATGGACTCGAGGGGTTCTTATGGAGCACCAGCAAGATGAACATGTGTTTTGTTTTTTTGATGTTTATGTAGTTCTTGTCCCTGATATTTTCCCATGGAGGGCTATGTTTTTCGTTTTTTTCCCAGCCTGGCTTTGTGGCTTCTTTGGCTTTTGTGGGTGTGTGGCTTTTGTGGCTTTAGCATGCTTTACCTATCTATCTACCTAATCTAACCTGATCTAATCTAATCTAACCTAATCTAGTCTTATCTTATCTAATTTTATCTCATTTCATTTTGTTTTATCTTGTTTTATCTTGTTTTATCTTGTTTTTATCTTGTGTTATCTAATCTATGTAATCTATCTAATCTATCTAATCTATCTATATAATATATCTCATCTATCAAATCGATCAAATCTGTCAAATCTATCTATTTAATCTGTCTATTTACTATGTCTATTTAATCTATCTATTTAAGATAACTATTTAATCTAACTAGTTGATCTATCTATTTAATCTAACTAGTTAATCTATCTAGTTAATCTAATCTAATCTCATCTAACCTGAACCGAACCTAATCTAATCTAATCTATCTAATCTATCTAATGTATCCAATCTATCGATCTATCAATCTATCACCCTATCAATCTATCAATCTATCTATCTATCTATCTATCTACCTATCTGTCTATCTATCTATCTATCTTTATATACACACCTTGTATCCCTACATGTGCCTTAATCCAACCCTCAACAAACTCTAAATTGACCACAAACCCACCCTAAATAACCATAAATTGCCCTAAATAACCCTAAATTACCCTAAACCAACCATAAGCCAACCCAACATAACCCTCCCTAAATAAACCCTAAACCAACCCTCAACTAAATAAACCTAAACCAACCCAAAATAAACCCTAAACTAACCCTAAATAAACACTAAACCAACCCTAAATAAACGCTAAACAAACACCAAACAAACCGTAAACCAAACCCAAACATAACCTAAATGACCCTTAACCAAACATAAACCACGCCTAAATAAATCCTAAACCAACCCAAAATAAATCTAAGCCAACCCTAAAATAACCCCACATAACCCCTGAACCAACCCCGAATAACCCCTAACCCAACCCTAAATAAACCCTAAACCAAGCCTAAATAAACCCTAAAGGCCCTAAACCAACCCTAAATAAGCCCTAAACCGAACCCAAATAAACCCTAAACCAAACCTAAACATAACCCAAATGACCCTAAACCAACCAACACGATGATAGCATCCAATGCCGCTATTTAGACCCAACACGGTTGTGCTTCAACCTATATGTTCACCAGCTGCATGGTATGCATGGAAAAATCGATCAAAACCATGGAAAAATCATTTGAAACAATGGAAAACTCAATGAAAGACTATGGAAAATCAATGTTAACTTTGGGTAAATCAATGAACACCATGGAAAAACCGGCTAAAACCATGGAAAAATCGATGAACATTGCAAATGGCAAATTTTAGCTCCAAAATTCAGCAAAGTACAGGTTTTTGCTCCAAAATGTAACAAATAGCAAGGAAAAGTGCCCCAGACTGGAAAAAAACAAGATGAAGCCCACGAACCCGAATGCTCACACGTATGTTAATGGTACACATGTCAAAACGCAGTCACACACAATACCTTTCTGCAATATTTTATTTGAACAGTCTTGTACATGTTTCCCTTGTTACCAGTCTGCAGTGTGGAGTGGAAAGTGTAGAGTGTGGAGTGTGGAGTGTGAAGTAAGGAGTGTGGAGTGTAAAGTGTGGAGTGGGGAGTGTAGAGTGTGTAAAGTGTAGAGTGAGGAGTGTAAAGTGTAGAGTGTGGAGTCTGGAGTGTAAAGTGTAGAGTGTGGAGGGTAGAGTGTAAAGTGACGAGTGTAAAGTGTGGAGTGAGGAGTGTAAAGTGCAAAGTGTGGAGTGTGGAGTGTAAAGTGAGGAGTGTAAAGTGTGGAGTGAGGAGTGTGGAGTGTAAAGTGAGGAGTGTAAAGTGTGGAGTGTGGAGTGTGGAGTGGAAAGTGTAGAGTGTGGTGTGTAGAGTGTGGAGTGTAAAGTGTAGAGTGTAAAGTGTAGGGTGTGGAGTGTAGAGTGCAGCGTGTGGAGTGTGGAGTGGAAAGTGTAGAGTGTGGTGTGTAGAGTGTGGGGTGTGGAGTGTAAAGTGTGGAGTATAGAGTGTGGAGTGTGGAGTGCAAAGTGTAGAGTGTGGAGTGTGGAGTGTAAGTGTGGAGTGTAAAGTGTGGAGTGAGGAGTGTAAAGTGGAAAGCGTGGAGTGCAAAGTGTAAAGTGTAAAGTGTGGAGTGTAGAGTGTATAGTGTAGAGTGTAAAGTGTAGAGTGTGGAGTGTGGAGTGTAAAGTGTGGAGTATAAAGTGTAGAGTGTGGAGTGTAAAGTGTGGAGTGTAAAGTGTGGAGTGAGGAGTGTAAAGTGTGGAGTGTAAAGTGTGGAGTGTGGAGTGTGGAGTGTAAAGTGTGGAGTGGAGTGAGGAGTGTAAAGTGTGGAGTGTAAAGTGTGGAGTGTAAAGTGTTGAGTGTGGAGCGTAAAGTGTAGAGTGTGGAGTCTGGAGTGGAAAGTGTATAGTGGTGTGTAGAGTGTGGAGTGTGGAGTGTAAAGTGAGGAGTGTAAAGTGTGGAGTGTGGAGTGAGGAGTGTAAAGTATAAAGTGTGGAGTGTGGAGTGTACAGTAAAGTGTGGAGTGTGGAGTGCGGAGTGTGGAGTGGAAAGTGTAGAGTGTGGAGTGTGGAGTGTAAAGTGTGTGGAGTGTAGAGTGTGTGTGTAAAGTGTGGAGTGAGTGTAAAGTGTGGAGTGTGGAGTGGAAAGTGTAGAGTGTGGTGTGTAGAGTGTGGAGTGTGTAGAGTGTAAAGTGTGGAGTGTAGCGTGTGGAGTGTGGAGTGAGTGGTAAAGTGTAGAGTGTGGTGTGTAGAGTGTGGGGTGTGTAGAGTGTAAAGTGTGGAGTGTAGTGTAAAGTGTGGAGTGTGTGGAGTGTGGAGTGTAAAGTGTGTGAGGAGTGTAAAGTGTGGAGTGTGGAGTGTAAAGTGTGGAGTGTGGAGTGTAAGTGTGGAGTGTGTGGAGTGTAAAGTGTGTAGAGTGAGGAGTGAGGAGTGAAAGTGTGGAGTGTAAAGTGGAGTGGAGTGTGTGAGTGCAAAGGAGTGTAAAGTGTGAGAGTGTGGAGTGTGGAGTGTAAAGTGTAAAGTGTAGAGTGTGGAGTGCGGAGCTTCCCCCATAGACACGGCGACGCCACAGGAAAACCAGAGACTCGAGACGAGACAGTGTAAAGTGATATTTTGACACGAATCAAACAGGTTGGAATGTCACAAAGTGCCACGCCTGCCACGCAAAACGACATGACAACCTGCTTGGACACATTCGAATAGGAGATGTTTTCCAGCTTCCCCCATAGACACGGCGACGCCACAGGAAAACCAGCGACTCGAGACAAGACACGTGGATGCAGAAAAACCAGCATTTCGTACGAGACTTCCGGCATCTTCCGGCAAGTTTCACAGTTGGCAACATGACAAAAGGACAGGTTTTGCAGCTTCCCCCCTAGACACGGCGAAGCCACAGGAAAACCAGAGACTCGAGACGAGACGCGTGGGAGCACCAAAACGAGCATTTCGTGCGAGAATTCTTCCAATTTTCACTCTTTGTAGCTTCAAAATCAACGTTTTCCTACGAGTTTTCGTAGGAACCTCTAAATTTTGCAACCTCAAAATCGATGTTTCGTGCGAGGCTTCCGTCATTTTCAGCACATGTCACAAAATGCCACGCCTGCCACGGAATTTGCACCTTGTCGCCACTTGACGCAGCCATGCCAATGCGATTTCCAAAAAACACGTGACACGACACGTCTAAAGTGTTGCGCCTGCCACGCAAAATGACGATGGACACGTCCAAAGTGCTGCGCCTGCCACAGAAAACGACTTTCAACATGTTACAAAACACGTCTGAATGTCACAAAGTGCCACGCGTACCACGCGAAACGAAGCAACGAAACGTTGGAAACCTCCAAAAATGACCCCTCCTGCAGAACTTACCATAGGCACGGCCATACGGGGATCGCGCGAACGGTTGCGGACGGTTGCGAACAGAAACGCGGCGTCGAGCGAACACACCCTTAACCCCCAGACCCCAGAGTGAAACGGGAACCCTTGCTACGCATTCGGGAACAAGAAAAAAAACAACAAGATACAACCCACGAACCCGAATGCACTCACGCAAAACACTCTTGTGAAACATGTCTTTTGAACGATCTGAATCTTGTAATTTCTTCCCTGTTACCGTACCAGTGCGCTGTAGACACTGTGGAATGTGGAAGGGGTGGAATGCAAAGTGTGGAGTGTGAATAAGTGTAGATCTGTGAAGAAGTGTAGAGTGTGAAGTGTGGATTGTGGAGTGCACAGTGTACAGTGTCAAATGTGTAGTGGAAAGTGTGAAGTGTAGAGGGCGGAGTGCAAAGTGTAAAGTGTAGAGTGTGGAGTGTAAAGAGTGCCCAATGTAAAGTGTAAAGTGTGGAGTGTAGAGCGTAGAGTGTAAAGTGCAAAGTGTGGAGTGTAGAGTGTTAAGTGTAGAGTGTAAAGTATAGAGTGAAAAGTGTAAAGTGTGTAGTGTAAAGTGCGGAGTGTAAAGTGTACAGTGTGGAGTGTAGAGTAATGTAGAGTGCAAAGTGTAAAGTGTGGAGTGTAAAGCTCAAAGTGTAAAGTTCAAAGTGTAAAGTTCAAAGTGTAAGGTTCAAAGTGTGCAGTGTAGAGTGTGGAGTGTGTAGTGTAAAGTGTAGAGTGTAAAGTGTAAAGTGTGGAGTGTAGAGTGCGGAGTGTAAAGTGTAGAGTGTGCAGTGCAAAGTGTGGAGTGCAAAGTGTGGAGTGTAAAGTGTAGAGTGTGGAGTGAAAAGTGTAAAGATGTGTAGAGAGTGTAAAGTGTAAAGTGTGGAGCGTAATTAAAGTGTAGAGTGTGGAGTGTAAAGTGTAAAGTGTAGAGCGTCCGAAAAATTGCGCCTGCCACGCAAATGATATTCCACATACAACGGATCTGGACCAAGTACTGCCCCTGCCACGCAAAATGACACGGTCACGCACAAAACGGCATAAGAACTTGTTTGGACACCTTCGAAAATGAGAGGTTGCGCAGCTTCCCCCATAGACACGGCGGCGCCACAAGAACACCAGAGCATGAAGACGAGACAGCGAGCATTTCGTGCGAGACTTCCTCAAATGTTCATTCATATCTTGTAACTACAGATGCTACAGAATCAACGCTTTCCCACGAGTTTTCTCATGAACTCCTAAATCTACAACCTTAAAAATCCTTAAAATCGATCTTTCGTGCAAGGGCTCCGTCAATTTTCAGCACATCTCACATAATGCCACGCCTGCCACGGAATTTGCACTTTGTCACCACTTGACGCAGCCCTGACAATGCGATTGGCAAAAAACACCCAACACGACAATCCTGAAGTGTTGCGCCCGCCACGCGAAATGACGATGGAGGTCTCCAAAGTGCTGCGCCTGCCACGAAAACTGCAACTCATCTTCTGAAAACGACGCGGAAGCATTGCGCCTGCCGCACAAAAACGATTTTCGACAAATTATGAAACATGTTGGAATGTCACACAGTGCCATGCCTGCCACGCGAAACGAGGCTACGCAACGTTTGAAACCTCCAAAAGGGACCTTTTTTTTTTTGCAGAACTCGCCATAGGCACGGCCATAGGGCCCACACACGAACGGTTGCGGACGGTTGCGAACGGTTGCCAAACGTCTGGCGAACACAGCCTCAACCCCCAAACCCCCGGAGTGAAACGGGAACCCTTGCTAGGCACGGGGAAAAAAACAAAAAATCTGCACCCTTTTCGCATGGAGAGCCGCTTGTCGTAGTTAACTCATGCACTTTCAGCTGCTGGCCGATGCGCTCATCATGCATGTCATCCTTGCACCTCATTTTTTGATTCTGTGACAGGCTCACACGCTACCTATATAAAGATGATAGTTCCGGTATGTTCTCTCAAGCGTCAGGCCAGCCATGCTGAACCCCAATTGCTATATTACTGTTACTTAACCATACCTAATCATATTTAACAGTGGATTTACAATGATCCACATATGTCTTGGGCACTTGCAGTCCGTCACTCAAAGGTTGCGAAGAATGCGACTACGATTTGTGCGATATTTGCCACCAGGCATGCGACCATGACCATGTACTGGAACATGATGTAGATGACAGGAATTTAAGTCACGGACTCCCTGTGCGGGCTATACGTCTAGATTCTGAACTGGACAGGTTGTCGTTTGCACATTTTGGTGTGCAGTTATTTGTCCAGGGATACGGGCTTATTTAACATTCTTGTCCTTGATTGATTTTGAAAAGAAATCGGCAGTCGAACTGTCAAGCATATAAACTGATGTGCTACATTGTCCTTCATTCCACGCCTGGTGCGACATTGTCAGGCAAATGCCTTGTGGTGCTGGGCATACTGGTTGAGAAGCGATGATGATGAAGACATCAAGGAATTGCTGGTGGAGCCTTGATGACAAATTGTGGTGGGGTTGGCTCCCGTTGGTTATCTTTGTCCGTTGCAGGACCCCTTATCAATAGTAACTCCCGGATACAGGAGTGATATTATGGGCAATTGTGATCACTGATCAGATTTCCATAGCATTTCCATGGCCGTATCCGCACAATTCCGCATATTTAGATATTTATTTATTGATGGCTCACTTGATTGTAGCTGTCCTTGTCTGATTTCGATTCAGAAAGCAAACAGAAGTTGGATGAAGTTTACCAGCTAAGCCTCGAAGACCCAGTATTGAGGAAGCAAACTGCAGACCTGATGCTGACCACGAAACCGTGTTCAACTGCCAAATTGAGTTGGAAGCGGATACTTCTGATGAGGTGACCTGGCTTTTTGTGTTGGGGGATCAAAGATACTGGGTGATCAACAAGAACATGTTTGTTAGGGAGGGTGGTGGCAGTGTCGTGGTCAGAAACAAAGACATCAGCCCGTAGGACGGATTTCAAAGTCATGAATGACCTGTGCAAAGGCTGCTGTGCGTCCTGAAAGTATCGTCAAACTGCTCTGCGTGCTTTTTTGGCAAGATGGACAGACACACATACACACGCACACGCACACACACGCACTTGCTCAGAACTGTCATTGTTAATTTTGTTGTGGAATGCATTTTACGTGCAAAAACACTCGCCATCGCCAGTGTAGTTTCCAACATCAAAGTTGAAGATTGACATTGACCAGATTGCGAAAACCGTGCAGGAAAAGTGGTGACATCCAACTGGTTAAACGGCAAGGTGGGTCTTGGATTAGCCACCTCCCATTTCCAAAGAAGGACATGCTTTGCAGGTACGTCGGGATGATCAGTCCCGATATCACAATAATCTCAAACCACCGTCTTCGTGGGGCAGTGGATGGAATAAGATTCACTGCTCCCTGCCAATAAAAAAAAATAAGCTTTACATCTCTTCAGATGGTTCACACACACACACACCTTCACCCAGGAGGGTGGGGAAATTAAGGTCCTGAGTCCTGACAAATGAGATGAAAATGAGGATGAAAGGAAATGAAGATGAGGTGAAAATGAAAATGATATAAAAGTTGCTTAACCAGGACACGAGGAGGAGAACGCAAAAGAAGAGGGAAGTAGCAAACACCAACACAAACACACCTGGCCCAGAGCTGGCAAACCCTGAAAGGGCAAGAGAAGCAAAAACGGAGGCCGACGGAAACGGAACAAGACCAGCGGAGGAGGGGGAGGACGGAAGCGCCTAAACCAACCTACCACAGCGAAACCTAAGCCTACCTAAGCCTAAGCACACGCAAAACCCAACCTACTTAAAGAGAGGGGCACGCATGAGATAGGGGCTAATTGGGGACTAGTTGGTGAACATGCAAGATTCGTGATAAGGCTGAAGGCCCTCGAAGTTCAAGTCACAACCCTCTGGACTCTGGACGGCTTACGTGGTCAACCCTCGAATTAATGCACAACTAAACTTCACCAACGACCAAAAGAAAGTGACACCACACTTGAAAGCATGTCTTTTGCCTGTAGGTCTCATGAAATGTGACCAATGCCAATGAGTCTGTCTCTCGAGCATTGCTGAAAAAAGAGGCTTGTCACGGCTGACGGCTACTCACTCCTGAGAATCAAGACAAAGAAGGCGAGGCCCAGTGCAGCGGCAAGCTGTTGTAAGACAAACCCGGCCGATGGGTGAGGAAAGGGAAAAAGGCCATCTGTTCCACTTTACTTAGACGAATTACTAGGTTAAAACTTAAAAAGCGCAATTTCAGAGATTGCGTCGAAGGATCAGCCGTTCTACCTAGACAGGTGTTCCCCGAGGGGCTCACGGCATCTTGTCGAACCGGCGTGAGTAACACACTTGCTCAGAACTGTCATTGCGAATTTTGTTGTGGAACGCATCTTACGTGCAAAAACACTCCAATTACACCTAACAGGCATGGGTGGGTGAAGAGACCCGAAAAAAGCTATCAAGAAGCTACCATCGCCATAGCCAGGGTGGTTTCCCGTCAAAATTGAAGATTGAAATTGATCAGGTTGCGAAAACCGTACCGGAAAAGTGGTGACATCCAACTGGTTGAAAAACGACAAGGTGGGTCATTTCCAAAGAAGGACCTGCTTTGCAGGTACGTCCGGATGATCAGTCCCGATATCACAATCTCAAACCACTTTCTTCGTGGGGCAGCGGATGGAATGAGATTCACTGCCCCTCTGCCAAGAAAAAAGTTAAAAGTTTTACATCTCTTCAGATGTTTCACGCACACACACACACACACTCACACACTTGAAAGAGCGCATGTAGCCGTAGCCGGTGGTTATTTTAACTCTTATGAGTATAATGAGAAAATTCCCTGGAATGCCTGTTGCCGTGATCGACATGGGTGGTTTTTGGCTTGGCAACCGCGCCGTGGTAAGAGAAAACAATCTAGTTATTGAAAAATGGAGGTTCTTCACTTCAGAACAGGTACGTGGATTCTGCGTCCAGAATCCATTTCAGTGACTTGTAACAGCCTCTTCGTGTTCGTGGGACTGCCACTGTTACAAGTCAGGCAGTCCCCCTGTTGTGAAACTTGGAAAATTGAAATCCGCAGCAAGGAACACAGGCACCCTTTGGAAAAGGGGCTGACACACACACACACTAGAAAGAATTGTATCATTGAAGTGATACGATGGGAACTGAATCCCATAAAACCTAAACCAACCTGATTTAAATAGATTACAATTAATACATATATAATCATATATATATATATAAAACTATGGTGGCCACAAGCTGCGACTTAAATGCGCCCAGGTGCACGACCAAAGTGCTGCGGGTACGTTTGCACGGGTCCCGGGAAGGTGTCTTCGTTGGTCACCGACCCTCTCGGGACCCCGGTGACCCCCGCAATATATGCAAAAAGGAATATAGCAGAAGTTTTACATCTATTAAGATGTTACACACACAAAGGGCGTTTATCGCCAGACAAAGATGAATGATGCCTTGACATCTTTTGATGTCAAGTTCAGCTGGATCGGAAATGTCTGGCCAGCAGACCTTTCTGTACAAACGGATTTATGAAAAAAGCTTGCAAAGCAGTGAGCCGGGCTTTGTTCAAGACCGCTCAACCTGACACGGGGAGATTCCTTGAACGTCATACCTTGCAGTGACCTTGTGGCGGTTCTTGGCTTAGCCGCTCGCCATTCCCACACAGCAGAAAACATACACCGGAAACAACGACAAAAAAAAAGTAAAAAAACGGAACGAGGAATCGCCAACAATTGCAACCAGGGCCGGAAAAAATGTAATGGTATGGCTGTACACGGAAACTGTCTTAAACCGGTTCGCTGTACACAGAAACCTGCACGTTGCTCCACATGACTGTACACGGAAAGTTGTGCGATGCCTGCTGGAACACTGTCAAATCGGCAAGCGCACCGGAAAAGAGTTATGAAACATGGGTTAACTGTTAACTCACACGCAACGGCTGATTATCGCGGAGAAATGATGGGCGCTTCTCCTTTCAAAACGAAACACAACACCGGAAAGAAACAAACCCCAGGAAGGAGGAAGCACCAAGAGGTTTTAACTCGGAGTATGCAATTACACGAGGTGGATGGAAAAAAACTGTGCCGGCTTGGTTTGGACAGCCATGCTTTGGTCGTGCCAGCTATGGCTGCAAGACCCTACAAATGTTGGTATGCACAACTGTTCCTGCAAGCTGTGTCGCCTCTGACGCCCATGCCAAGATCTCGTTTGGGACTCGGAATTGCATCGAGCTTGGTGGAAATGAATGGAAATGCTGGACGGGTGCACCTGGTTCAGCGACATCGGTATGGGAAGCCTTCGTAGTCCAACAATGTGTCTGTTACGTGTGGCTTGTTCTTGTTGAGCTCGATGGGGATCAGCGTAGGCGGCCGAAGATTCCTGCAGGCTGGATGATGTTATTGCTTTACCGTGGGTGCTCTCATCGTTGCCTGCAAGGAAGGAGATGTTGTACCGCATAGCTGCACACGGAAACCTACATGTTGTAATATGTTGCCCCACATGACTGTACACGGAAAGTTGTGCAATGCCTGCTGGAACACTGGAAAATCGGCAAATGCACCGGAAAGGAGTTAGCCCTTGGAAACATGGGTTAACTCACGCGCAACGGCTGAGTATCGCGGAGAAATGATGGGCGCTTCTCCTTTCAAAACGAAACACAACACCGGAAAGAAACAAAACCCAGGAAGGAGGAAGCCCCAAAAGGTTTAAACTCAGCCCGGACATGATCAAGCCAAATTTTGGCAACGACACGGATCTGTTGTACGCGCGGGGTATTTACACGAGGTGGATGGAAAAAAACTGTGCCGGCTTCGTTTGTACAGCCTTGCTTTGTTCGTGCCAGCTATGGCTGCAAGATCCTACAAATAGAATTGTGATGTTGGTATGTACAACTGTTCTTGCAAGCTGTGTCGCCAGACACCCATGCCAAGATCTTGTTTGAGACTCGGAATTGCATCAAGCTTGGTGGACATGAATGGAAATGCTGGACGGGTGCACCTGGTTCAGCGATATCGGTATGGGAAGCCTTTGTAGTTCAACAATGTGTTTATTACCTGTGGATACCTGTGGCTTGGTCTTGTTGAGCTTAAGATGGGGATCAGCGTAGGCGGCCGAAGATTCCTGCAGGCTGGATGATGTTATTGCTTTACCGTGGGTGTTCTCATCGTTGCCTGCAAGGAAGGAGATGTTGTACCGCATAGCTGCACACGGAAACCTACATGTTGCCATATGTTGCCCCACATGACTGTACACGGAAAGTTGTGCGATGCCTGCTGGAACACTGGAAAATCGGCAAATGCACCGGAAAGGAGTTAGCCCTTGGGAACATGGGTTAACTCACGCGCAACGGCTGAGTACCGCGGAGAAATGATGGGCGCTTCTCCTTTCAAACGAAACACAACACCGGAAAGAAACAAACCCCAGGAAGGAGGAAGCCCCAAGAGGTTTAAACTCAGCCCGGACATGGTCAAGCCAAATTTTGGCAATGACACAGATGTGTTGTATGCGAGGCTGAGTATTTACACGAGGCGGATGAAAAAAAACTGTGCCAGCTTAGTTTTGTACATTTGATTTTTGGTGCTGCCAGCCGCCAGCATGGCTGCAGAATTCAGAAAATCATACGAACACCTTTGCTGAGACCGTGTTGCAAGACTCGGAATTGCATCGAGCTTGAACATGGTCAAAAGTAATGTATGCGTTTGACAAGGTCCAAATAGGCCTGGCGCAACAATAGAGGTGCGGGAAGTCTTCGTATTCCAACACTTGATCGGCGGCAAGTTCTTGTTGACCTTCATCAGCGGTAAGTTCTTGTTGACCTTCATGGGAATCAGTACTGTTGGCCGAAGATTCTTGTGAACTGGGTGGGTGTGGCCCGGCAACCGAGAGATGTTGTACCGGATGATGTAGACTGAAACCTCTGTTGCACCGCATCACTGCACACGGAGAGCAATGTTTTATATGGAAGGACTGGACACGGAAACCTAGATGATGGTGGAAAAACGTTACCCATACAGTAGCTGCAAGCTCATTATCTTCTCACTATTGCAGGTGTTTCAGTCAGAGGCCTCCAAAGGCAATCAATCCACCTGGACATTTCATGGGTGAGAAATGCCCAAAATTTCAAATGCAACATCGGAAGATTCAAGTCACAAGTCACTTCACAAAGGATTAAATCTTGCACCTAATCCAAACTCGGCTAACGATGTTTCAAAGAAGGTTTGCTTCTGAACACAGAAGGTGATGTTCTTCCCCTGTAGCTGGAGCCTGACAGGGACAGACGTCATTCACGGAAAGAGCATCAGAATATGCGAGCAGTTCAATCAACTGGAGGACGCCACTAGCCTGGTAAAACCAGGATCACGCCCGGACCATGACGGAACCACAGCCGAACACTTGAAAGACCGCATGTCGTTGGTGGTTTTAGAACTCTTTTGAGTATAATGCGAAAATTCCCTGGAAGGCTTGTTGTCGTGATCGACATGGGTGGTTTTTGGCTTGGCCACCTTGCCATGAGATAAGAGAAAATAATCTAGTTCTTCAAAAAAAATGAAAAATGGAGATTCTTCACTTCAGAACAGGTACGTGGTTCCTGCGCCCACAATCCATTTCAGTGCATCAGACGTGCAAAAACACCAACAATAAATGACAATATGAATATAAATATATAAATGTAAAGACGTATAATCACAGTAGACGTTGACCATATAAATCAACAGCGATAAAATATATGCCCCCCCCAGCTGCGACTTATATATGCGCCCAGGGGCGGGACTATAGCAGCAGGTACAGGAAACCGGCCACGTTTCCCTTCCCACTCATGTCCACAGCTTCATTGCGTGTGGTAGGACATGAGTGCCACACGCCCCTGCTGCATAATGAAGTTTTACATCTATACAGATGGTACACACTCAAACACGCCCCGCAACAGCGGGGCAGATGAAATGTCAATGAAAGTGAGATGAGAATGAAAATGAGATGCAAATGAACTAACCAGGACGCGAAGAGGGGAACACAAAAGAAGAGGGAAAGAGCAAACACCAACACAAACACACCTGGCCCAGAGCTGGCAAACCCTGAAAGGGCAAGAGAAGCAAAAACGGAGGCCGACGGAAACGGAACAAGACCAGCGGAGGAGGGGGAAGACGGAAGCGCCTGAACCAACCTACCACAGCGAAACCTAAGCCTACCTAAGCACGCGCAGGACCCAACCTACCTGTAGAGAGGAAGACACATGAGATAGGAGACCCATGGGGGACTAGTTAATGAAAAGATGCGGCCACATTATCGTGCACATTCCCCTGGTCGGGCTCAATGGCCACAACATCAAGTCAACCCCATAAACGGCAGACAGTGGTCAGAAATGAATTACGTGCACAATTGAACCTCACCAGAGTAATCAAAAAGAAAGAGACCACACCTGAAAGACATGTCCTGATACCTGAATGTCAAAAAACAAAAAAGTGAAGCCCAGAACAGCGGCACGTTGTTTCAACACACCATGACGAATCCAGCATGAATCACACACTTGCTCAGAACTGTCGTTGCGAATTCTGATGTGGAATGCATCAGACGTGCAAAAACACCAACAATAAATGACAAGATGAATATAAATATATAAATATAAAGACGTATAATCACAGTAGACGTTGACCATATCAATCAACAGCGATAAAATATATGTCCCCCCCAGCTGCGACTTATATGCACCCAGGGGCGGCACTATAATAGCAGCAGGTACAGGAAACCGGCCACGTTTCCCTTCCCACTCATGTCCACAGCTTCATTGCGTGTGGTAGGACATGAGTGCCACACGCCCCTGCAGCATAATGAAGTTTTACATCTATACCGATGGTACACACACACACACACCCACGCACGCACGCAGGCACGCGCGCGCGCGCACACGCACACGCACACGCACACCCACTGCAATACCTACACGCACACGCATTCACTCGCAGATGCAATCCAGTTGCAACTCAATTTCCTCTAACCTTTGCGATGAGCCCCAATGACCTGCCACGCATATCTATGGCGGCCAAGCACGGCCTAGGACGAGGAGGATTGTGAAAACGGACGAGACGCCGATGATCGCCGCAGCGTTGGATCTTCTTCGACATCTTCACCTGACAGAGGCTTCTAGGCAAAGCAGTGTGACTTGCATCCACTGTATAGAGATGTCAGGAGATGCATGTCAGTCGCCATGAACTGCGACAATCATGGCGTGGCAAGGCTTTAGCGCAAGATGTCAAGGATGTCAAAGGAACATCTGTGTCAAACTATTCCAAAGTTTCGGGATGGCAGGGATCAAAATCTGGTCCTCCATGCTGGCAAGATTGACCAAAAATCGCATTCCTGGGTCGCTTGCGGCTTTGTTGTATGCTTTGTCTTGTGAAGACAGGTGTTCAGAAGATTTCAGAAGACTGCTGGCAGTCCTCATCAGGGAGCAGTTGGAACGGTTCACAGGTTTCGCTACTGAAAGGCAGTGTATGTAACACCTTTTGTCGAGTAGGTTTGCCCAAATTCAGTGGGAAGCAAGAGTCAGTGGTCGAACCAGGCTGCCAGGTGACTTGCAATGTGCTAAACTGCAGGCTTGCGGTTCCTGATTATTTTTGGATATGTTTGGGCTGTATGTGGCTCAATCTAAGCTAGTCTCTGTTTGCCAGGCGCACTCTTGCAATTCCATGTGGGAATGGCATTTAGACAATAGTTAGACCGTCGACCACAAAAGACCGTCACGAACAAACGCACATCGAGTAGTTCGAACAACTCACAATTCGCAACCCACAACCCCAAAACTGCAAATTGATGCAAATTAATGATCTGGATGATCTGGCTCCCGAGATTTGACTTGACGATTACAAGCATTGATTCGTACCCTTTCGACTTCCCTTGTGCAAGTCATACGGGCAAAGGGCACAGCAACATAGGCTCTATTTATTGCGCAAGAGGCGATAGTGCCGTCACTGTAGTGCAAATGGGAAAAATGAATGAACGTAGCAGGTTAGCCAGTTGATTAGATTAGACCTCTGACTGACTGTTTCACCTTTTTTGCCTGATGCGCCTCCTGTTGCAAGCGTTGCTTTTGAGAGCCATCGCAGACACAATACCGTCTGATGATGGGCAATGCAAAATTGGAGAGGACATCCACCTGAACGACAGTGGCTAAGCATCAAGTCAACCATCTACACGCTCTTGTTCAGAGGGACAGTGGCTGAACATCAAACCAACCATCTACTTAATTCGAACTCTTAGAGAGAGAGAGAGAACACAAATAAAACCCTAAAGAAACAATAAGAATAGAATAAGTTAAGCAAAATTGATTGAAATTGTAAATGCAAGACATGCATATAGAAAAATGTAAAGATTGTAGCGCCACAAAACCTTCAAGTTGTCGTCTTTAGGCACCTGGCGAAATCCCGCCTCGCATGAGACTCCTGCTAGTCTGATTCCACAAACATCCACAAACGGGTCTTACCAGCTCCTTGGGTGCATTTTTCTTGTCAAGCATGCTTTTACATTGTCGGTTTAAGTTTTTTGCTTTGCGTGCATGTTCTCCAAACCTTGAACCCCTCTTCCAGCAGGAGGGCTGCGCCCGAAAATGGAAGACAACGACGTTGAAGATGAGGAGATCCATTTGCCTAAGGGAACCGTAGACAAACCAATGATTGGACTCTGAAAGTTGCAGCCTCTACAACACTGAGTAGCTTAATTAGTCCTGTTGCAAAAGAGGTCATTTGCGTTGAGGGTGGGGCCTTTGGAGAGCGCAGTACGTTTCACCTTGATTCAGATTGTTTCTATGTTTTCTGAATCATTCCAACTGTCCAACTATTGTACGTTCCTTTCCCCTTTTGCTCTGAATACAATCTCGGAGGAGGTGTGCTCCACCACCTGGAAATGATTTGGTCCCAGCAAATTTGGGCCCGGAAAGGACCTGTGAGAGATCGTCTTTTGCAAAACGGAACATCTTGTCTGATTGCGTGAATGCTTTCATTGGTTTGCCTTCTGCTTCGTCTTCAATTTCCCAGGGGATACTTGGAACCGACTTTCATTGGTTTGCCTTCTGCTTCGTCTTCATTGGAACCGACTTGGAATCTTGGAAGCCTCCAGCTCCAAGTGGTATCTGAATCATCGTCTCATCAATTCCAAGCATTGGTTCAAACTGATACATTGGTCCCATTGTGCTTTGATTATTTTGCTTCAACCAGGAGGCTGTCTATGAAAGCCGCTGTGAAGCTTTGCCGCCGTCTGAGCGGCTGCCGAGCCGTGACGGCAGAAGTAGCGGCTGATTTTGCGCAGCTTGGATTCTCTTCGTGAAATGGCAGTGCTGATAGGATAGCGCCGAGAATGCCCAGGAGACAGATCAAATGAGCCAGGCAAGGTTTAACATAATATATACTATTGTTATCTACTGTTAAACGATTATACGGAGACGTGTATGTGTATATATATATATGTGTGTGTGGTTGTATGTATATATATATGTATGTATGTATACATGTGTGCGTGTGTGTCTCTACATATGTGTGTAGAGGCATACGCTTGTATGTATGTCTGTATGTATGTATGTACGTATGCATATATATATATATATATAAGACATATTACGAAAGCTAGCTTGTGCTAGCTGAAGTTGCTCTTGCTTTAGCAAGGAATAGGCAGGCACCAGGGCCGTTGGAAACCCTGAAACTTTCCAGTTAGACACCCCCCTTGGCAGGCCCGGGTTCAACCGGGCCATTGGTTTCCTGCAGGTATAGGGCCGTCCTCTTCAGTATTCCATCTTCAGAACGTCATGTTCTGTATACCAACCATCAACTCCAAAATTGCCAAATGGTCATCATTATCTTCCTCCCCCTCATCATCGTCATCCTCTTGATCATCATTATCATCATCATCATCACCATCACCCTTTTTATCACCATCCTCTTTATCATCATCATTATCCGATTATCATCATCACCATCCGTAAATCCATGCATCCATACACCCATACGTCCATACATCCATGCATCCATACATCCATACATCTGTCCGTCCGTACGTACGTACGTACGTGCATACGTACATAGATACATACGTGACAGACAGACAGACAGACAGACAGACAGACAGACAGACAGACAGACATACATACATACATATTTATGTATATATATCTCTCTCTGTCTCTCTGTCTCTGTCTCTCTCTCTCTCTCTCTCTCTCTCTGTGCACGTGCGTGTGGGTGGGTGGGTGTTTGTGTGCGTGTGTGTGTGTGTGTCTGTGCATGCGTGTGCGTATACATATATACACACATCTTTTTTCTATGTATCTATGTATCTATTTCTATATGTACATTTCTTTATTTATCTAATTATCAATCTAATCTATCTAATTTATCTAGTCTATCTAGTCTATCTAACCTATCTAACCTATCTAATCCATCTCATCTATCTAATCTATCTAATCTATCTAATCTATCTAATCTATCTAACCTATCTAATCTATCTAATCTATCTAATCTATCTAATCTATCTAATCTATCTAATCTATCTATCTATCTATCTGTCTGTCTATCTATCTAATCTAATCTAATCTAATTTAATCTAATCTAATCTAACCTCATCTAATCTAATCTATCTATCCATCTATCTATCTATCCTTTCTATCTTTCTAATCTAATCTATCCATCTACTCTTTTCTATCTATCTATCTAATCTAATCTAATCTCATCTCATCTAATCTAATCTAACCTAATCTAATCTAATCTATCCTATCTATCTATCTATCTGTCTGTCTGTCTGTCTGTCTATCTATCTATATAATCGATCTATCTATCTATCTATCTATCTGTCTATTTATCTGTCTGTCTGTCTGGCTGTCTGTCTACCTATCTATCTATCTAATCTATCTATCTATTTATCTATCTATCTATCTGTTTGTCTATCTGTCTGTCTGTCTGTCTATCTATCTATCTATCGATCTTTCTATCCATCTATCTATCTATCTAACTATCTATCTATCTATTTGTCTATTTGTCTGCCTCTCTATCTATCTATCTATCTATCTATCTATCTATCTATCTTTCCTATCCTTATCCTTTCCTATCCTTTCCTATCCTATCCTATCCTATCCTATCCAATCCTATCTTCCTATCCTATCCTTTCCTATCCTATCCTACCCTATCCTATCCTATCCTACCCTATCCTATCCATCTATCTATCTATCTTTCTAATCTAATCTAATCTTATCTTATTTTATCTTACCTTATCTTGTCTTATCTTTTCTTATCTATCTAATCTAATCTAACCTAATCTAATCTAATTTAATCTAATCGAATCTCATCTAATCTAATCTCATCTCATCTCATCTCATCTAATCTAATCTAATCTATCCTATCTATCTATCTATCTATCTATCTGTCTGTCTGTCTGTCTGTCTGTCTGTCTATCTATCTATCTATCTATCTATCTATCGATCTATCTATCTATCTATCTATCTATCTATCTATCTGTGTTTGTGCATCTTATGCCGTACTGCTTGCCGTACTTGATTGCTAATTTGCAATGCATCGCTGAGTCCGCTTTGCCAACCAGATTGCTCAACAGAATGGGAATGACTAGGGTCTTCAGTATTCTCATGTTCTATTCTCAATTTTGGGAACAGCCAACAGGTGTTTGCTGGATGGCCCGGTCCAAGGCCAGAAACAGAATATGAATGGCACTTCAAAACAACGTCCCTTGGAAAAATGAAAAACCAAGCGATTGCCCCAGGGCTGGGCTGGGGTCTCGATTTAGTTTTTGACCTCCTAGTAGTTGCACCATACCAATCATACAGACCTGTGTCACATATGATGCACCATATACATGCACCTACGCATGCTGTTGTCATGATCATTTGGATGGGTTCCACATCGGGAAAAAAAATATGATGACGGCCTTGCACCACCAAGGTTGGAACCATGTGTTCAATCTGAGAGTACTCGAACCATTGAAATTCCCCTCAAGGCTGGGGGTTTCAGAATTTAATTCTGATTTGTTTTGAGGTGCATTGTCGATTGTGATTTGTGGGACATGGTGGGACATACTTTAAGCTACCATCGACTTGTAATCACGAAACAGAGCACAAAATCCAGCCCTTCGCCTCCGGCACGCTTCGTTTTGAAGGCACGTGGGAATTCCACAGCTTGGCCTGGGCCAATGCCTGTAGCTGAACTGCAAGCGTTGAAGATGCAGATCGTCACTCAGCCTATCTCAGCCGTTCGATTCGGTGAATGCCTGCAGTACATTGCAGTACCACGTCATACCACGTCGAGTCACCTGAGTCTTTCCAGCTTGAGGTTCATGAGGATCCACCCGTCGTCCGAATTGAGAAATTTTTGTCAGCTGCTCGGCAGCACCCAAAGAGAGAACTTCATTGCAACAACATGCAACAACGTAGGTACATGTAGGTACTGATGGGCTGCACATCCGAGATGGGAGATCATCCCATATCTTGTACACATTTGATGTGCCTGCCATCCAGGTCACCCAGGTCACCCAGGTCACCCAAGCCAAGTTGCTGATGTGAAACGACAGATTCAAGCTTACCTGACTGCAAAATTGAAAGAAGTATACTTGGTATAGATATGTTTGGACTAGTCAAACTGAACGCCAAAGCAAAAGCTTTAGGCATCGCCCAATTCTCCTTGTTGGACTTGTCGTACCAATCTCCAGAAAGAAGCATGGTTGGGGACAGCAGAAACAAGCCCATCAAGAGTCACCACATCTTTCAGTATCGCTGGACTGCTGCTGTGGTCACCTATTTCAACAATTGAGAGTGATGAAATGATGTTCCGGGCGGTGGCCATGTGTAGTCATGTGATTTTATGTGCAATGTCAAGTGCCGCATTTGTTCAGAGGCCTTCATTACACTATATCATAAGGCATCATAAACGGCAATCCGTAAAGCTTTCAAGAAGTTGCTTAAGAGACCACTGCAACCCGGTCCAAAAGGAGTTGGAGATTGAGCACATCAAGAGCTTAGCAAGGCCCAGGTTTGTCAAGTCAACGGTGGGGATGACCTATGTATCTCAGCTGCACTGGTCCGACTTTTGTTCCATGATGATCATTGATGATCCACAATGCAGGGCCTTGAGTTTAAAGATGTCTGTCTAAAGTCCTTGGCCTGGTGTCTTCAACTCAAATTCTGGGGCAGGTGGCGCTCAGTTTTTTCTGAAATACAATTACAATACAGAAAAAATGCATATGCATTGCTGCATTGAAATGGTATCATGCGGGGCGAGTGTCGCCCCAGGAGCCTCGCAAGATTCTACATTATGCCAGTTATCTTGCTTCACGACCTATATACTGCAAGAATGCTCTCAGACACAGCTCGCAAATTGCAAGTAGTACTGCAAGTAACCCCGGTTGTTTGATTATGGGGTTCCCCAAACATGTATCAAAATCATACATATATATATACATATACATATATATATATATATTCTGCTTCCAAAATGGTGCTACCATGTGCTGCTACCCATTGTCACAGGCCAGGGGATTATGTTCCAGTTCCATATTTTTTCAACGTTGACATTCATAAGAAGCATCAAACAGGTGTTACCATATGAATGCATATGATAGTACATTAAATTACATGAAGCATTCAGAGTAGTGAGTGATGTTTTTGCCAACACTCCCAAGCATCACACAGTGTGGAGTTGCTGTCTGCTGTTTGTCACCAGGAGGGAGGGGGCTCTCGCACCTCCGAAACAGCGTGGCTGAATTTGGGCGAGGAGATGGGGTCAGCAGATGTCAGCAGATTTTGCATCACACACTATGTGGTCGGACGTCGTCTCAGGAACGCCTTGGCTTCAGTATGCTTCAGTGTTTTCGATGCCTTTCAGATGGTCAGGACGGGAATGATGAAACTCTCCGCAATATTACCTCTCGCATCACTCAGATCACGAGGCTTCTTGACTGTGATTTTCGATAAGTTTTGAGATTTTTGAGTCCATGCATGGAAGAGACCCAAACCAACGCAAGAAATCTTCGATTCTAAGTACAGCTGCAGCTTGTTGGTAGATGTTCTCAGTCATCATGGTGGTCAGTGTCTTGCAGTCTTGCTTCAACACTATCAGAGCAGTAGAACTATCACGCACGCAAACAAATGGATGGCATGCATACTGTCCACGGATCCAGTTCTCAGATTCCCAAAACAGTTTTGCCACGCAACAATTACTTTCCACTGCCTGTCACGAAATGCAGCATGAAAACGCCCCGCGTCGTCACAAGTTCAGCAGCTGAGGGCGGAGGGCTCCTAGTTCACTAAAGATGATATATGATGATAATATGCTCTTTGTAAGTACTGGACCAGTGTTGATCAATGTTACAAAGTATTGGTTCAAACTTGTCTAACATGTAATATGTATGCAACTATGTGCCCGATCCCAATGTTGGGCCAGATAGCGCAGTGTGTGTAGCTTTGTGCGCATTGAACATGTGTGCAGTCACCACAGGAGGCAGGTTAAACATGATAAATATGGTCCGCCTGAATCTGGCGAACACGATCTGGCCCTTTCCTGTTAGGCTGCAACATGAGAACATGGAGCCCTTCCAGGTTGGGGCGAAGTCAAGCAGATGCCAGCATTTCTGCGAAACAGTGTTCCGTAGTATTGGTCAGTGGCCCAGTTGTCACGTGACATTTGACCAACCGTGTCCAACCCAGCTGATAACCACCAGATTGAGCTGTTGAGTCTACTCTTTTTTGGGATCATGCACAGGCATGCTCACCTCGTTGTCGCATGACTGGCACGGCTTGAGTGACTTAAGTAGAGACTTTCACCATTGCTCTATTGGCAGGTAGTGCGCTACCAGCCGGGCCAGTTTTTTGCAGAACATCAGGCTGGATATGTACCCATGTGCCAATGGGTACATGACGTTGCATGCTAGGGTTGGGAGCTTCTTGAGATTGCATGCGCGAAGACGGAAGACTCCAGAGTGTGAATCCAAGATCCATGAAATTGAGAGAGATCTGGGGAGGACTACCTGGATCAACAAGAAGAGCAAGTTTGTGGAAGCTCGTCCCTAACAACTGTGGGTTGCCACATGCATCAGAGGGAAAGGAGTTGGTACTGATAGTGCATGAGAGTACTAATGATACTGATTCAAAATTTCCCGGAGGAATCGGAAAGGAATTCTGAACTGGCTGTAGCTTTTATATGCTTTTATATTTTCATACTCTCGCATATGTGGACTGTATGGACATTTTCAGATTTTTCAGCCGTCATGAGATCAACTCCTGAGATTTGGACGATTCGGATTCGGTGTAACGCTGGAATCTTGAGCAGTCAAGAGACTGGACTTTGCTGGCAGAGCCATGTTTGTGGCCTCCGGCTTGTCAGATTAGGTGGCCGCATTGGCACTTTCTTCATGTACCTAAATGACGATGTGGAAGGAGCGGCCGAGCTGCGACCTGGATCCTACAATTTTAAAAGGACTCCAAATGAGGATGACTCAGCTGATCTTGGCTGCAAGCTGCAGGCTTTTTGTGGTCTTGAATGTGCTTTGGGACAGAGATTCCGCATTTCAAGCGTCAAAGGCAATGGGTTGTCGCCATGAGACTGGATGCAAATGATGCAATCAGTACTCATACATACTCATACTACAGTAGCTACATGTAGCTATTGCACAGGGTTTTGAAATGATTTGTGTAGTTGATGTACTTGACATGATTCGGGAGTGCCTTGCAGGAGGAGAAACGCACTTCCCTGCTTGGAACCTGAAGATCAAACCAGAGAGCCTCGGAAATGCACACCTGGATCATCTGGATCCATTTGCTTCGTAGTTTCTACAAATTTGACGAGACAGAGACCACCGTGTGAAATATGTAGACGATTGTAGACCTATGCAAAGCCTGAATCGTTGGCTGTGCCATTCAGCTCCATCCAAGACGTCTTCCTGCAGTGAAATAGCAAGGTATAGCAAGGTACTTGATACTTGCAGCACCTGCAGCATCCTGCAGCTACTTTAGTCATCACTGGTCCAAGGAAGGGTTTGGCCATCCTGTGGTGGAATGTGAACTATACCGCCCTGCAGGAAGGCCAATTTCGCAACTCGCTCTTGTGAAACAAAGTACATTACATTCATAAAGTCATATCATCAGAGTAATACTAGGGAGTCTAGGGAGCGTTGGCTACTGAGAATTGTCGGGAACAGCAAGGTCAAGCTACTCAGGCTCGCAGGTTCTGTTGGCATGCTGCGCAAGGGGCGCTTCTGCGAGCATGCTTGGGCATGTGGGCGAGCGGGCAAGCTTTGCATTGGAAGCAATTTAAACCCAAAGCCGAGTCTAGTTCTACGGATTTCTACGGTGTGATATGTTACGAAGATCATATGTTAAGGAACAAGAAACGTCAAGGAACAAGGAACAAGAGCAACCCTTCTTGTAACATATTCTACAGGAAACCACATTAGAAATGCCCCAGCTCCACCAGCTTCGAATTTTCTGAGGCAAAGTCTCGGATCCCGGTGCATCCCATGAAGCGCTTCCAGTGCGAGAAGGGGAGAAGTGGCCAGGTAATGAACTTTCTGTATCTTTCTGTCGCATTAAGATCATTAGGATTCATTAGGTACGTTTAGGTACCGTTTTTCATTTTTATGGTGATACAGCTCGCTGTCGGGGCCAAGGGCAGCATTGCAGATCTAGCCAATAGGACGCAGATGATGCAAACCCACAATCATCTCTCACATGCAAACATCCAAGTGATGATTTGTCCATACAATTACTTCACCTGGCAGAAAGTCTCTTCGAGTAAGTTGACCCATTGCGTTGAACACCTGAGGTGGGTAGTGAACCGCTGGTTACATCCTTATGATGCTTGAATGCAACTGTGTGGTTTGTCAGCAGCATTCTGGTGTCAGCGTTTGGATCTTACTCTCCTTTTGCCAAACAGTTTGCCACGAGCCAAGGACTTTTTGACACCCTATTTTGCTGGTGAATTGAGATAATCCCGCCGAAAGATGTCTAGTAGCTTGAGCAGGTCGCCAAAAGGCAGATTTAACACATTTATCCAGTTTTAACTGCGATTTATTTAGCCAAGAAGGTCTGGCAGAAAACTACCATGACCAGAACAAATCGGATCATCAGGATCCAGGTAGTTCAGTTTCAGTTCTTGGCGTAGATCAATCCACTCGCAGAACAAATCTCAGCAAAGCTCTGAGCAAGAACGGGGTGCAGTAGAACATTCACCTGGCTCTATGGAGAAATGCTACGCGTGTGCCTCTCTGAGTCGGAGATCTCTGAGTGTATGTGTGTGCAATTTTTCCTGCAACTAAAGCCTGTCGTTGCAGCACCGCATAGACGCCAGACGCCTTTGAGTATCAGACAATGTTTGTGTCCCAAACGATGCTAATTCTAGTGTTTGTACCCAGTGCGCGCACGCATGATGAACGCGGGATGTATCGTCATGAGCCAACATACTTTTGGAGCTCACGGCGGTGTTGTCAAAGGGGTTTAGGAGCAATCGTTAAGTTCACACTATATCACAGAGAGAGAGAGAGAGAGAAAATGAGAGAGAGTAGAACTGGGCTGAAGTGCCTTGGTCACCTTGGTCTCTAGTTCACATGGGACTCACAGGGCGCCTTTGTGAGGTCAGATAATCGCCCAGAGTCTCAGAGAGCGAGAGACTACATATGGTCATATGGTCCCCCACGAGTATCCTGCCTCCCCCAAGATGTGAAGGAGGAACGAAGCGGCAACGCTGATGTGAGCTGACAATGAGTCACTTCGTGTGGGGCGAATTCATGCAGGACCACCCAGAGAGGGGCACAAATCAAAAAGCACGCCAGAATTCTTGCACCCCCCATTAAATTGCATGGTATTTGATGTTATTTGTGTTTTGGTCGGCAGTAATGAACATTGAGTGCGAGAATCTTTCAGTATTTGTCCATTATCTACCTTGTAGCCATGGTTTAGTTTTGGAAGCAAAGAAATTCAGATGTGAACATGCGTGCCGTAATATGTTTGATATGTTTGATGTTTTGCTTGTTTTCAGGGACAGATGTACTCTGGAGGGCCCTGCTGCTTTGCTGCTGTGCCGACAGTTCTCAAGGAATTGGTTCGAAGCAGCACTAGCTTGTGGCATTGGTTCTGTTTAGCTTCTAGCACTAGTTCGGGAGCATTTTCCCTGCAGTACTTGGGTGCCTTGATCACTTTGGATCTTAAAAAGTTCAGTTCCCTCGAGTTTCTTGCAGCCAAGACTTGCAACTTGATGATTTTTCATGATTTTTCTTCACCCAAGTCATCCAAATTCCATTCCTTAGAGCTCCCGCAGGGCCTTTAGAACATGCTGCCATCAGTGCAGCTTGACTCGACTCTAGGAGGATTATTGTGCGCTTTGCCAGTGGAAATGCCCAAATGGGCATTAGTGTAGCTGGACGAAAAAACGGTTGTGTAAAGGATTGTAACGGGCGATCTTTTTGAAGGACGCCTTGAGCAAAAAGGAGAGCCACAGATGGCTGACACTGAAACCCACCAAGCCATTGGAGTTGGAGTTGGAGGTAGCACCAAGCAGTTTAGAAATTTGAAGGCGGTTTTTCCTCTTGTATCTTGGGCCCAAAAAAAATGTATAAAGATCCTACATCACGGTGGGTTGCAAGCTGGAGTTTCCGAAAACATACATTTGGGCTCACTCTTTGCATTTGATTGAAAATCTGAAGTTTTCAGTTGACGTGTTCAGAGGCACAGGCCAATCAGAAGAGAGAGAGGGAGAGGGAGAGCTTTGCGAGACCTATTGAAGAATCAATCCAGAAAAACCGCGCATCATGCACATATTCAATAGCTGCAACCTCACAGAAATTGTGGTGATCATGATGGTGGATAGGGAGAGAGGAAGACGAGTCAAGGGGTAAATGGCAACAACACTATTGCAATGCGTGAAATGGAACTTTGGCCCCGATGCTTCGTCGGACGGCGCTAGTGCTTGCTCCGTGCGCTATAGGACAGATTTGGCCAGAATTCCTCCATGACCTTCGCATCATGACAACTGCATACTTCATGTAGTATATACATTAATTAATGTAGTGTGCTGCATTGTGTATGTTGCGTGACGTTAACAAGGGAAGCGGCCTGCCGTGGCTGCACAATGGAGAATTGCTGGGACGTTCCGCACAGGGATTTTGACAGGCGCCCTCATTCTCTCAACTGACCGTCAAGTGGTGCTGCTACATCTTACAACAGCTGCAGAGCGAGCAGAACAGGCCTGGGGGACCTTTGTTTGCTTTGCGCCAGGCCAGCTGTAGAATGTGTGTTGGCCCACGCTGCTTCAGCTTCCCATTCGCTTCATCATACATGAAAACTCGTCAAGCACGCATCAAGCACCCCCAAACTCAAGGATCCGCAAGGATAGCTTGGCAGCTTGGGAATATCAGTAACTCGGAACATCGGGGAACCCTGCCCTCAACTGCCAGCTGGGCAACGCCGGCATTGCCGGATATGTGCTTTGCTTCGTGGTGGCGACCCTGATGATGATCCCGACAGGTTCGGCGTTCGGCCAAGTTGACAGTTGACCAGAGATTTTCTATGATTTTCTTGTCCCCGCAGACAGCGTTCCATCATGTTCCATCATCCATCCGATCCAATTTTGCATTTAAGCATTTTAAGCCTGAAGAAGGGCGCAAGTATGCGCAAGTCATCAATGTTGCTTGATTTTCACATTGTGATACCACTGTAGTACATTGTGACCACTATTCCACTACTATCCACTACTACGCTTACATCTTCAACCTATCCAGCCGAATCCAACCTTCTCATTCCAATTTTGTTCCATGGATCCTTGGTTTTCCAACTGGAAAATCTGGCAACTGGAGCTGCCATCCTGACGTATCCTGACATTCCTCAAGGGAGCCTTAACTATTGCCATTCCCAGATTCCGAGGCCCACTGGAGATGGCAGCTGGCCTCCTTTTCACACGGCGTTTGGGGCTCCTGGGGGCCATCACTTTGGCGGCTGTGGCCAAACAGGTCTCAGGCGGAGATCGCTGGAGCCAGCTTTGATGGTTGGACCATGTTGGACCATGTTGGACCATGTTGGACCCTGCTCAAAGCACAAGAGTTAGGCCCAGTTAGGCAGTTAGGCCTTGTCAAAACTTGTCGAACCTTTCTGTTGGAATGTCTACCATGATCTTAGACTCTGAGACATGTGACACGCCTGAATATGTCTACCATTTGGTGCTGGGATCTTCTGTAGTATGTATGAGATCGTATGCATGTGTGTGTGTGTGCACATGTGTAATTGCGGTGCATCACATGTATGCATAGATGCACACACTTGCGAGCGCACACAAACAGACAAAGCAAAGTATGTGTATTGCATGTATTTTTCCCGAATGCGTAGCGAAGGGTTCTTGTTTTCTTTCTTGGGGGTCCGACGGTGGTGGACTGTTTGCTCGTCGTTTTGTTTTTTTTCCCTACTCGCGTCGTCCCGCTGTCTATGGGGAAAGTGAGAAAAGATGATGTTCTGTGACGTGTGAAGGTGTATTTCGCGTGGCAGGCGTGGGACTTTGAAGTGTGAAGTGTGACCTGTGAAGTGTGAAGTTGGAAGTGTGGAGTGTGAAGTGTGACGTGTGAAGTCTGGAGTGTGAAGTGTGGAGTGTGGAGTGAAGAGTGTGACATGTGAAGTGTGAAGTGTGTTGTGTGGCGTGTGAAGTGTGGAATTTGGAGCGGGTGGCGTGTGTGTGGATTGTGAAGTGTGAAGTGGAGAGTGTGACGTGTGAAGTGTGGGGTGTGAAGTGTGGAGTGTACAGGGTGTGAAGTTTGGAATGTGAATTGTGAAGTGCGAAGTGTGTGGTGTGGTGTGTGGAGTTTGAAGTGTGAAGTGTGGAGTATGGAGTGTGATCTGTGAAGTGTGAAGTATGAAGTGTGGTGTCTGAAGTGTGGGGTGTGAAGTGTGGAGTGCGAAGTGTGAAGTGGCGAGTGTGGAGCGTGAAGTGTGAAGTGTGGAGTGTGAAGTGTGGAGTGCGGAGTGCAGAGTGTCAAGTGTGAAGTGTGGAGTGTGGTGTGTGAAGTGTAGAGTGTGAAGTGTGAAGTGTGAAGTGAAGTGTGGTGTGTGAGGTGTGAAGTGTGGAGTGTGAAGTGTGGAGTGTGAAGTGTGAAGTGTGTTGTGTGGAGTGCAGAGTGCAGAGTGTGGAGTGTGGAGTGCAGAGTGTGGAGTGTGGAGTGTGGAGTGTGGAGCGGAGAGTGTGAAATGTGAAGTGTGGAGTGTGGAGTGTGAAGTGTCAAGTGTGAAGTGTGAAGTGTGAAGCGAAGAGTGAAGAGTGAAGAGTGTGACGTGTGACATGTGAAGTGTGGAGTGTGGAGTGTGAAGTGTGGAGTGTGAAGTGCGAAGTGTGAAGTGTGTTGTGTGGAGTGCAGAGTGCGAAGTGTGGAGTGTGGAGTGGAGAGTGGAGAGTGGAGAGTGTGAAGTGTGGAGTGTGGAGTGTGAAGTGTGGAGTGTGAAGTGTGGAGTGTGGAGTGTGAAGTGTGGAGTGTGAAGTGTGAAGTGTGATGTATGGAGTGTGAAGTGTGAAGTGTGAAGTGTGGAGTGTTGGAGTGTTGGAGTGTGGAGTGTGGAGTGGAGTGGGGAGCGTGAAGTGTGAAGTGTGGAGTGTGGAGTGTGGAGTGTGAAGTGTGGAGTGTGGCGTGTGAAGTGTGGAATTTGGAGTGGGTGGCGTGTGTGGAGTGTGTGGGGTGTGAAGTGTGAAGTGTGGAATGTGAAGTGTGAGTGTGAAGTTTGGAGTGTGGAGGGCGAAGTGTGAAGTGTGAAGTGTGGAATGTGGAGTGTGGAGTGCGGAGTGCGAAGTGTGAAGTGTGAAGTGAAGTGTGTTCTGTGAGGTGTGAAGTGTGGAGTGTGAAGTGTGGAGTGTGAAGTGTGAAGTGTGTTGTTTGGAGTGCAGAGTGCAGAGTGTGGAGTGTGGAGTGCGGTGTGGAGAGTGTGAAGTGTGTGAAGTGTGTGAAGTGTGGGGTGTGGAGTGTGAAGTGTGGAGTGTGAAGTGTGAAGTGTGGAGTGTGGAGTGTGGAGTGGAGGGTGTGAAGTGTGAAGTCTGAAGTGTGAAGTGTGAAGTGTGGAGTGTGAAGTGTGGAGTGTGGAGTGTGAAGTGTGGAATTTGGAGTGTGTGGGGTGTGTGGGGTGTGAAGTGACAGTGTGAAGTGTGGAATGTGAAGTGCGGAGTGCAGATTGTCAAGTGTGAAGTGTGGTGTGTGAAGTGTGGAGTGTGGAGTGTGGAGTGGGAAGTGTGAAGTGTGAAGTGTGAAGTGAAGTGTGAAGTTTTCTGTGTGGAGTGCAGAGTCTGGAGTGCAGAGTGTGAAGTGTGTTGTGTGGAGTGCAGAGTGCAGAGTGCAGACTGTGGAGTGCAGAGTGTGGAGTGTGAAGTGAGAAGTGAGAAGTCTGGAGCGTGAAGTGTGAAGTGTGAAGAGTGGAGGGCAAAGTGTGGAGTGTGAAGTGTGGAGTGTGAAGTGTGGAGTGCGGAGCGTCAAGTGTGAAGTGTGAAGTGTGAAGTGAAGTGTGGTGTGTGAAGTGTGGAGTGTGGAGTGTGCAGTGTGGAGTGTGAAGTGTGGAGTGTGAAGTGTGGAGTGTGGAGTGTGAAGTGTGGAGTGTGAAGTGTATTGAAGTGTATTGAAGTGTGATGTATGGAGTGTGAAGTGTGAAGTGTGAAGTGTGGAGTGTTGGAGTGTTGGAGTGTTGGAGTGTGGAGTGTGGAGTGGAGTGGGGAGCGTGAAGTGTGAAGTGTGGAGTGTGGAGTGTGAAGTGTGGAGTGTGGCGTGTGAAGTGTGAAGTGTGGAATTTGGAGTGGGTGGCGTGTGTGGAGTGCGTGGGGTGTGAAGTGTGGAATGTGAAGTGGAGTGTGATTTGTGAAGTGTGGAGTGTGAAGTGTGAAGTGGAGAGTGTGGAGTGTGGAGTGTGAAGGTGCAAGCTTCGTGTTATAAAGTAGTACTGGGAAGTGTCTTGTGCAAGCTTTGTAGAACAAAGTATTCCGGGGAAGTGCCATGTGCAAGCTTTGTAGTACAAAGTAGTACTGGAAAGTGCCTTGTGCAAGCTGTGTAGTACAAAGTAGTACGGGAAAGTGCATCGTGCAAGCTTTGTAGTACAAAGTAGTACTGAGAGGTACTTTGTGCAAGCTTTGTAGTACAAAGTTGTTCTGGGAAGTGCATTACGCAAGCTTTGTAGTACAAAGTAGTATTCGGAAGTACTTTGCGCAAGCTTTGCAGCACAAAGCCGTACTGAAAGGTATTTGGTTCAGGCTTTGCAGTACAAGTGTGAAGTGTGAAGTCCCCGGTGTGCAGTGTGAAGTGAGGAATGTGAAGTGAAGTGTGGAGTGTGAAGTGTGAAGTGCAGAGTGTGGAGTGGAGAGTATGGAGCCTGAAGTGTGGAGTGTGAAGTGTGTTGTGTGGAGTGCAGATTGTGGAGTGCAGAGCGTGAAGTGGAGTGTGATTTGTGAAGTGTGGAGTGTGAAGTGTGGAGTGTGTAGTGTGGAGTGCGGAGAGTGCAGCGTGGAGTGCGGGAAGTGTGGACTGGAGGGTGCAAAGTGCGAAATGGAGTGTGAAGTGTGGAGTGTGAAGTGAAGTCTGAAGTGTGCAGTGCCCGGTGTGCAGTGTGAAGTGTGGAGTGTGGAGTTTGAAGTGAGGTATGAAGTGTGAAATGTGGAGTGCGAAGTGTGGAGTGTGAAGTGTGGGATTTGGAGTGGAGAGTGGAGAGTGGGAAGTGTGAAGTCTGAAGTGTGAAGTGTGCAATGTGCAATGTGCAGTGTGGAGTGTGCAGTTTGAAGTGTGGAGTGTGGAGTGGAGAGTGTGCAGTGTGGAGTGTGTTGTGTCAAGTGTGGAGTCTGAAGCGTGAAGTGCGCAAGTGTGCAGTAAAGAGTGTCAAGTGTTGAGTGTGAAGTGTGAAGAGCAAGTGTGGGGTGTGAAGTGTGAAGTTTGGAGAGTGGAGGGTGTGAAGTGCGAAATGGAGTGTGAAGTGTGGAGTGTTGAGTGTGAAGTGTGAAGTGCAGTGCAAAGTGTGAAGTCTTAAGCGTGCGGAGTGTTTGGAGTGTGGAGCTAGAGTGTGAAGTGTCCAGTGTGAAGTGTGGAGTGTTGAGTGTGAAGTGTGGGGTCAGTGTGGAGTGTGGAGTTTGAATTGTGAGATGGAGATTGTGGAGTGTGAGGTGGGAAGTGTTGAGTGTGGAGTGTGACGTGTGGAGTGGGGAGTGCGAAGTGTGGAATTTGGAGTGTGTGGAGTGTGAAGTGTGGAGTGTGAAGTGTGGAGTGTGGAGTGTGAAGTGTGGAGTGTGGAGTGTGAAGTGTGGAGTGTGAAATGTGAAGTGTGAAGTGTGTTGTGTGGAGTGCAGAGTGCGAAGTGTGGAGTGTGGAGTGTGGAATGGAGAGTGGAGAGTGGAGTGTGAAATGTGAAATGTGGAGTGGAGAGTGTGAAGTGTGAAGTGTGAAGTGTGGAGCGGAGAGTGTGAAGTGTAGAGATTGTGAAGTGTGGAGTGTGAAGTGTGGAGTGCGGAGTGCGAAGTGTGAAGTGTGAAGTGAAGTGTGGCGTGTGAGGTGTGAAGTGTGGAGTGTGAAGTGTGAAGTGTGGAGTGTGGAGTCTGGAGTGCGAAGTAATATTGGGAAGTGCCTTTTGCAAGCTTTGCAGTACAATGTAGTACTGGGAAGTGCCTTGTGCAAGATTTGTAGTACAAAGTTTTACTGGGAATCACTCTGTGCAAGATTTGCAGTTTAAAGTAGTACTGTGAGGTACTGTGTGTACGCTTTGTAGTACAAAGTGGTACCGCGAGGTGTTCCAGATGTCTCAAGCAAGAGTGTCCAACAAGAGTGTCTTACAAGAATGTTTCAGGGCATTGAGAGAGAGTGTTTTACCAGAGTGTGCCACAAGAGTGTCGAGCAAGAGTGTCAGCCAAGAGTGTCTCAGAAGACTGTTCCATAAAAGTGTCCCACAAGAGTGCCCCACAGGCCCCACAAGAGTATGCCACAAGAGTGTCGCAAAAGAGTGTTCTGCAAGAGTGGCTTTTAATGCGATCGAGCATCTCCTGTTCGCTTTTCATTGTTCTGTAGGAACCCTTCTTCTACGTGAGCTTTTAAAAAATGCATGCGGGCTCGTGGCTTCAATCAGGTTTATTTTTCTGTTTCGCGTTAAGACATTTGGGTACAGATACCAGTAATTAGCCAAACGGGTCTATTCATAAAAAGAGTGTCATTCAGCTGAAGATTGTGAAGATACGGTTTTTGGGTGAACCTCTCTTGTCCCAGTGCACACATTACCGTCCCTCCACGTTTGCACTTATTGGCTGCCGCGTCTCTTCAACCGTTCAGGTAGTGTAGGGTTCTTGCTTGGTCGGACTCTTTTCCGTGAGTCTCACGGCGAATTCTTGAGCTGCAAATGCAGATTGCGCCAAGTGCACGAGCATTCCTTGAAGTTCTCATGATCTCTAATGATTCTAATGCATGATTCTTGTTTTGTGATATGAGCGTTATTGAGGGTTTGCTTTTTTTGACCGAATACTGGCCTTTCTCAAGGTCAGCGCAAGAAACTGTAGTGGCTCGATTTCCGATCTTCAAGGCTGGATCCGAGCCCCTCTACTGGGAGCAAAGGGCCCGGTGTTTAAACAGGCTTGCCTCCTTACAAGTCATTGCAACATGTTACGGCAACATATTATTTTATATATATCTCTCTCTCTCTCGATCATTATCGAAGGAAGTCTAGAAGTCAAACTTCCGACAATATGGACAGATGAAGAGCAGAGATGGGAAGAGTCAGAGAAGAGAAGAGAAGAAGAAAGAAAATCAAAAATGAGAAAGTCCCAGAAGAAAGAAGATGCAGGTGCGCGAAAAGGTTGCAAAGTTGCGAAACACATCGCGTTTTTTCCAATGATTTGTGGCTCCGGAGGGTCGAAAAGTAGGCTCGCTAAAGCGGCGGGTGCGGAGCCACGTGGCCAGATGAGAGATGAAAAATTGCACGCCGTTGAGGCGCGAAGCACATTTCCAAGTCAAAATCTACGAAGCACACCATTCTCGGACCACTTTTGGAAGTTGTGATGTCGAAAAAGTGCACGCATTGTTGCGCGAAGCATATTTCGAAGTCAAAAAGTACAAAGCACCTCAGCTTCGGATCACACTTAGGAGTTGCGATGTCGAAGAAGTGCACGCCGTTGTGGCGCGAAGCCAGGTTCGGACCACTTTTGGGAGTTGTGACGTCGAAAAAGTGCACGCCGTTGTGGCGCAAAGCACATGTCGAGGTCAAAAGTGTGAAAAACTGACGGGTTCGGAGCACTTTTGGAAGTTGAGATGTCGAAAAAGTGCACGCCGTTGTGGTGCGAAGCACATTTCGAAGTCAAAAGTTTAAAAAAAATTGACGGGCTCGGAGCACTTTTGGGTATTCAGATGTCGTTTTACGTGTCAGGCGCAAGGGATCGTGCACCTTGCCAAATCTGAGCAAAACGTGAGGCATTTCCTAAAACGATGGCAGGTGTGGGACCTTTGCAGAGGATCTGGCAAGATGTCTTTCGCGTGGCAGGCGCAGTACAAGAAACATGTTAGGAAGTCCGGGCGCTGATTTTCTGAGAGGGGTTGCATTTTGGAGCATCAGATCTTCAGTTTTGGGGAGATGATTTTGCTTGACAGGTGCAGCACTTCGTATGACCTGGCATCACTTTTTCGTGGCAAGCGCAGTACTTTAGACAGGTGGGGTGGAATAATTACAAAACGCATTGGTACGAGGCCGTCAGCTCTGCACTCAACTCGCAGAATTGTTTCGTTTTTGATGTTGTCAACTTCGAAATTGAGGAAGTCTCGCAGAAATGTTTCGTTTTCGATGTTGTCAAGTTCAAAACTTGAAGAAGTCTCACAGAATTGGTTCGTTTTTGACGTTGTCAAGTGCAAAAATTGAGGAAGTCTCGCAGAATAGCTACACTACCTTGCAATAGCTTCGTTTTCAAACCTGCAGATAGATAGATAGACAGATAGATAGATAGATAGATAGGCAGATAGGTAGATAGGTAGATAGGTAGATAGGTAGATAGGTAGATAGGTAGATAGGTAGATAGGTAGATAGGTAGATAGATCGATAGATAGATAGATAGATAGATAATAGATAGATACATAGACAAAACGACAAATAGATAAACAGATATATAGACAGACAGAGAGATAGACAACTGCAACTGCAACTGCACTACACCGTACACTACAACTACAATCTACAACTACAAGAACTACAGCCACAACCACAACTACAACTTCAACTACATTTCAACGACAGCTACAACCTCAACCACAATTACTACAACTACTACTACAATTAACAAGTGCCACCACAACTGCAACCCCAACTAAAACTGCAACAACTACTACAACTACACTACAGCTGCAACGGCAACTGCAGCTGCAACTACAGCTACAACTACAACTTCAGCTACACTACAACTACACTCCAACTACAACTTCAACTTCAACTACATTACTACAACAACAGCTACCACGACACTACTCACTACAACTACAAATACAACTACAAATACAAATACAACTACAACAACAACTACTGCACTACACCACGCTACATCCAGGAGTTGTGAGTGAGGTGACCACTGCAGCCATTGCAACCACTCCAAAAAGCACAGCTCTAACCACCTTTCGGTCCATCAGTGGATTGGCTCTGCCATCCATGCATCACAACAACTCACCGCTCCTATAGTATCCTATCCTTGAAACTTCCGCCACCGTCTTGAGCGGTACTACTGGTGATTATGTATATCATAATATATCACAAACGACAGCATGTTTAAGCATATTTTAGCATCTCTGATGCTCCTGCTTTTGTGCTCACTTTGAACAGGCTGTCATGCAAGCCGTGAAAACAGAGCCCTTCACCGTGACCTGCAGCCTGGCATTGACACCAAGTGACTGGCAGTGTTTCATCAGTGTTTCATGGTGGTTCGATTTGCTTTGCCAAACTTGCGCCTCCAAGGCATGGTGCGCTTTGCGCCCATTCCAACCACTGCGAAGAGCATGGGCTTAGCAGTAGCTCGGTTGATTTGCTTAGCATACCCCAAGTGCTGGATTGAAAGACCAACTGGCTTTTCAGAGGTGTAAAGATCAGATGATCCAGATGACCATATTTGGAGGTCTGAGTCTTGAGGCTTCTGGTGTGTCTTTTGGCCCCTTCCTGCTGGCCTCATCTCTCTTTGGAGCACCTTGGAGTGCCTTGAGCGCTGTTGTGGGCTCAACTTTGGCATCCCTTCCAGAGGCATGTCCGAACCGGGCACTGGGATCCATGTAGATCCGCGTAGATCATGTAGCGGGAGGACCCGGGAATGACGGCCCTTGTAATGCAAGATTTCAAATGGTGAGGAAACAAAGTGCTTGTCAAATTGTTGCATGCCATTGTCTTCATACCTGAAAGAGTTAGACTCTGGACAGTTGGTCCGGAAGCCTTTGCCAGACTTATTTCCATTGCAAAATATTTGTTCATGCGCTGGAAAATTGGGTAGCAGTGAAGCCATGTCATCGGCGTTCACGACATTTTTAAAAGAATCCAGGAATAGTTGAGAAAGGCATTTAAAACTTACTGTAAAACACAGTTTTTCACTTTCAAACTGCCTGCAGATCCTCGAGGGGAGAGGAGAAGAGAAAATGCGGGCCGGGAATCCAAGACTTAGCTGAGCATAGTTCAGGTGGCCAGGGTGGGCATGCTTTGAATGCTACACAGGAGTGTGGAAGTATGTGGAAGTTATCGAAGGAAGTTTAGAAGTCAAACTTCCAACAATATGGACAGATGGAAAAGCAGAGGTGGGAAGAGTCAGAGAAGAGAAGAGCAGAAGAGAGAAGACAAGAGAAGAGAAAGAGTGAGAAGAAAGAAGATGCATGTGCGCGAAAAGGTTGCAAAGTCGCGAAACACATCGCGTTTTTCCAATGATTTGTGGCTCCGGAGGGTCGAAAAGTAGGCTCGCTAAAGCGGCGGGTGCGGAGCCACGTGGCCAGATGAGAGATGAAAAATTGCACGCCGTTGAGGCGCGAAGCACATTTCCGAGTCAAAATCTACGAAGCGCACCATTCTCGGACTACTTTTGGAAGTTGAGATGTCGAAAAAGTGCACGCCGCTGTGGCGCAAAGCACATTTCCAAGTCAAAATGTACAAAACACACCATGTTGGGACCACTTTTCGAAGTTGAGATGTTGAAAAAATGCAGGCGTTGTGGCTTGAAGCACATTTCCAAGTCGAAACGTACAAAACACGCAAGGCTCGGAGCACTTTTGGATGTTGACACGTCGAAAAAGTGCACGTTGTTGTGGCGCAAAGCACATTTCCAAGTCAAAATGTAAAAACCACCACTTGTTCGGACCACTTTTGGACGTTCAGATGTCGTTTTGCCTGGGAGGCGCAAGGGATTGTGCACCTTGTCGTCAAAAACCAGCAACAAGGTGAGGCTTTTGTAGCAGTCTCAATTACAACCACCACTGCGCTCCACTACGTTACACCACCACTACAACTACACCTACAACTACAACTACAACTACACTACATTACACTACACTACACTAATGTCGGTACATTACACTACACTACACTCCACTAGACTACACTACGCTACACTACACAACTACAACTACAACTACAACTACGCTACATTACACTCCGCTAGGCTAATTACATTACACTACACTAATTACATTACACTACACTACACAATACAACACTACAACGACAACTACAACTACATTGCACTACACAACACTTAATTACACAACACTACACTATACTCCACTAGACTACACTACACTACGCTTTATTACACTACACTGCACTGCACTACACTAACTACAACTACAGCTACAGCTACAGCTACAACTACGCTACATTACACTACACTAATTACATTACACTGCACTACGCTACACTAATTACATTACAACTACACTAAACTACACTCCACTAGGCTACACAACACTACACTACACTTAATTACACTACACTGCACTGCACTGCACTACACTAACTACAACTACAGCTACAACTACAACTACAACTACGCTACATTACACTACACTACACCACACTAATTACATTACACTACACTAGACTACACTACACTACACTACACTAATTACGTTTCAACTACACTACACTACACTCCACTAGGCTACACAACACTACACTCAATTACACTACGCTACACTACACTACACAAGTACCACTACCACTGCAACTACACTTTCAACTACGCTACATTACTCTACACTACACTAAATACATTACACTACGCTAATTACATTACACTACACTGCAGTACACTCCACTACACTACACTCCACTAGACTACACTACACTCCACTAGACTAATTACATTACACTACACTATATAATTACATTACACTACACGACACCCCACTACACTAAACAAACTACAAGCACAACGACAACTACAACTACATTACGCTACACTACACTGCACTCCACTCAGCTACACTACACTATACTTAATTACATTACACTGCACTGCGCTACACTAACTACAACTACAGCTGCAACTACAACTACAACTACACTACATTACACTACACTACACTACACCACACTAATTACAGTACACTACACTGCACTACACTCCACTAGGATACACTACGCTACACTCAATTACACTACGCTACGCTACACTACACTACACTAGACTACACAACTACAACTACCACTACAACTACAACTACAACTACACTACATTATTCTACAATACACTAGCTACATTGCACTACACTAACTACATTACACTACACTCCACTACACCACACTACACTCCACTACACTACGCTACACCAAACTAACTACAGCTACAACTACCACTGCAACTACAACTGCAACTACAACTACCACTACAACTACACTAATTACACTACACCACGCCACACTACACTACATTACACTTTTCTTTGCTACACTACACTGCACTAAGTACAACTACAGCTACAACTACAACTACGCTACTTTACACTAGACTACACTACACTACCCTACATTACATTTCACTATGCTCATTACACCACCATAAATGCAACTGCAACTACACTACACTAATTACACTGCACCACACCTACAACTCCACTACACTACAACTACAACTCCACTACACTACAACTACAGCTGCACTACACCCCACTACATCCAGCAGCTGTGGGTGATGTGACCGACCAGGTGACCACTGCAACCATTGTAACCGCTCCAATAAACACAACTCCAACCTTTGTTCAGGCCATCAGTGGATTCGCTCTGCCATCATGATTCACAACAACCAACCTCTCCTATAGATTTCTTATTTTTGAAACTTCTGCCACCGCCTTGCGCGGTACTGCTGGTATTACTTGTAGAATGATGAACATTCATCACTTGGAACTGTGAGACGCCTGGTCCCATGCCACCTAGATCATCTTGTAATTTTCGATAATCTTCAATCATTTTTCGTCCGTTGTCTACGCATGATCCGTAGTATGTCTCTGTTCATTCTGTTCTCGTCAAAGATGTCTCCATCAGCTGGGCGCAACAGTGCCCAACATGGGGCAGCCAAGGAAATTCTGAAATCCTGGAAGGAAGAGCCACTGCTCTTAACCTGTGGTGCTCTACTGAGCATTTTGGCAGTTGCCTTCTTGCGACTTGCCAGCAGACACACTCACACACTTGAGAGAGAGAGAGAGAGACGGGTGGATCGTCAGAATAGATTAGAAAAGATGAATAGGCACAGAGACGGGGGCACAAATATAATTTGAGAGAAAGAGAGACAGACAGAGAGACAGAATGCCAGCTTCAGCCACTCGTTGTCAACCCAGCGGCCGCATCAAGGATGGTCAAAACAAGGAAGCTGCTGAAGACATATCGAGATCTGATGCAGAAGGCTGCATGACAGCCTTAAGCAGAGAAAGCCCGCAGCGGCGAAATCAAAAAAAGATGAGCACTGCCAGAAAGATGTGAATGACATCGAGGTCCGCAGCAGGTTTAGCATGGTGTGTTTAGCATACAAATAATGTTACAGTATCCAGCTGACAGTTTGGCAAATCTCCTTTGGATCCTATTGGTTCAAGGCCCAGAACCTGAAAGAGAGGTGCTGCCCGTTCTGGAGCTCGCATCTCGCAGTTTACAATTTGTGTTCTTGGAGAGGCCTTGGCTCGACACGAAGAGATATGGAAGCATGGAATTCATTGAAAATATGATGAGGGGATGTGAACTTTGACTTGCACCATCGCAACACAGGATTGCAGACAGCTGCAAATTCATCTAGAATTCCTATCCACTAACAGCCTGCATATCCGACTCAGCGCAGCTATGGCCAAGAGCCACAGAGGCAGGGTTTGGGTGCGGGTTGCCTCCAAGATGTGCTATCGTATGCTGAGACGATATGGACTGGAACAACAGTACAAAATTTGCAAATCCACCCAGAATTGAGCCAACAAAGGCCAAAGCTTCAATGTACGTTCCGCTTCAATCCGCCTCATTCCGAAATCGTTAGATGGCACGCAAGTCCCAACTCATATAATCTCATATGATTGTTTTGTTGCTTTTGGCACGATGCATGCGCATCCTCTATCAATCTTTGTTTGCACTTTCATGGTGATGTCTTGACTCTTCAAGCTTTCAATGGTTTGCTAGCATTGTTGAGAGCATGTTCGTAATTAATTTACTATAGTTTGAGGTAATTAGGTACTAGCTACACCTAGAAATGTCTAGAATCATCTATGTAGATACGAGTCTGGTGGGACGTAGCTCCATGTGGCTGCTCCATGCGTGAAATTCAGATATATGATTTATGATGATATCATAATAATGATATATATATATATAATACATATATATATAATACATATATATCCCTTCATCATGTTCATCCGATTTCATCTGCTCAGATTCGTGGGCTGAGTACGAGCTACTTTGCTAAATGATGCATGGATGCAGGATGATGCAGGATTCGAACCTGGCAGCGGGGATTTAGCCATGGTATGCCGTACGCCGCAATTTTTTCAATATTTTTCACCTCCAGAATTGCATGAATTTGCTATTCAGCATGTGATCATGCTGAACGTCTCGTGTTCTTCAAGGACAGATAGCACATGATAGCACATAATGGGTAATGGAGTGATGGGGAGAGCGGGAGAGAGAGAGAGAGAGAGAGAAGGAGAGAGATTCCAGAACTCCCGGCCAACTCCCAGCCGAACTCACTCCCAGCCTTGTTTACCATAGGACCATAGGACATAGATCGTAAGCTGAGGCTCCTGCTCTTTGAAATCAGCCAGTGGACAGTGTCAGGGCCTCTTTTGGAATCGAATGTTTCAAAACAGGGTTGCTTCAAAGTGTTCAGAGGAGTCTTTGATGTTTTTGGTATGTCCACTGGTGAATGAAGCTGAATACCATGCCATAGTCAAGGATGCAAACTAGATGGGGTCGATGCATGTTGAAACTAACTAGTCAGTGCGGGTGCACTTTCACACTCGCACCCGCATGTGCACTTGCACGTGTGCATGTGCCAATGTTGCCAATGTACACGCAAGTACGACGTGCGTGCGTGCATGAGGATGGATCCATCCCCGTCGGTTTGTCCATCCATGTATGTCTACTTTATAATTACATGCATGCAACCATATCTCACCTACTCCCTGCATGGGCATTTGGATGCTTTTGGACGTACATGTGCCTATTTAAAAATATTTGACATGTGTGACAATGATTCACTTGCGCAATGCGCTGCCCTAATTCAGCTTGTTCAACCTGTGCATGTTGCAGCGCTTATTGCACAGTGAAGGTTTAGCGAAATCTTGGCGCGGCAATTGCGTTGGCCACGACAAGGAAGCTCCTGTTGAGACAGGAGACCTGACGTGTTTACATGTGACATACATGTGACATATGTACATGTGTTTCCGTATGTGTTCAAGATTGTTCAAGGTGTTTTCAGTTGGAAGGTATTCATATATTTCAAGCGATGAAGGAAGGCGTATTGCCGCATAGGCTGGTTTTAGTATGTTTTAGTTGGTCTAATGATTACTAATGGTAGAGCAAGGCAGGGTTTAAGCATTGAACAGCGACATGACAAATTTGCGCAGCGTATCTTTTACAGTCTAGCAGTCCACATGCTAGAAAACAAAAACAAACAGAGTCAGAGGTACAACTAGCTCGCTGGGATCATTGACAGGAGGACTTCCTGGACATAGCTGCCTCAGCTTTGGAGTCGGTGTTGTGGCCTTCTGTTTGGGCTGCACCAGGCGTGAAGCTAGAAAGTTTCCACAAACATAGTCCACCTGTCACAATTGGATTTTTTGTCGAAGTTCCAGGGGATTATGTGATTTCTTCCCGCAGTGTCCAAAGAAATATTCGCTGATGTTTGAGAGATTGCCTGATTCGACTGACAGTCTGACGTGACATAATGATACAATACATGATCCGGCGTTATTTACACTACGTCAGCTGTGTTGGTTTCCTGCAGAGGTGAGGTCGCCTTCCGACCCTGCATTGAAACTGATTGGCTGCAGCCTCGTGGGGGGTTGAGGCCTTGAGTTGGTGAAATTCCACATTCCAATCATTCGATTTGTTCAATTTTGTTCAGATTCTTCACGAATGATTGGAGATTTTGGCAGCCAAATAGTGGCGATGCCATCGAAAGCCGGTGCGAAGCGCGCACTGAGGCAGCTGCCACGCATAGGTGTTTCTCCGGGGCTTGCATGAAACAGCCTATGCAATGCGTGGAACTTAGCCTTTCATCATGAGTGTTGAACATGATGTTCCGGCTTGATTGGTCCAGTCACCTTAAGAATTGTGAGCTCTCAGGGGGTTATTCAAGACTGGACACCTCAACAACATGAGGGTGATCCTCGGACCCGAGATTCCAACACTTGAATTTACAGGTCTCAGAGTCATAGTCAAATAGTGGAGTTTGCACAATCTTGCAGTCAAAGTCGTCCGCATGAACATGCATGTAGACATGTATGTAGAGGCATAATTATATTATATTGTCATATAGTTACAAAATACTATATGCGTGTGTGTTTGTGTGCGCTGCATGCTTTAAAATTGGTGACATTTATTTGTTCATCCGTCAACACTGCATTGGGGCCTTCATCATAGAAAGAGAAAGAGAGAGAGAGAGAGTGCCCTCACATATCTTACATTGCTTTGTGAATTTGATGATGCTACTAAATACTTACATTACATATTTGAATGTGTTGTTTGTGCATATCAAAGCGTGCAGAAAGCTGCGATGGCTAACTCTGCTCTCACAAAGGTTAGTGAAACCTGGTGCAAGGGCCAGCCCTGAACGGTGAACTGGCAAAAAGTCTCGGCAAGGAAATGCTTGAGTCCCAGTTAGCGTAGATCCATTGCCGTCATGCAAGCAGTGCGTGATCTCAGACCATAGTGCTTTTTGGAGTCTTGAACTAAACACTTTTTGCTTGGCCGAGGTCAGGTACCAGTGGCCCTGGCGTTTCGGAGGGTGCTGAGCCTAAATGAGAAGCATCACCTGGGAAGCCTGGGAAGCGATCCTTGTGGGCCAACTTGTGCGTGCTGAATGCTCAACGCTGAGGTGTCCCGATGCAATCCGATGCACAAAAAGTCCGTTGCTCAAAGCGTCGGGCGACTTAAAGAGGAGGTTCAGAGAGTCTCGCACTGGTGCCCCCAAACGACAATTGCCAAGATGCTAAAGAGGAAACGGAAACTGTTCTTGCATAGCCAGAGTCCATGAAACTTCTCCTAAGAACTTTGGTCGCAAAATGCAAAGCAAGAGACGTAATTTCCAGCGATGCAAGGCCTGAAAGACTTGGCTCAGCAATGTGGAATCAAACAGACCACGCAGCGCTGATGAAGCCAGAAGTTCTGCACGCATACAAGGCACATGCTGTCTACATGTACATGTTGATACATGATGATACATGTATATACCAGTGGTACCGCACAAGGCGGTGGCGGAAGTTTCAAAAACAAGAAACCTATAGGAGAGGTTGGTTGTTGTGAATCACGGATGGCAGAGCGAATCCACTGATGGACCGAAAGGTGGTTGGAGTTGTGTTTTTTGGAGTGGTTGCAATGGTTGCAGTGGTCGCCTCACCACAACTGCTGGATGTAGTGTGGTGTAGTGCAGTTGTAGTTGTAGTTGTAGTGGAGTTGTAGTTAAAAGTTGTAGTTGTAATGTAGTGTGATTGGTGTAGTGTATTGTAGCGTACTGTAGTGTACTGTGCTGTTGATTACTGTAGCGTGGTATAGTGCAGTGTAGCCTAGTGTAGTGTACTAAAGTAGTGTAGTTGTAGTTGCACTTTAGTGTAGTGCAATTAGTGTGGTGTAGTGTAGTGTAGTGCAATGTAGTGATAGTTGTAATTGTCGCTGCGGTTGCATCTGTAGCTGTAGCCTAATGTAATGTAATGTAATGTGATGTAATGTAATGTGATGTAATGTAATGTAATGTATATAATTGGTGCAGCGTAGCGTTGTGTAATGTAGTGTCGTTGTAGTTGCAGTTGCATTTGTAGCTGTAGTGTGCTGCAGTTCAATTTGTGTAGCGGAGTGTGATGTAGCGCAGTTGTAATTTTTAGCTGCGGCCGCAGTAGTAGTAGTAGTAGTAGTAATAGTAGTAGTCGTCGTCGTCGTCGTCGCCGTCGCAGTCGCAGTCGCAGTCGCAGTCGCAGTCGCAGTCGCAGTAGTAGTAGTAGTAGTAGAAGTAGTAGTAGTAGTAGTGGTGGTAGTAGTAGTAGTAGTGGTGGTGGTGGTAGTGGTATTTGTAGTGGTATTTGTAGTGGTATTTGTAGTGGTATTTGTAGTGGTATTTGAGTGGTATTTGTAGTGGTATTTGTAGTGGCATTTGTAGTGGTATTTATAGTGGTATTTGTAGTGGTATTTGTAGTGGTATTTGTAGTGGTATTTGTAGTGGTATTTGTAGTGGTATTTGTAGTGGTATTTGTAGTGGTATTTGTAGTGGTATTTGTAGTGGTATGTGTAGTGGTATTTGTAGTGTTATTTGTAGTGTAGTTAGTTCAGTGTAGTTAGTTCAGTGTAGTGCAATTAGATGTAAGTAGTGTAGTGTAGTGCGATTAGTGTTGTGTAATGTTACAATGTAGCGTAGTAAAGTAAAATTCTGTTTGTAGTTGTAGTAGTGTAGTTGTAGTTGCACTTGTCTATATATCGGTCTATCTGCAAGCTTGAAAACGAAGCTATTCTGCGAGACTTCCTCACTTTTTGAACTTGACAACGCCAAAAACACAGCAACTCTGAGAGACTTCCTCAATTTTTGAGCTTGACAACATCAAAAAAACAAGCAATTCTGCGAGACTTCCTCATTTTATTAAATTGACAACATCAAACACGAAGCAATGCGGCGAGATTTCCTTCAAAAATAGAAAGCTGGGCGCAGAGCTGACGGCCTCGTACCAATGTGTTTTGTGATTTTTCATTCCAATTGTCTAAAGCGCTGCGCCTGCCACGAAAAAGTGATGCCAGGTCATACGAAGTGCTACACCTGCCGCCTATCACGCAAAATCACCTTCGCAAACCTGAAGATTTGATGCTCCAAAATGGAACATCTCAGGAAATCAGCGCCCTGACTTCCTAACATCTCTGGCACGCTGCCACGCAAAACCACATCTGAACTTTCAAAAGTGGTCCGAGCATGTGGTGCTTTCAACACTTGACTTGGAAATGTGCTTCGCGCCAAAACGGCGTGCACTTTTTGGACATGTCAACTTCCAAAAGTGCTCCAAGAATGGTGTGCTTTGTACATTTTGACTTCGCAATGTGCTTCGCGCCACAACGGCGTGCAATTTTTTCATCTCTCATTTGGCCAGATGGCTCCGCACCCGAGCCTACTTTTCGATCGTCGATCATTGGAAAAAAACAATGCTTCGCGACTTTCCTACCTTGTCGCGCACCTGCGTCTTCTTTCTTCGGGCTCTTTCTCTTCTCTGATCTTCTTTCTACTGACTCTTTCTCTTCTCTGACTCTTCCCATCTCTGCTTTTACATCTGCCCATACTGTCGGAAGTTTGACGTCTAAACCTCCCTCCGATATATATATATATATGTATAAATATATATAAATAGTTATATTTATACATACATACATACATACATGCATGCATGCATGTATGTATGTATGCATGCATGCATGGATGTATGTATGTATGTATGTATATCTATAGATACATGCATGCATGCATACATACATACGCACGTACGTACATACATACATGCATACCATGTATGCGGATGTGATGGTGCATGTGTATATCTGCGGATTTGCATCTTTGGACGGAGAGACGATACACAGTCCGTATGTTGCTGTCTCTAAAGTTATATACACAGCATGTTTTACATAGCTACTTATATAGTCTTATATATATATATATATACACACATTTAGTCCCGCACACGTGCGTGTAGTGACCCAGGCCTGTCTTGCCAGGCCGCAAAACTAGTCTGCACAGATGAGAGATGAATACATGTTCGAATCATATGGACCAGCAACAACGGTAGACACACTTTTTCGTGCATTAGTGGTTCCTCCTTCGGGAAGGTTCCTCTCCTCGGCTCTGGTTTCTTCATCCAATTTCAGGAGGTACTCCGACACAAGTACACATGCACACACGTAAAGGTCGATAAGATTTTGAAATCACTAGCATATCTGTCTATCCATCTATATCACTATCATATCTGTCTATCTATCTATCCCATCTAATCTAATCTAATCCAATCTAATCTAGCTTAACCTAACCCAACCTAATCTAATCTTATCTTATCTTATCCTATCTAGCTATCTATCCTATCTATCCTATCTATCCTATCTATCTATCTATCGATCGATCTATCTATCTATTGATCTATCTATCTATCGATCTAACTATCTATCTATCGATCTATCTATCTATCGATCTATCTACCTATCTATCTACCTATCTATCTATCTATCTAGCTATCTATCTATCTATCTATCTAGCTAGCCAGCTATCTATCTGTCTGTCTGTCTGTCTGTCTGTCTCTCTATCTATCTATCTATCTAATCTAATCTAATCTAATCTAATCTATCCTATCCTATCCTATCCTATCCTATCCTTTCCTATCCTATCCTATCCTATCCTACCATCTATCTATCTATCTACCTACCTATCTATCTATCTATCTATCTATCTGTCTATCCATCTATCTATCTATCTATCTATCTATCTATCTATTCATTCACCCATCAGATTTATCAGATCTTTTAGATCTTCTAGATATATTAGATAGATAGAGTTGTGTATCCTGCAGATGTACAGGTTAAATGTTGTATCCTGCAGAAATACACTGTTTGCACGGCCATTTGTACAGTGTAGGAACCTTTTCTTTGGCACCGGAAGTGAAACTACTAAGGGAATACTGCGCCTGAGGGGGAGGTAACAAAGACTCCTGAATTTGTTTTGTCAATGATGAAGTGGTTGATGAACTGCTACTAATCCAATGAGCATTGTGGCCATCCGTGCCGTTAAAACCTCACAGGCGATCCAGTTTGTCAACAAAACTTGCCTGCGAAGATGTCCGTGACCTGCAACAAAGGCCTTTGCTGCTGGGGCGAGCTGTTGTTTCAAAGCAATTTTCGCTCAATTCCGCCGACGTCACGCGACCTAATTCATATCATTGTTGTTGGGTGGTGTCACGAATTAATCTGTTTCAACGGTTTCAAGCTGGCACAATGGAGTGATTTGGTCAGAGCACAGGAAGATGCAAGGTAGAATGCAGGAATTGCCTGGCACCACCGTAGAAATCACTGTACTCGTAACACTCTTGGGCGGGCGTGGGAAGCACATAGTATGGGGTTTCGTGCTTGCCACAAGGCTTTACAATCCCGGGAAGCGCCAGAGGCTAGCGGCTAGTGAGCTGAGATGAGCTGAGTGTTTTTCGGTTTGGTCATTTGACTCCTTTGACTTCATTTGATTCAAATTTGAAAAACATTTGGCGTATTTTGGTTTGATGGTTGTTCGAAGTCATTGGTACTCCTGTTGAAGTCCTTGCGTTTGAAAGCTAGGCCCCTTCAAAATGGGAGTAACAAATTTAGCCAGCGCCTTTTTTCCAATGAATTTCAGTTTGCAGGGGAGACCCTAGAAGGCGTGTGCTCCTTTCGGCTCACAGTTTGTTGCAGAGAGAATGTGCGTTTGGGCTTTGTTTTGTTCGGCTTTTGGTCGTAAGGACTATCAATTCACCCAGTGAAATGCTGCAGGGCACATTGGATTCGTTCTACTCTCACATTTGTGACTCTCACAAAATCTTTCCAGGTGTCGTATGAGCTTAGCATCCTCTTGACATTTCTTGATATACAACTGATTCAAAAAGCTTTGCAGTTTTCCTTTCCGTTCCTGTGACCAAGACTTGAGCGGTTCCTTTCGTTGTTTTTCTCTTGGGTTCCATTGTGCCCCTATGGCGGATTTCGACCCCACAGACTACGACGGTCAAAATGCTGATGATCCACTGAACGAGGGGGAGGATGAGCTTGGCAAGGGTCCACAAGTGGCTTGGACACAGGAAAGAGACATGTGCGTTTCAAGTGTGAGGTAAGGTACGTGCTATTGATGGACTTGAAATGACTTGAAGATTGTTGTACAGTGTCAACACCAAGATATGTTCCACATTCCTTTCCCATGCTGCAAGGGTGTGCAAGGGTATGAATAGATATGAAGATGGAAGGAAGTTCAGAGGTCAGACTTCCGACTTTGGACAGATGCAGCAACAGTTGTGTGAACAGTGAAAGAGTCAGAGAAGAGAGTCAGTAGAAAGAAGATCAAACTGCGCGAAAAGGTGGAAAAGTCGCGAGACACTGTCTTTTTCCAATGTTTTGTGGCTCTGGAGTCTGGAGTGTCTAACAATAGGCTTGCTAAAGCGGCGGGTGCGGAGCCATTTGGCGGGATGAGAGATCAAAAATTGCACGCTGTCGTGGCGCAAAGCAGATTTGGAAGTGAAAATGCTAAAAACACCTCGGGTTCGGAGCGCTTTTGGAAGTTGAGTTCCTCAAAAAATGCACGCGGCTGCGGCCCGAAGTCAAAATAGTAAAAGCATCACATGTTCGCAGAAGTTTTGGAAGCTGCGTGGTTGAAAAAGCGCAGGCCGTTGCGGCGCGAAGCATTACTACAGTGCACGCGCCCGTCCCTTTTTGTATAGCCTTAGTCTAGTGGCGACTCAATGCAGTGTGTACCTGCATGATTGTACAGATGCCGGCAGCAGCCAGCCGTGATTTCATGGACCCTTCATTTGTAATTACTTATTTCTCGCTTCCTTGCACAGCTAGGGCAGGGTGACCTGACGGCGAGCGATGGGGAGGGAGAGAGAGAGAGAGAGAAACCTCGGGTTAAGAGCACTTTTCAAAGTTGAGTTCGTCAAAAAGTGGAAAGGGCTGTGGCGCGAAGCACGGTCCCAAGTCAAAACGGTAAAAGCACCACATGTTCGCACCAGTTTTGAAAGTTGCGTGGTTGAAAAAGTGCGGGCTGTGGCGCGAAGCACATTCCCAAGTCAAAAATGTACTGTAAATACGTACGGTCTCGGACTACTTTTTTAAGTTTCACCTTGCCAAAAGTGAGCAAAACGTTAATGTTTCGTAGCAGTGGCAAAAACGATGGCAGGCGTGGGACGTTTGAATAGGATCTGCAAAGATGCATTTCCAGTGGCAGGCGCAGTATAAGAGACATTTCCACCAGAGATGTCAGGAGGTCAGGGCGCAGATTTCCTGAGAGTGGTTGCACTTCTGGAGCGTCAGATCATCAGATCATGGCGCCATTCTGTTTGTTTAGGTTTCCCTAACACTTCGTATGACCTGGCGTCACTTTTTCGGAGCAGGCGCAGTACTTTCTGGACAGATGGGCGCAAAAATCGCAAAATGCAGTAGCTCGAGGCCGTCAGCTCTGCAGTCCACTTTCCATTTTTTGAGGAAGTCTCTGTTTTGGACCTGCCAACGTCCACTTTTGAGGCAAATCTCACATAATTCTATCCTTTCAGATAGATGGGTGGATGGATGGGAGCAGAAAGAGAATGAAAGAGATAGATACAGATAGAGGTAGCGATAGAGATAGAGATAGACATCCGTCCGGGATGTTATTCGGACCTTAATTTACACTCGTATTTCGTTTTGGCAGGGCCATGCGAAATGCAACTGCATGTCTTCAAGAAAGTTGGTCAAATTCCTTTCTCCAAGTGTCTAAAACCCTGGGTTTTGGGCCAGGTCGACTGGATATTTGCATGCTCTGCCAAAGGCTTCTTTGTGCAACATCTTTCCTGTCCCCCCCATAAGGGAACATGTAACATTTTTACTCTGCCAACAGAAACAACTTAACGTAACATGTAACATCTGTCCTAAGTCCACCCATATCCCTTAACCTAACATGTAACATCTTTACTCTGTCAACACAAACGGCCTAACGTAACATGTAACATCTGTCCTAACTCCACCCATATCCCTTTGCATAACATGTAGCTCCCGTGTCAGCACAACTAGCTTGACGTAACATGTAAGACTTTTCCATGTAACAACTTGACGTAACATGTAACATCTGTCCTAACTCAACCCATTTCCCTAAACGCAACATGTCACTCTGTCAACACAATCAACCTAACGTAACATGTAACCTCTGGTCTAACTCATCTAACTCCACCCATATCCTTTAACGTCACATGTAACATCTTTACTCTGTCAACCGAAACAACTTAACGTAACATGTAACAGCTGTCCTAACTCCACCCATATCCCATACTGTAACACGTAAAATTTTCCATATCAACACAACTAACTTGACGTAAGAGGTAAGATCTTTCCATGTAACAGACTGTAACACATTGGCCTGACATGTAACATCAACATGGTTTGCAAGTGCAAGCGGACGTAAACATCCCACCACCCCCCCAATAGGGTCCGGTTTTCCCCCCGCTAGCATAGACATGGAGACGGAGATAGAGAAATAGAGAGATAGAGAGATAGGTAGATAGGCAGACAGACAGACAGACAGACACAGACAGACAGACAGACAGATAAATAACCAAATAGATACGGAGAGAATACACAGACAGAGAGAGAGAGAGAGAGCGCGAGGGAGCGAGGGAGCAAGGGAGCAAGGGAGGGAGGGAGGGAGGGAGAGAGACAAATAGACAGATAGACAGATAGACAGATAGACAGACAGACAGACAGATAGATAGATAGATAGATAGACAGATAGACAGATAGACAGACAGACAGACAGATAAACAGACAGATAGACCGATAGACCGATAGACAGATAGACAGATAGACAGATGGATAGATGGATAGATGGATAGATAAATAGATAAATAGATAAATAGATAAATAGATAAATAGATAGGTAGAGACACAAAGACATAGAGAGATAGAGAGATAGAGACTGAGAGCCTCAACCAGCTTTCGGTCCACCAGTGGGTTCGCTCTGCCATCCATCCATCACAGCAACTCACCTCTTCTATAGGTTCCCTATCTCTGAACCTTCCGCCACCGCCTTTTCTCCGGTACAACTGGTATGTCCCGCGGTATCACGGAATGCCTGGCCAACTGCTGCTAGGATATCGTCCAGCTAAAGGACGCTGTGCTTTTTGTCATTGACTGCTCAACACCCAACGCCTTGAAGCCATTGAAGGTTGGTGGGCGATGCCTTGTAGCAGAGACTTGGTTCATTTGGAACCCACTGCTGTGTGGATTTTCTTTGGTTTCTGTTGTGACGCTTCCCGCAAAGTGTTCCCTTGCAGTGCAGTCTCTGATAATTTGAGCATGTTTCAGGAACTTTCCTGTTTCAGTTGAGTTTCTGAATTTCCGTTGAGAAGCCAAGTTCCTTGACATGTGGTCATCTGTGTGTGGCCATGGCCCGTTTGTTGCCGATGGTTCAAGATGAAAGTGACCAGTGCTGGGTCCCAGCGGAGAGATGCTGGAGCGGATCGCAGAGCGGCCTTCAAAGCGGCCACGAAGAAGCCTTGGAAACGGAAGCTCCGACGGAGATTTGGCCAGTTCCCAAGGCTCCAAGAAGATGCTCGAATGGCTCCCACAACATCCTCAGAATACTTATAGATAGCTTTGCTTGGAAAAACTCAGCATCCTGTTTTGCTCAGAATCTGGCTGAAAGAAGCACAAGAATTCGTAAGAAGCTTTCTCGTTTCCAGGTGCTGTTGGTTTTGCATTGTTTGCTATGCTTGTGAAGTTGTACGCGTCAAGCCACCAAAAAACAGCATCCACATAGATGTCTCGAAACCTGCAGCCCTCACACCGGGAGGCAGCTCCACAAGAGACGATTGCTTCCACTCTAGCTTCGTCAACGCCATTTGTGCCAAGCACGGCAACGGCATCAAGGCCTTAGTGGATGCCTGGGACGCTGATGGCACGAAGTACCACTACATTGCATCGATGAGCCAGGATGACATTGATCCAGTCCCGATCCCGGAGAAAATCGAGCCCTTGGGCCTGGACTTTGAGCACTGCAGTTTTGTGTATTTGTGTATTTGTGCGTTGTTAGTGTACTGTAGTTGTATTTCCACAAGCCTGTGCAGAGGATTTTTCCCAAAGAACTGCTGCCAACTTCAACTTTTACATTGCCTATTTTTACCTCTTCTCAACATCATCACCTGCATCACTTGCATCACCTGCATCACCTGCATCACGTCATCATCAGCACCAGCATCAGCATCAGCATCATCATCATCATCATCGTCATCATCGTCACCACCACCATCATCATCATCATCATCATCATCATCGTTATCATCATCTTCATCTTCATTTTCATTTTCATCTTCTTCATCATCATCATACCGTCACCACCTACACATCAATTCCATCATTTGTTTCCCCTGCATCCTCAATATCATGTGCGTCATCTACTTTATCTCCGCGGATGTAGACAACAGGTGATCAACTTCTATGGGCTCCTTCAAAACACATACAAGGTCGCCTGTATCACCTACATCACCTTCGCGAGTGTAGACATGTATATAGGTTATCAACTTCTATGAGCCCCGACAAAAAAGTCTTACAAACACTTGCGGTGCACCGAAACATGACCCTATGCGGGCATCGCGCATGCCGGTTGAACCAAACTGTGGTAAAATTGCAATTCACGCATGGTCGCGTAGAAGCCCTTTCGCAGATATCGTGCGCGTCGGACGTCCAAACGTGCGGTGAAAAGAAAATTTTGTTTGTGTGCGCAACCCTTTGCGGAGTTCGTGTCTGTCCGATGTCCAAATTCTAAACGTGTGGTGACAAATGTGGATTTGGTTTTGCCCTAAGCAATTCTGTGGGGAGATTGTGCGCGTCGGATGTCCAAATGCGTGGTGACATGCGGATTTTTAGTTTGTCCCCTCTGCGGAGATTGCGCGCGTCGGGGTCGGTGTCCAAATGCGTGGTGACAGACATGCGGATTTTGTTTGTCACTAGGCAACCTTCTCCGGAGATTGCGCGTGTCGGATGTAGATGCAGATTTTGCTGTATGTCAGCAAGAAACACTCTGCGGAGATTGTGCTGTACGAAAGAGATTGTTTGTAAAAGTTTCCGCGTGTAGAAACCTCTCTGTGTAAAAGCTGCTCTGTGTATATAAAAATATATATAAAGGTTTCTCTTCGTACAAGCTTTTGTGTGTAAAATCATCTGTGTTGTAAAGGCCGCTTGCTTAGTGTAAAAGCTGCTCAGCGTAAAAACTTCTGTGTGCAAAAACTCCTGTGCGTAAAAGTTTCTGTGTGTCAAATTGCTCTGTGAAAAGTTCTAAGAGCTGCTCTGGGTAAAGGCTTCTGTGCAAAAGCGTTTGTGTGTAAAAGTTTTGTGTGTAAAAACCATTAAAAACCGCTCTTTGTAAAGGCATCAGTTACTGTGGAATTTTTGAACAGTCATATAAACAGTTGTTTTCATGAACCTTTGATCGTGTTGTCACAAATCCAAGCTCATAGAATGCGGTGCGCTGAGGCGACCCTTCATTTTGGATATGTGGTTTTTCCTCATTGGCAATGTCTGTCTGGCAGGGTACAAAACTGGATCTTGAACTCTGCAGGTCAAGAATCAGTAAAAGCATAGATGGTTTGGCAACATACCTAGCCCAGCCAGATTCCCTTGACGTTGTTTTCATGATTGTCACTCAAGTGCCAGCCCTGGAGCAAATCTCCTGTGGCGAGAAATGTGCATCAAGCTGTGGATGTATGGTACTCATCATCATCATCATCATCATCATCATCACCATCATTTACATCATCATCATCATCATCATCATCATCGTCATCGTCATCGTCATCGTCATCACAAAAACATCTTCTTTTGTATGATCTTTTCGGCCTCTCCCTCCTGCTTTCTTTCGGGCTTTCTTTTTGTTTGCATATCTTGCGATTTGTTCATTGCCGGGCTCTTTCGGTTCTGAAGCCAAGGCCTGTGAAGGACAGGCGGGTCAACCGCTTCTTCAGGAAGTTCGGGCACAGACACTTCTTGTTTGTGAAGAGGGAGACTTGCCCTCGCTTCAGGTTACCGGACCGGCTGAAGCCATTCCGTCTCTTTGGCCGTGACTGGGAGCTGCTGGGATCAAGGCAGCCAAAGAAAGGCCGTGTCAGCAGTGATGGTGATGTGGATAGACGCCACACATTCATATTTTGGAGCCACCTAGACCGCGAGCCTCGGCTTTCTGCAGCCACAGTTCGAGGATTGCATATACCCCGAGAGCTGCCCAGTCCGGGGCCAGGGTCGATTGAACGACGTTGCGACAAACACTTCTTTTGTCGCTGGTTGGCTGAGAAGCATCATGCGATGGTGCAAACTCCAGAGCAAGAACTCCTACAGAAAGGCAAGTACATGGCTCGCTTCAAACTTGGCTGGACAGATGCAATTCCCACTCGCTACTTGGCGGTTGAACCATGCTGTATGCCAAATCATGCACTGAAAGCAGTTGTTCAATGTCCTTCATGTTTTTCATTTTATTTGTTTCGAATTGCAAGCCAGAGCAACTGGGGATCCGGCATTTGTTTGTTTTTTCAAGCCCAGCTGCATCACAGAGCCAGGCTACATTGACCCAGAGAAAATTTTGGAGGAATCAGACCTCAAAGCGTCCAACGGCTGTGTGCTGTCAGACGGATGTGGTCGCCTTGGACTATCGTTGGCAAACGAGATCAGGGAAGATTTGAACTTGAGCTACATTCCTGCAGCGCCTCGCTGTGTAAATGCGTTTGCATATGTTTGCATTTTCATGCCTTTTGGCCTGTAGCCTGTGGCCAAATCAAGGCTGATGTTTTCTTTGCTCCTGAGAGCGTCGCATTTTCTTGGCAACGGCCTTTTCGGTACGATAATCATGACGAATATGTTGCAGCTGCCATCTGGTCAGCTTAGAACCTTTACAAAATACTTGTTTTTGCCCTTTTTCCCTTCCACCCATTCACCATAATGACCTGGTTACTTGTAGGTTTCTGTAGGCTTGGATTGGAAAATCCCGCTATTCTGCCTGAAGAAAGTGGTTAAACGATGGGTCCCTCCGGTAAGTGCCTCGGTTGTACACACGAAACCCGACTCGGCTGTACACGCCAGAAAACAACTCGGTTGTGTACGTGGTTGCTGATGATTATGATGGTGAGGACGATGATTGATGATTGATGATTGATGAATGATGATTGATGATTGATGATTGATGATGATGATGACGACGACGACAATGATGATTGATGACGACGATGACGATGATGACGACGATGACGACGATGACGACGATGACGATGATTGACGACGATGACGACGATGATTGATGATGACGACGATGACGACGATGACGATGATGATGACGACGACGATGATGACGATGATGACGATGATGACGATGACGACGATGACGACGATGACGACGATGACGACGGACGACGATGACGACGACCATGACGACGACCATGACGACGACCATGACGAACACCCGACCACCACGACCCCCCACGACCCACCACGACCACACGACCACCACGACCACGCCACCACGACCACCACGACCACCACTACCACCACGCACCCACCACGACCCCTACCCCACGACCACTACCACGACCACCGACGACCACCGACGACCACCACGACCACCACGAACCACACTACCACCACGACCACGACCACGAGACGACACCACGACTACCACCACGACTCACTACACGACAACACGACCACGACCGACCACTACGACCACGACACCACGACGACGACCACGACCACGACGACCACGACCACGACGACCACGACCACGACGACCACGACCACGACGACCACGACCACGACGACCACGACCACGACCACGACCACCACGACCACGACCACCACGACCACGACCACCACGACCACCACGACCACAGCCACGACCACGATGACGACGACGACGACGAGGATGATGAGGATGATGAGGATGATGAGGATGATGAGGATGATGAGGATTATGAGGATGATGAGGATGACGATGATGATGATGACGATGATGATGATGATGATGATGACGATGATGATGGTTGTGGCTGGTAGATCCTACCCTTTTCTGCCCTAGCCCCACCCCACCCCCCAAGGTTGAAGTGTGATGGTAAGCCGAAGGAAGTGGAGTAGCGGTTGTGTCCCTATAATGAAGTTAAGCAACGGTTATGGCTGGTAGATCCTACCCTTTTCTTCCCTAGCCCCACCCCATCCCCCAAGGTTGAAGTGTGATGGTAAGTCGAAGGAAGTGGAGTAGCGGTTGCTCCTATAATGAAGTTATATAACTAGCCCCACCCCACCCCCCCAAGGCTGTGTGTGTGTGTGTACAACTGAGTCAATTTTGTGTGTACAAGTGAGTCAGAATCCTGTGTGCGCAGCTGAATCAATTTTGTGTGCGCAAGTGAGGCGCTTACCCTCCCTCCGTCCTGCCTGCACTCTTCATCCAAGATCCATAAGCAAACTTTACCGAGGGCAGCATTGGTTTAGTTTAGTTATATGCTGTCAACACCATTCAGCCCACTTGATTTCACCTGAGGTGTTTCAAGCCAGAATTGGCAGTTGCAAAGGTTTGTGGGTGGTGGACTTTGACATGGATGAGGATAGCATTGAGATCCGGAAGAAGCAAAGCAAATGGGACATGAACTGGCATGCTTGTGACAAAGAAGATCGATGCTTCGAAGTGAAGGACTGGTCAAGGCAGCAAGCAGCTGAAGGTGTCTTCAATGTGCAGCTTATTCCGATTTTGGAAGATTCTGGGCTGAGGTTGGTGAGGGGCACCCACCTTGTCTTTTATTTGTCACGTTTTCTCCAATGAAGGATAAATTATGTTTGCGTCTTTTTGCTCGAAGTTTGTTGGTGTGTTGTGACAAAGCTCCTGTGCAATAGTTCGGGCTGAGGTGATTTGAGGGGCATTGGGTGCCGCTACCCGATGCCCGTCGTAACATTTGGTTTAAGCAAACTGAGGAAAGATAAGTTGGCATTCTCACGGCCATCACCCCCCAATCTCCTGCCCCTAATCACTGCACTGTCGCCAGAACGATCATACATCCGCGAAACTGCTTTTGGAGCGCTCCAGAGAGATGAAAGGTCCCACTTGCACAATCTATGTAAGGGGAGTCATGCCCCTTCCGGACACCAAGACACGGGGCGAAGTTGAATTTCTGTGTGATTAAAGTGATGAGCCACAATAACAGCATGCTCCTGGACGCACACACACACACACCCTGGACTGGTTTTGAAATTTGAAATTGGATCCACTTTGGCTCGATCGAATCGATGAAAGGAGGAATTCAAATCTCTGCTGCAGAAACACAGTAGTAGAAAAGCGTGTTCAACAGTTTCAACCCAAAGCGCGGGTACATAACAAAGCGTCCTTTGATACTTCCCCTATTACATCCCAGCTTCGTTGGACCAGGGTGGATGTGATAGGCCTGGCCACCCTGCAAATCTAAGTGCGTAGCACATGAGTGCATGCAAGCCCACATGTGGTTTGCACAAATGATACCAAACACCATGCTCTGTGTAAAAGGATGTGCACACACAGACGCGCACACACACAGGCACAGAGAGACAGAGAGAGAGAGAGAGAGACACACACACACCCACGCACACACAGACACACACACACACCTCTCTGCTTTTCCATCTGTCCATATTGTTGGAAGTTTGACTTCTAAAACGTCCTTCGATAAGTGATCTCCGAGCAAGACCTCTGCTCTCCTCTCCAGGTCCCTGCACAAGATCTCCAGAAGAGGTTTCCCGGAAAGATCTCTGTACAAGATCTCTGAGCTCTGCTGGCAAGATGTCTGTAAGAGAATGTAAGAGACCTCTTGGCAAGATCTCTGCAACAGGATCTTTATGCAATATCTCTGCACCAGGTCTCCGGAAGAGGTGTCCTGGCAAGATCTGTGTACAAGATCCTTATAAGAGGTCTCTTGGCAAGATCTCTGTAAGAGGCCTGTTAGCAAGAGCTCAAAAGATCTCTGTGCAATGTCTCTGGACAAGATCTCTTTATGAAATCTCCGTCCAGGCTCTCTAGAAGAGTTCTCTTGGCAAGATTTATGTAAGAGACCTCGTAGCAAGATCTCTGTACAGTTCTCTAGAAGAGGTCTCTTGGCAAGACCTCCTGGACAAGATCTCTATAAGAGATCTCTTGGCAAGATCTCTTTTTGAGATCTCTGCACAAGCTCTCTATAAAATCTCTCTTGGCAAGATTTATGTAAGAGACCTCTTGGCAAGATCTCTGCAACAGGATCTCTATGCAATGTCTCTGCACCAGGTCTCCATAAGAGGTGTCCTGGCAAGACCTGTGTACAAGATCTCTATACGAGGTCTCTTGGCAAGATCTCTGTAAGAGGCCTGCTGGCAAGATCTCAAAAGATCTCCATGCAATGTCTCTGTACAAGATCTCATAGATCTCTGTATGAAACCTCTGTCCAGGCTCTCTAGAAGAGGTCTCTTGGCAAGACCTCCTGGACAAGATCTCTACGGCGGCGCAGACTTTGTGCGAGCCTGCCCAGTCGAAATGCATGTCAACATGTCACAAGAGTCACAAGAGCATACAAGAGCCACTTTATACGTTTTTTTTCTTGAAAAATGCCGCAGCCCAGCACCTATAGAGCCACACTTTGTGCGAGCCTGCGCAAACGAAACGCAAGGCAACATTTCACAGGAGCCGCGTTATACGGAAATTGACAGAAAAATGCCGCGGCCCAGATTGAGCCCAGAACGCGAACACACACTTTGTGCGTCAACATTTCCCAGGAGCCACTTTATACGCAAATTTATAGGAAAAATGCCGCGGCCCAGATTGAGACCAGAACGCGGACACACACTTTGTGCGAGCCTGCGCAGTCAAAACGCACGCCAACATTTCACACGAGCCACTTTATACGGAAATTTACAGGAAAAATGCCGCGGCCCAGATTGAGCCCAGAACGCGGACACACACTTTGTGCAAGCTCGCGCAGTCGAAATGCACGTCAACATTTCACAAGAGCCACTTGATACAGAAATTTAAAGGAAAAATGCCGCCGCCCAGATTGACACACACACACACGCCCCACGGAGGCGGCATTTTGTCAAAAAACGCTCATCACCCGAAGAGAACAGCACGCAACTTCCACCAAACACGGAAGAAAGTAAGAAAACAAAAAAACACCCCCAAAACTGTGAGGGTTTTGGGGGAAGGGTTTTTTGGGGGAAAAAGAAAACGTTACCAAACAATCCCAGATCCTAGAATTTGGGGAAAACCGGAAAACTTACAACAAACAAACCCAATTTGATTTTTCGTGGGAAACACAACACTTTCACCAGATGATGGAGCGGACGGGTTGTAAAAGCGTGTGAACTGTGTGTGTGTGTTCGTAAGTTTTTTTCCACCTTGTCTTTGATTCCTTGTGGTTTTGCCTGGTTTGGTGCTCCCTTCTAGGGTAACCCAGTTTCTACCTGTCCGAACCCTTATTTGCTTGCCTCTGATCTGCGTTGGCAATTCAAGCCTGAACTGGGTCTCTGACCTGTCCTGTTTGCATACTATTTTGCAACACAGAGACATGGAGCGCTGGAGGACTATATAAGCCGGGCCGACATAAAGACATTGGATTGGTTTTGAAAATTGAAACTGGTTCCAGTTTGGTTCTGTCGAACCGATGCGAGGAGGAAAGCGAATCCCTGCTGCAGAAACACTGTAGTAGAAAAACGTGTTCAACAGTTCCAACCAAAATGTGCAGGTACACATTGTGATAGGCTTGGCCGGCTTGGCCCCCTTGCAAATCTAAATGTGCAGTACATGAGTCCATGCAAGTCCGCATGTGGTTTGTACAAATGCCATCAAACACCATGCCCTGTGTAAGAAGGGAGTACACACACACAGTGTTCACTCCATAGTTCATAGCCATCTGATGTTTAGGATTTGGGATTTTGTATGACCAGGGTTGGCCAACGTGGGTTTGTTGAGTTGAATCCCCAACAGTCCATGGTTTAGTTTTTGAATGTTGGTCATCCTGGGTGTTTCCAAAAAAAGGGTCAAGCGCTCAGGCCCGCGGGGTGCCAGCAGACATTTTTTTGAAGCTTGCAAACGACGAGGTGGGTGAAATTGGCACGACCTTGGGAGGTAGTGGCGGAGACATTGCCAAATCCCTTCCAGTCTACGACGCTGCCGACCCCAACAGAACGCAAATCGCCTTGCAGATGATTGACGCTGGCATAGACGTGAGGAGCGAGCCAGCTGCTTTCAAATGGTGCGCGGGCTACTTGCAGGGCAAAGTGAAAAGTTTGCGAGACAAGAAACACTACAAGTGTCCTGAGTCTTGGCGTGCCTTCATCATCCCAGACTTCAGTCAGCAGCTGGGGCCTCAAGAGGCCATATTCTGGGTTTCAGACAGCATCGGATACTTGGAGGGCGAGGCACTGGTGGCCAGAAACCCTTGCACGGCGCCATGGGACGTGCAGAAGCTGACATTCCTGGGTGAAAAAGAGATTCGCCGACGCTTTGGCTTCTTGTAACCTCGTTTAGGTGAGACATGAACAAGGTAGTTCCATGTTGTGCGTTTTGTATCGTTTTGTGTCTTTTTGTGCTCCTCATCCGCTGAATTTCTGATTTTCACTTGGGGACTTGAGTGGGGAGACGGTACCAAAGCCATCCAAAGCCAAGGTTCCATGGGCCCTCGCTTTAAGCACAATTGCGTGGTGGTTTTGTCTGCAAGTCCAGACTGCATAGTTTCTCCTGCAGATGTGCTGGCAGGAGGAGATTACGATGGTGACAACGTTATTGTGATCTTCAACAAGGATATCGTCAAACATTTTGGCACATGCGATCGCAACGAAAGCATCCAGCATGAAGTCAAACAACTGGTTGATCGCATCGTTGAAAATGAAACTGCCGCTTCCAGCGTCAAAAGGGACACGGTTCATGGGCTGTGTGACGAGCACTGGCTCGGCTCTGAGAACTCAGTCTTAACAGCAAAGACAGCAGATTGGTGGACAGCAATCTCTGATGAAAAAGGGGTGGACCACCCTCATGCTGTGAAACTGGGACTCCTTCACCAGCTGGCGCTTGATTCGAAGCTCCCGTGCGACAAGGTGCCGAGTGAGAAGTTTATCGAGCAGATTGGCCGAGAATTGCAAATACCGCCCCTGGATCAGGCTGCAATGCCACATTGGCATACCCGTGAGTCTGCCAAGGCGAGGGGACGTATCAGACAATCTCACCGAGTCCTCGGCCGTTTGCAGAACGAAGTGGTGCCGGAATTTGTGGCCAGCGGCTGGAAGAAACAGTATGGTGGTGACCTCTACCAGGCTGTGTTTCACAGAGCCGCACTGGATGCAAAACCTCCCCATGCATTAGAATGGCCATCGGATGGTACCTACACATCCCGCGCAGAATCTGACCTGCAAGACTATTACGAGAAGAGAAAAGTGGAGAAGATGACAGATGACGGGTTCAGCAAGCTGAAAGAATTTTGCAAGGATGAGTATTTTAAAAGGTCCGGGTGCAATTCTGAAGACCAGAAACGCGCATATGCCGTTGCGTTCTACCACGGGCAGTACCAGCATTTTCTGAGTGAATTTAACAGAAAAAAGGACATCACTGAAGAGCAACTCGAAAAGTTTCTCCTACCAGCTTGGGAGCTCTTTGCACGCGAGTTGTGCCATGTCCACATGTTGCTTACTATAGGATCTAGTGGCATTTGCCTCATGTCCAAGGAGAACAGGGCGAGAGTCCAATATCGCCAACAAAATAATTTGAAGATCACTCGCGCTGAAGGTCGCTGAGATTGGTCAAAGCACGTCAATGCCGTCAGAAGACAGCCAGCTTATGTTGGTGCTAGTTGTTGTTGGTTGCGTCTCGTTATTGTATAGTTGATGACGTTACAACTGCCAAACAGATTCAAAAAAGGTTGGCCGCGAACAAATACATGTTCAGATGGTTTATGCATGCGTGGGTTTCCATTTGTTGATCATTTTGGAATTGTATCAACTCGCTCCCCAAATAAACTAGTTCCCCAAATTGCCGCAACCTGCCAAATCGGTTCGCCGGGGAGATTCTTGAAACTTCAGGAAGCGCTTTCCACTGCAGCCGGCGTTTTGAAGACCAAGGTCATCACTGCACCAGTGTCTTGCTTGAAAGTTCAATGGTTTTTTCCCAGGGAACACCATGCGGAATGTACAGAAACCAAGACGCAGCTTATGACTGAATCCACAGTGGCCATCAAGTTGTATACGTCATTATACGTCATGGTTCCTAGCAACAACTTCGGCTCTAGTGTGGGTGAATTATATACCTCTGATGGAGCAGCCCTAGTTTCCCCCAAATCCAATTAAATAATTAGACTATTACATGACATTGCACTGCATTCCATGAGAGTGCGGCCATGACGTACAAAATGAAATCGCTGACACGGCCTCATACATATACTGTGTGCCTATCTGCCATTCTCTACCTGACATACCCACTAGCTACAGTACCTGATTACCTGCATACTTCAGAATCAATGTACCTGCCTATATACTTATTCTATCTTATTCTATCTTATTCTCATGTTCATCCACGCATCATCCATTTGTCCATCCAGTCTACTGTGATTTCTCCTTTTCATCTCTGATTGATTCGTCTCTTGGTTTCTCCTCTTGCTTTCCTCGCCGTGCTCCCCTTCTATTCCGTACCATCCTAGCCCATCATGACCTTCACTAGCACGTGCGAGAACTTAAGAACGGGTTGCTACCCCAGCTAGGGTGAACATTTTTGCGCAATGCTCCACCCGAAGTAAGGATGACAAAGTGGGGGTTCTTCTATATGGCGTGAAGGAGAAGCAGAATCCCAACAATTTCGATGGCATTCGGTTGCTGCACGACCTCGACCGCCCTAGCGCATTTTGGCTGATTTTTTTTGCTGAAATGGTGGAGATCTGTCAAGACGCATGCTATTACAATCAAGAGATGCTAAAAGGTGATGGTCTGTGATGGTGTCACATGCTATCTTCAGCCTGTAGCCAGGCTGCCAGGGTTTTGCGCTGGTTTTCAAGGGATGTGACCTTCAGATCAGCGAGTCAAACTTTGAAGGGAAAGACAAAACCAAGAGCCGGCAGGAGGTGTCTGGTAGGTGAAGGTTTGAAGAGTGTTGATCAAAACCAGAAGGGGAAAAATGGCATGAACTGCATCGAATTTGCCATGATGAACCATAGGCCTAAGCAGGAACTAGATACACATGAATACCTTGACAGTATATTGTGTCGGCACAAGCGTGCCAATCTGATAGGCTCAGCGAATAAAGGAGCTTGAGCAAGAAGCCAGCCGGACTTCAAAACAGATGGAGGAACGATATGGTGCTGCCGGCTGTGTTGCCAGTTTATATATAATATCAAATATATTCAAATATAATTATCATACAAGTAATGTTGCCTCAGAGTGGTACACCGGATTAGAATTGAAACGAACTTTACATTGGCCTTTGCGTTTGTTTCTGCATGTTTCTGGATAATATAGTATTACTGTATATAGAATTTATATGTGACAATACATACATGTATGATCATGTATGTGTATATGTATGTTAATGTATCATTTATATATTATGCAAATGATATATATTATATATACACACACACAGCGCGCATACGCATTTTCGAATACATTATCTATCTAAATATTGTAAGAATTTTGGCATGTGGCCACATCTCGCCAGGCTGTGGGAGGCCCACACCTGTGTCAGATGTTTTCTGGACTTCTACAACCATTTTCAATCTGGGTGCCAACCAGCTTCTCTGCTGCAACCGTATGCGCTTGTCGGCCCGTGGTGACCATGTTTGTAGGTTATATTTCCAGACCGTTTGTCCTGTATTAGCACTGGGACTCAAAGCAAGACATTATAGTATAGATTAGTATATAGTACTACTACCATGGACCTTCCACCGAACTTCGAAAGCAAATGACCGGTCTCAAGTCCTGCTGCTCCCAGGGCGCAGTTCGACAGTCGCATTTTTCTCTTCACTTGCAACGATGCTCCTGCAGCATCTGCAGACGAAGCACATGCAGCGCGCACACGTGTCCAGGACTTTGTGTTGAGAGTTTCAAGTTCAAAGCTGTGCGAAAATATGTTCTTCCAATTTGCTTGGCTTGCTTTCGGCATCTATGAACTGCATTGCATCTAGATGAATCTCAGATGTATATTGTAATTATGATGTATAAGTCTGCATATAGGACACGAGTGGGCACCCTTGACAGTGCAGCAGGGGGGAAAGGAACATTCTACTGGGAACATTTGGCCACTGGTGCAGGTAATTATGTACATGGGTTGTTGAAGCTGTTTGAGTTGATGTTGATGAGACGTATGCCGAGTCTTAAAATTAGCTGGATTTCTGCGAACAGGATGTGCCTGTTTGAAACTAGACTTGTGATTGAGTAAGCCAAAAGTTTTCAGCCACTAGTTTCTAGATCAATCTAGATCACCTGAATGCACATCTCCTCTTGCACATCATTTGAGAAAGCAGCCGCTAGGACCTCATGGACATGGGCGTCGAGATTGAGTTCTTTCCGCTTCAGTTTGAGGAGAAGGACTGACAATTGCGATCTCCTGTAGATCGGTTTGAAAAAGTCTGGATGAGCTGGAGGCTACCACCACTTCAAAGGCGCAAGAATATTTTCGTGCCCATGGTCTCATTGAAGCTGCCGAGGGTTGCAATTGAATGCCTAAAACTCAGTCAGATGTTTGTCGCGTTGATTGTAGCAATGACCAGACACTCGATGGTTGGGCAGCAATCGCATGCGTCCGTGTTTCGTCCGTGTTTCGACCAATTTCGACCAGGAATTTTCCATTGATCGTTTTTGGGGCGGCTTGCTTCCAGTGGATCCAATGGACTACGTGACCCGCGCCACGCTTCGCTTGGAGCAGCTGGACCCTGGTCGTCGTCGTTTTCATGAAACATATTGAAACATACACATCCAGTGGTTTGCATTAGCGCAAGGAGATGTAAGGAGGCTGCTCGTGTTTGTTCATTGTTTATTCATGATGTAGTCGTGACATAGTCATGGGATGTGAATGTATGTTGTTATGGGATGTTATAGTGGTTTATTTTCAGACCTCAGATAGTTTCAGAGCAGAATTGGGTTCTCAGTGGTCAGATGGTCATGTACCTCCAAATCCTGCTGTAAACATGGCAAGATGTTTTAACCACTTGGAAATGGTTCCAAGAATCAGTGGGCCGAGATAGACGGTTTCAGCGTTATTCAGTACGTTTGGTGGAATGAGGCATGCCACAGGAGCAGGTCAAATGGAAGTGTTCCTTGCGACAGAGATGATTTAACGTTGAACGAAGTAACGAACAAAATGTACACGTCTTGTTGAGTTTGTTGCAGGAGCGGCGGATCCGTATGAGAATTCACCGGAAGCGGACCTTGCAACGGCTCACATTCTATGTATGCCCAGGTGGGCCGTGCCAACGTAAAATAAAGCTCAATCTTTTTTGATGAGGTCTAGTCACAGCGAATGTCTTCCTCCTCCGCTTGGGTCAGAACAAAAATAGCAATGCAACTCTGTGAGCCAGGAATCGAGGCATCCGTCTCAGTCTTTGTCACACTGCTGGAAGCAAAAGTTCCTGCTCCCATCTACCTGCTGAATGTAAGCTGCTGGAAATTGGCAGGGGGTTCTTAGTGGGTAGCCACGTAATTAAACGTATAGCCACTATGGGTTTGCCAGCAACGTGCCTTCCCCACAGCAAAAGAGGCATGTGATGAATTGTTTGTGAAGTCTTCCAAGATCGAAACTGGCTGCCAGCAAAACTTGCTACAGGACAACATGCAGAGGATGCAATACTTTAAGGATGATATTTTTTGATTCCCGCCTTACCACCATGGCACTTAGAGGTTTGTCACATTTTCGACCACTGAACAAATACACTGAAAATGCAACATTCAAGAGAGTTCCAGCCAGGTCTGCACAAGACATTGGCATTTTGTATTGGGTGGACCTCAAGCTTGTTGAGCAACTGCATATCTCACCTGAGGAGAACAATAAGCCATTGAAAGCTGAGTGCAAGCAAATCTGCGAACAGACTGGTGCTTTGCTACATCCAGTGGATGATATCGCAACTTATGTGGAGGCTGCTTGGCTCAATCCAGATTTGGTCGATACCAGGACTTGGCGATGCGCAGTGAGAGTGTTTGACAGCAATCGCAGCAGAAACCTCTAATCCAGCGTTTATGATTGCAATAGGGAGTGGGTCAGCAGTTGAAACAGATCTGGTTTGTAACATGTTGATTTTGCCCTGCTCCCCCAACATTCTTGCGATCCTTAAGGGGTCAGATTCAAATTTGGACAAGCCATACGTCAGTCAGCAGGCCCTTTAAAGCCGACAAGGCGGCAAGTCCTCAAGGAACTGTCTGGAGGCAACAAGGCATTTTCAGTGCCATGCACGCCTCAGGTTGCTGGTCATCGGATTCCGGTGAGCCGTGCTGAAGCTATGGAGGCAAAGCACTTTGGAGATCCTGGATTGAGACTCCTTGGCTTCAAGTGCCTTGGCAGGTGACCAGATTTCAAGGGACCAGCTGGGATCAGAGATGATCAGAGGGATCAGAGGTTAAGTTAAGTTAAGTTGATGGGAGTGACGGGGACACTGAAGAGAGTGTCAGGATGTGTCAGGATGCGTCAGGATGTGTCATGGTGTTTTTGAGCTCAAAAGTTCTGGCGGCAAAGTTAGTCATGCCTGCCGTCGCTCAGAGTGCACACGTGAAAATTCAGTTTCAGCTTGCCTTCACGCCCCAAAGACCGTCCAAGGCCATCCAATCTCTTGAAGGATCACCACCGCATTTTTCACGCATACTTCGTTTATCCGAACGAAAAGGGAGTTCGAGGCTCTGCCGTGTTCCTCTCAGCACTCATCAGCAGGGAGACCCAAAATCGGAACTGGTGGGCGGTGTAAGCTTGTATGAAACTTCAGCTGCTGGTGAGCTGTTCAATGCTGTTCATTTCTGTTTGTTCATTGCATACAATAGCGTACAATATCATACAATGTACTGTGTATATATGACGTATTCACTTTCAGATGTTTGGAGCCTTTTGCTGCCATTGGTTTTGCTGCCATTGGCCATATGCGCAACTACACATCTAGTGAGGCAGTTTGCTTGAGCGGAAGTTGATGGCTATTTGCAGCTACGTGGCACGGAAGAACAGCGAGCCCATGATGGTTGCTTTGCTGCCGCAGGCTGGGTTCCGAATGCAGTGGACCATATTCATGATAGGTCTTCTCTTGCGAGGAGCCGGGCATTGAACGGATACTTAATAGATCTGAGTAGCATTCCCAACCAATACAACTTTACAAGTATATGTCAGCAAGATTCAGCAAGATCTTGTTTGTGAAAAGATGCATCTCTTTGGATCTCCATACCAGTACTAGATAGTACCAGTGTTCACCGCATGCTGTCAGATACGATCATCATGCTTTGGACTGCAGAGTCACTGTACACCTGAGCAATGACTAGCAATGTGGACTTTGGATATCCATGCGATTCCATGCGTTTGACACACGGCAGGCAGAGTTGGAGGAAGAGGGTGAGCAACTGCGCCCGCCTGGTTTCGTAATGATCCGATTACCATGGGCGGAGGAGATCCGCTCCCTCAGTGCCTGAGTCGAACTGGTCAGAGAGTCTGGCCATGTTTGGCCATGTTTGGCCTAGCATTCGAAAATCAACCATTTCAATCATTTCACCTGCAATTTGTGTCTTCTCACACTGCGGGATTCCGCTTGGAAAAGGGGCAAAATTATGCAATCTCACAAGAATGCCTTATGCATCCTTATGCCACGAATGACTAATTGCCATGCTCTGCGCAAGATTTGCTGTTTGATAGCTCCAAAGTTTGTCCCCTTCCAATGGCTTCTGATGATTCAGTGCATGTCAGTGCAGACAGCATTGCCCTTGACCCTCTTTGAGCCCTTCTGCCAGAACCGATTTGAATGCAAGTGTGTTTGTTTGCACGTGTGATGCACGTGTTATCTACATAAATCTGCATGAATCAGGATAAAGAGATAGTATAGCCTAATTTTATGCGTGCAGAATATATCAATGTATATCATAGTATGCATTATCATTCTTGGTCAAGGGGCACACACCGCCCAGGCTTTCCGTACCCACATGGGGTACGGCCTGTACCCGATGAACTGAAGGCCTGATCTGAAAGATGAGCCGCGGGAGCATGACCTTTTCCAAACGCACAACACACGCATACACAACACTGAAGCATTAGTATCGAAGTATCAAATTGAATATATTGAGACGTTTGATTCTCGCATGTTGCACTTCCTTTCCTTTTTATTTTACCCCGTTGCAGATCGCTGCACTTGAGGCTGCAGCTGCAGCAGTTGTAAACGCCCTCCGCCTGGACAATTTCGCCCCTGGTTGTGCCGAGAATCCTAAGCTGCAACGGCACTACGCAGCCATTCAGGCACTCGGATTGACTCGGGATATCTCGTGATACCGGGTGGAGCCGGATGGCAAACACGAAAGGTTGAGAACAACCAGCAGGATGCTGCCCGTTCCTCAAACAGGACAGAAATGTTGAATATATTTCGGTTATACGACAATATTGCATACGGTATTCCGATTGGCTTGGGCGTCAGAAAGCCAGGGTTGAATTCATGCGGCAAATATAGAGACATATGAGACAGGAGACATTATTATGCCTCAATGTGCCTCAGCCATTTCGGAATCAGAGTGTCAGCGGAGATTGCTTTGCAAAACGCCATGGCCCTTTTGCACAACACTTCCGACGCAGCAAAGGAGACGCATGATACGCGCATGATACAATGTGTCCTGTCGTACGGGCCCGTACGGCGAGACAAATTTCAGGGCCATGGAGTCCACAGAGTCACAGAGTCTGTTCATGTTTGTTCATTTTGGGTTTTCATTGACTAATCGACTAATCATCAGCAATTTAGTGGGGGTACCCAGTCTTGACTCACTCATCCTGATTGTGAGGATTTGATTAGATTTCTAGAGTTACCATACTGCTCGGGTGCTGGAGTTTCTAGCACTCAGTGATTTGACTACATGCAGAAATTGGCTGCTTTCTTTCTTTACACCACAACTGACCTGGTAAGATTGGAAGATGTGTTATCATGTGTTTTAAACAACTATGAGTTTCAATGAAACTAACCTCAGGTTTTACATACAAACAACCCGCAGGAGAGCCTGCAACATCGCCGTGGGCTTGCTACCAGACGCGACTTGGGTCAAATCAGGCGAAGAAATGTCAGTCTTTTGATTCTTCCAAGCTACACAATGAGTAGTATGATGCCCATGTATGGTCGATATTTGTGCAGAGCCAGGTACAGTAGAGGGTCTAGAGTCTAGAGTCTAGTCCTTTCGTGTCCTTTTAACTTCTTATGTTATCATGTCTATCATGCCTTTAACATCGTTAAACTTGTTATTTGTTCAACCGCATGTTTTTCCATCCAGGTGGTCTTGACAGCTTGACCTTGAAGACAGACGGCCTCGTCATCGGCACCCAGAGCGGGCTTCACGGGAACGTCTTCATCTTCGACTTGGAGTCCGACGTCCCTGACCCAGAACGACGAAGCCTGGCAGATCCAAAGACTCTGAGGTCATTGCAACCTGCATCCATTGATATACAGATTTAATATATTTTAATATCAGATATATATATATATACAGATGGTAAATTGGATGAATTGGTGCTACATCAACGAGAGCATGCTATATCACGTAATAACGTCGTTCATACCTCCCAGCAGGTGCTCAGACTCCACCATGACGAGTCACTCATGCCAGGAGCCCTAAAGATCCTAAAGTGAGACGCGCAAGCACACATTGACATAAGACATCATAAGACATGAAAGCCCGTTTACCATGTGTATAATGCAAAAGAAATCATATATCATTTGTTTGCCCGCACTTTCCCCTTCACTTTCATCGGCATCGAAAGGTCAAACCTTGCTGCCTCTTGCAGTGTCACGCGCAAAAATACCATATATATATATATATACGTTATATATATATATACGGTTATATGTATGTTGGCCTATAGTAGGCATATAATTATACATACGTACGTACGTACGTACGTACGTCCATACGTACGTACGTCCATACGTACATACGTACATACAAACACATACACATACTCATACTCATACTCATACACATACATACTCATACACATACATACATATACATACACATACATATACATACACATACATACGCATACATACACATACATACACATACATACACATACATACACATACATACACATACATACACATACATACACATACATACAAATACAGACACATACAGACACATACAGACACATACATACACATACATACACATACATAAACATACATACACATACATACACATACATACATACACATACATACATATATATATATGCATATATATTTATATACATACAATACAATACAATACAATACAATACAACACAATACAATACAATACCAATACAATACAATACAATACATACAATACTTGCAATACGTACAATACATACAATACATACAATACATACAATACATACAATACATACAATACATACAATACACTACACTACAATACAATACAATACAATACAATACATACATACATACATACATATATATATATAGTTTTATCTGTAATATACCTATGAGCTAGATAATCATGATCATAGAGAGAGAGAGAGAGCGCGCGCGCGCGCGTATATGTAGAACTTGATGAGATACTGAGGATCTTCGCGGAGGGAATCAACAGGTTCTGAAAGCTTGAGGACTAGACCCAGATCTGTGAGCAACAGTGGCAGAGCGACCTGCGAAAGATGATCCCATATAGAAAACATATCATTGATAGAACATATTCTTCAGATCTTCCTATGGTCTCCTAAACTATGAACCTTGTTGTTTCAACATGATCATTCCTTCAAGGGTGGTGTCGGCTAAGGGCACCCGGGTTGCTGCCCTTTGAAAGTTTCTGAACCGACTCAATCTCAATAAGTTTTTCCGCACGGCGTCATTCGGAGTTTCCTGTCCACACCAAAGGATCCTTGGAGGTTTGCGGGTGCAGGACATGGATAACTTGGATCTTGATATATCTTGAAATTATCTTGATGATATATTGATGTGTTTCAAACACGGCGGCACGACACGGTACTACAGCCAAATTAGCTGGCCAGTACCGGATCCGTAAGCTTTCAGGCATCAATCGTCCGCAAATTTAATCTGGTAGAGTCTCTTAGGGCTGGCTGCCAATGGAAGTACTTGGTCTTTCTCTGGAGCGCGTGGCTAAGCGCATAAATAAAACAAAAGAAGAGAAGACGATAGAAGATGTTTTGACGTGCCCTGGCTGTCCTTCAAAGTACAGTAGTGTTGGTGACCCATATCTGATCTAGAATTCGACACCTCATTTTTTTAAAGCTGCTGCTTGTAGGACCATTCATTTCATTTTAACACCTTCGGATTTTGTAAATGATTCGGAAGAATTGTGTTTTCGGGAAGCGTAACTCCAATGCCTTTTAGAGACCAATGTGCGCCATTCGCAGCCAACATGTTCCGTTGTTTATCCCTTTTTGCTGTCCGAACTTTGTACAGAATGGATCAGAGTGGCCTATTTGAGGCGATGGACTCAGTCGGATTTTCCGAAGCTGCACAGTGCTAGGAAAATCCTTCACTAGTCCTTTTTGACTTCGAATTCAATGCATCTAATGTTGCACCACTAGCACCTGCTCGTACAGCAGCTGGTGCGTCGAATCGGAAGACTCAACCTGCCTAGACCAACTGCATAACGCCGTCCTACGTGATACACTTTGGATCGGACATGACGTAACTCAAAAAGACCATCGTCGTACTTTTCCCTACATTTTCCTATCATCAGGATCAAGAAGGATGTGGTCCCTGTGGTCGAGACTTCTTTGCAGTACAGCCAATGGAGTGGTCACGGCTCCTTGGCCATCCTATCTCTTCGCAAAGGTCCTGGCAAGAAAACAGTTCAGCTCTTGCGGAGCAGCCTCCCTACCAGAATAACCTCATGAAAACATATGAAAACATATGAAAATTAAATGCAATATAATATATATATATATATCTTGTTTGAAAAAAATGTGACTTAAACTATTATGCCAGATAAAGCCAGGCTCCCCAGCTCTGACGATGAGATGCTTGGGTTCGGGTTCACCTTGTTTGTGCATAGATGTTGAATGCCCAGGGGTTCCCTTTTCTCCCTGAAAGATTTGCAAGCTTCGGAAATGGCTGGAAATCATTAAGGGGAAGCCTATGGCTAAGCAGTGCTCATGTTTTGCAGCCTGATCCACAGGCCCTGGCTCTGCAAGAAGAGCAGCAACTCTGTCACCAATCAGTGTTTGGGGAAGACTGCAAGCGAGGCAGAAAACTTAAATGAACTCATTCTTTGGATATTTTATCCGCTTTCGAAACACCGGGGCATCCAAGGGATTTGTGTGAAAGAGGCAGCTGAGCCATGCAAGTCTGGTTCTTCTGCAATATTGTTGTGGATGGTGTAACGGTATGGATTCCTAAGGCCAGAGGAGACTACAGACGTCCTGCAGCCTGATGCAGCTACATTGGCAAAGAAGAAGCCCATCATCGAAGCCTGGAAAGAAGTCACCTAGCTCAAAAGTTTGGGAAGACGATGCGGGCAGCTTCTCCAAAGGTGTGTTTTCTGTGGCTTTGTGAAATTTTGTGAGGTGGATCTTATCCACGTTGATTCATGTGTTGATCCACGTCAATTCTGTGCTGCGGTGAGGGTGTTGCAGAACTGGGGGGAATCATCGCTGAGCTGCTCAGGTGTCCAGGTTAGCGAGCCTCCAGGATCCAAGAGATAATCGATCAAGAAATATCAAGAATGATCATTGAATCGAATCATGAATGATCAGATATGATCAGATGATCAGGAATCATCCGGAATGATCAGTGAATCATGGCTCAGGGGACCATGGCCACACTGGGCTGCACCGAGGCGGTGACGAAATGTGCTCCAAAGCGTGCTGCCGAAGTGGCAGAAGGGCGTGCAGCGAAGTATCCCAAGAGAGAGGTGCTAGACTTTTAATTTGGTGGACACGGTGAACATGCATCCTTTCACTTGTTGCACTTGTCATTTGATGATTTAAATGTGATTTGAAGATCCATCCCGTACCCTCCTTGGCAGATTCAAAATACATCAAATAAATTCAAATAACACTATTGAGATCAATGGAGAAGTTCTAAACTCTAAACCTATACTGTGCGTCCAGACTGATCAGACTGTCCCTAGAACAACTGGCCCCATAAGGTGCCAGTGCCAGAGGGAGTGGAGGCAATGAGGGCACTGCTGCATTCGGGAACCTTGACGCAATTTTACCCTCACCGAGCTACTTTTGCATGTGTTGATTTCCAATCCTTCGTGAAATTAGGACTTGAGGTTGAGACTCATGGTATCGTGCAGTCACGTTTCATCGCAGATCTTCTTTTCATGCTTGGCATTGTTACGGATTCATGTACATATGACCTATCTATCTATCTATCTATCTAACTATATAACTAATCTTATCTATCTATTTTATCTATCTTATCTATCTTATCTATCTTTTCTATCTGTCTGTCTGTCTGTCTGTCTGTCTATCTATCTATCTATCTATCCAACTAACTATCTAACCTATCTATCGATCTATCTGTTTGTTTGTCTATCTATTTATCTATCTATCTATCTATCTATCTATCTATCTTATCTATCTTATCTTTCTTTTCTATCTATCTATCTATCTATCTATATAACTATATAACTATATAACTAATCTTATCTATCTATCTTATCTATCTTATCTATCTTTTCTATCTATCTGTCTATCTGTCTGTCTGTCTATCTATCTATCTAGCTAGCTACCTATCTATACACACCATGTATACCTTAATCCAACCCTCAACAGACTTTTAAATAGACCCTAAACCAAACCTAAATAGCCCTCAATACAGTAGACACTAGGCATGATGCTAGGTTCGCTCCTCCATTTTTACCATCATCATTTTTATCACCGCCCCCCATCATTTCCCACATCATGACCCATATTTTTCTCATTCATCTTCATTTTTCGTTGTTCCAATCTAATTTCCATTTCATGTTCCTTTCATCTTATCATTCATCTTCATTTTCATCTCCCCATGTCATGTTTCCATAATATATTCATTCATATTCACCTTCATCTTCATTTTCATTTTCATCATCATCAAATTCATCCATCATCTTCATTTTCATCCATCTTGTCATAGGAGCGAACCTAGCATCATGCCTACTCATAGAAAAAATGTAGAACTATATTGATATATATATATATAATAAAGTTAATTTTGTTGTATCAACATTTCTTCATTACAACATACATAACCGTCAGTCAATGTATATTGGTTTTCTAAATCTATTTTTATTTGTGTCTTTTTTCTTTTCTGCTTCTTGTTTTTGGATTTGTTCAATTAGTTTTCCAATTCTCTTAATTCCATGCTTTGCTGGTAATCCATCCATTACATTTCTTACTTTTTCTAACCCAATATGGGTTTCAATCTGTTCAGATGTCATGTTTCTAAACTGTTCTTTGTAGCCTTCATCAAAACAATTCATTTCCACTATAACATATATAGGTAATATTTCTTTATATATATAAATGATTTTATACTAAATATAAAATTATAATGATAAAAAATATTTCGTTTATCAACTCTTCTAAAAATAGGTAAGAAAAATAACTTAAATCATCCTTCTTCTTGCTCCTTACATATCACACTTACTTCAAAATAATTGATACTTACTACTTTACCATGTAATCTACGGTCATTGATTTGATTAATAATGTCCAATAATCAGTTATATTGCCGTTTAATTTTGTTTCCAAATCAACCCTCTCGGGACTGTTCAACACACATGAAGCCAACGTTAGACGCTTATTAGAATTATTATCACCTTTTGCATTCACATTGACGCTTACAATAACATTTTCAATATCTTCATTTGTCAGTTCTTCAATGTAACCCTTTTGACTTTCAAGAATGTTTTGATACTACCCACAGAAAACGGTATTTGTGTTGTAATCATGTACTCATACCTGTTTCCACCATTTAGTTTGCCGATCTCAATGATTTTTCTAGTTATTTTATATTTCGTTTGTATTGCTTTTAGTGTCTTGTTTCTTTTTAATCTTACATATTCAGGTTTCCCTATCAAATAGGATGATACATTTACAATAACTTCACTTGGTACATTTGTAAACATTTCTACTAATACTATATTAATGTCATATTTCTTTAAATGATTTTAGGCTAAATATTTTTTCAATTCTAATATATAGTACTATTATGAATTAACTGTATGCTTCAGTGTTTTCATCATAATCAATTCTATAGTATTGTAGGGTAGTTTGCTTCCGTTGCTTTATCTCCTTATTATTCTGTTTTGTAAGATAGACATTTCTTTTGGTTTCGTATGTTCCATCCCTAGTATCTTTACTGTCAGGTGTGGTTTTCTTTTCAGTTGCTTCCTGTAACTTCTGTAATATCTCCAAAACTAGTTTAACATGTTTATTACATCTATTCAGTTTATTAGTTAATTCTTCTAACTTCTCTAATTGACAGCACTCACATTCGCTTCATCACAACTCATGTATATAAAATAAAACTAAATATGCGTTTAAAAAAAAACTTCAACAGTTTTTAAAACCAGTTCACGCATTGGTACTTGTTTCTTACTTCTTGGTGTGTTCATGACATCACTTATCATTTTGTTAGTGCTTTCTGATTTTTTATCTTCTGGTGTAATTTGGCGGTTGAACGAAAAACTGATACTATGGTCTTGACTGTCCAACTTAATATCACCATTATCATCTCTACTAACATTCATTGTTTTTTCGTGTTTGCTGATTTTGAATGAGCACGAGTTCCATTTCGCTCCGTGGAGGATGTGCAGCCCCAGTTTCGCTGCGCTTCCAACATTTTGCAAAACGGCTGGCATGGATGGAATGAAAACCTATCGGATCGCGGTGAGCCAGCACGATGGAACTTTCCAGAGCCTGCTACTTTTGCAGGTACATTAATCATACATACATGCATGCAAGCATGCATGCATACATACACACACATACATACATGCATGCATACACACACACATGCATGCATACAAACATACATACATACATACAAACATACGCACATACATACATACACACATAGATAGATAGGTAGATAGATAGATACATACATACATACATACCATACATACAGTACATGCAGCACATACAGATACATACAGTACATACAGTACATACAGTACATACAGTGCATACAGTACATACAGTACATACAGTACATACAGCACACACAGCACATACAGCACATACAGTACACACAGTACATACAGCACATACAGCACATACAGTACATACAGTACATACAGTACATACAGTATATACAGCACATACAGTACATACAGTACATACAGTACATACATCCATACAGTACATCCAGTACATACAGTACATACAGTACATACATCCATACATCCATGCGTGCATCCATGGCCTTCAAACAGAGAGTCCAAAATCGTTGATCGATCGAACAATTCCAGCTCACGCAGGCCACTTTGCACAAAGCATGCACTGTGGAGTCTCGTTGTGAGAGAAAGAGTTGAATTGCTTGAGTGTTGTGTTGGCCTAAGGTGAAAAAATTGGTTTTCAAGGTTTTGCAAAACAATTGAGATATGCAGTCACACAGTTGCAATGATGTATTCTTCGCTCATGCCGCAGAAGCTTCAAGCTCTACAAGGGATCTGTGTTATTGCGCTATTCATTCCATATATACGCAGTTTGTATGTGTTTATATATATATTCACACATTTTTATATACAGAGAACGTGTTTTTCAATTTTGTCGAATGATTGTTGGGCCTTCAAACAGAGAGGCCAAAATCGTTGATCTAACCGATGAGTCAGAGGAAAAGGCATTGCTTGGAAAGGTCGCCGGTGGATGTGGATGAGAATGTTCTTGTCGACTTGTATCTGTTGGGCTCCGATGTGGGACCATTCTGGCCGCAAGGATTAGAAGGAACTTCTGACAGTATAGGATGCTTTGGGAGAGACTGGAATAGAAGGCTCCGATGTGGGACCATCATGGTCGCAAGGATTAGAAAGAACTTCTATCAGTATAGGGTGTTTTGGGAGAGTCTAAGATAGAAGGGAGTCAGAGGAAAAGACATTGCTTGGAAAGGTCGCTGGAGGAGTATCTTTGTCGCTTTCTCTTCTTTCTCTATCTGTTGGGCTCCGATGTGGGATCATTGTGGTCGCAAATATTAGCAGGAACTTCTGTCAGTATAGGATGTGGACGGGCGCTGTTCACGGTCGCAAGGATTAGAAGGATCTTCTGTCAGTATAGGATGCGGACGAGAATGTACTCGTCGACTTGTATTTGTTGGGCTCCGATGTGGGACCATTACGGTCGCAAGGATTAGAAGCAACTTCTGTCAGTATACGATGCTTTGGGAGAGACTGGAATAGAAAGGAGTCAGAGGAAAAGGCATTGCTTATTGCTTGGAATGGTCGCTGGAGGATGTGGGTGAGAATGTGCTCGTCGTATCTGTTGGGCTCCGATGTGGGACCATCATGGTCTCAAGGATGAGAAGAAACTCCTATCAGTATAGGATATGAAATTAGGAATTTTTGGAAGGCGTGACGAAAATATGCAGTGGGGTCTCCTGGTCCGTCCGATATAGAGACTGGAATAGACTGGAATAGAATGAGGACAGAGGCAAAGGCATTGCTTGGAAAGGTGGGAACTCAATGGCTATTTTTCTTTATATCTCTCTCTTGCTCTTACAGGCGTATCTGTTGGGCTCCGATGTGAAACCATTATTGTCGCAAGGATTAGAAGAAATTTCTGTCAGCATAGGATGTGAAATTCGGAAACTTGGGAAGGGGGGACGAAAATATGCGGTGGGGCCCGAAGTGGGACCACTATTCTCTTGGACCCTGCCCTCTGGGGGATTTGAGGGAATTTCTGCCAGCATGGGATGTGAAATTAGGAACCTTTGGAAAGG